CAATGGTTTTCATTATATCCAAATCTTCAATTCTGTACACGATGTTTCCCTTTCTCTTACTCTCGCTCATCTTTCTATTCAGTTCGTTCTCTGAGGACTCCGTGTCGTTGTAGTTGCTGATGCTGATGGTGGTTGTCACGCTGATCGAGGAGCCGTTTTCGTTGCTGTCCGACTCGCTGCTAGGCTCCGGCTCCGGGGAGGAGCTGACCGGCGTGTTTTCACGTCGTGTGATGATAGCCGGAGCTGGGGGCGGGTCCTTCTTGCCTGACGACCGCAGCCGTGAGCGAGAGACTTTAGCAGACGCCATGTCTTTAAGAATTGAATTCACTAATTTGTAATCCACTAGAACAATTCACTAATCAAAAATTGACAAATTCGTCACACAAATTTAAAAATAAATAAATATTAATATGATGGTAATTTAATATTGTCCAAAAAACAGTCGGGTCGTCCCATTTTTACAGCAAAAATTTGAAAACACAAGTGTAATCCATTTTACGGAAATCAAACAAGTTTAGTGTAATGCAGTCCTAGCAGTTTGAAGACCAATTGAATAGAAAAACAAGATTGTCGCCAGCTAGTGTAGAATGACATCGCGTTTTGTGGTCTGGAACTAGGCGGCTAGTATTTGAAGGCTGCGCGAGGTGGCGGGCGGTGCTACGGTAGATCTGATCCCCACAGCTACCGGTGTTCTGGTAGCGTACGGTGAACGCGGTAGTTGGATGAAATATTGCTGGGACCTGGATGAAACACGTACACTACCGTACAGGTAATGGAAAGGTAAGGGGGGGGGGAGACGTGTTGATTTTATTTGACGTTCTTTAACACATTTATTGAGGGGTGGGGGAGTGCACGGGTGTGTCGACACACTAACACGCATCGACACACATATTCGCATACACGCTTAAACAGAAAACACATGTTCTTTCACACACAGAGATTTAAGCACACTAAAGATACACATTTTAATACACCAACACACATACTTAACTACCAAAGAAAAACAGCCTTTCATATAACAACATATAGACGCACACAATCACACACTATCATAACACACGTATACTCACACTATACATTTATACCGCCATTCACCCCCTAACACATAATACACTGCAACGTAGACTAAACAACTTAAAACTAATAATATACGCACAACTTCATCCACAAAAAACAAAATACATATCACAGACAGATAATATTACACACACCTACACGAAAACACCAAGACCGACAATCTTACAAACAGAACACCATGACAGATAATCTTACACACACCTACACACAAAACACCAAGACAGACAATCTTAAATATACACACTCAAAAACTAGCACAATCTTACACACACACACTAGCACAGTAAATCCTACTCACACACACAAAATCGCCCACCTCAACTTTTCTCTCACGCACTCATCCAACTCGCTAACACAGCACATGTATCTAGTTAAACTCGCCTAACACTTCACCTATTACAGAAATGCTCACCACATTTTATTGAACTTTTAAACCTTCACATAAACGCTAAACAAATTTCACTGATCTCTGCGTATTTAACACATTTCTTTCATGGTGCTTTGAATATTTTTTCCCAATTAAGTAATATATATTTAATGTTTTAAATCTATTAGTAGAACATTTTACCCCCCCCCCCCCCCCCCCCCGCTACGCCTATTCTTTTCTAAGTAAAAGTTTCTGCCTAGCTGGCAAAGTATGCGGTTACATTAGCAAATGTTAAAGTGAGGCTGCTTGCCTATTTTGTTAGCTGCCGTTATTCACCCCCCCCCCCCCTCACTCAAATCTCAGTGATCGAAATCAAGGTCTTATCCATCCTTCCACACGGCAAATAAAGATATTCTTACGCCAGCGGGTGGGACTATATTTGTTTAAACGCCATCAGATAGGTTTCTGTTGACACTAAGAAAACTAACAGAGGTGTGTTACGGTCTTGGCCTTGAAATGTAGGTACATTACAACACAGAGAGTGCAAAGCTCAAGACGTACGGCCATGTACATAGTAGGTAAATAGCTGGATGGAAGTGGCGGTGGGTTGGGGGAGTGTATGAACGAAGAACTCAAAGTCAACCAAGAAGAAGCTGAGAGACTAGGCACAGTGGCTGACACAAACAGTAGAATGGAAATTTGAGAGAAAAATTGAGATTAGATCATTGAAAAGAAAAGGCTAGTCTGAGCATTATATGAATAGAGGGTAGCATTTAAATTGAAATGGAAAGGTTAGAAATCAGCCACCAAAGTAATAGACAGAGCTGGAGACTAATCGCACTAGCCTTCCACTAGAATATTTTATACAGAATTTTCAAATTTAAAGACGAGGGAGACTATCTTGTTGATATACATTCGACATTAGAACCAATTTGATGACGTTGTGTAGATAAAGGACGCTAGTGGTGTCATGGGATTAGTTTCGTCTAAAACGCAGTGGCGGAACTAGAAAAAAAGGGCCACCCCGCAAAAAAATATTTTAGGCCCCCCATATATATATATATATATATATATATATATATATATATATATATATATATATATATATATATATATATATATATATATATATATATATATATATATATATATATATATATAATATATATATAGGATACTCATTGCAGGCCTGTTCGGGTTTTAATTTTTTTTTTAATTTAAATTATAACAATTTACAACAACATGTCATGCGTGTAAGTGTATTAGTGTGTTCTCAGAAAATCAGTTTTATTTTATCTCACCTATAAGACCTGTTTACCTCTAGTCGGTCAAAAGAATATAAACCATGAAAGCTTTGTATAAGTAATGGTGTCTCGTGTTATGTTTATTTTTGTTTTTTCGTATTTATATTATTAATTTAAAATACATTTCCTTTTTATACAGCGTCATTCTTTAAGTACTTTATAAAACAATAATAATTCAGAGAAATAATTGCTTTTTAATTTGTATAAATCTATTTAAAAAAGCTTATGAGCACCCCTATTTGACTATTTAAAAAAGGGAAATAAGTCATGGAAGTGGTTTGAACGTTTGCTTATCTTTGATAAGTTTGATTGTAGGAGAAAGCGGACGGCTTTCACAGTGGTTTAAAAACAAAAGGAAAGAGAATATAGAAGAGCGTGGGGTGGTGCCTATAGAATAAAGATAATCCAACCGCAGCTACGGTAATCTTTTCTACAAGTCAAAAATGCAAGAAAATTATTTTTTTTTTAACTATAAAAAAAAACTGAGTATGGTCGGCTGTGGGCCCCTAAATGGCGTGCCCCCCCCCCCCCCCCCCCCCGCATTGCGGGGTCTGGCGGCACTGTAGTTCCGCCCCTGCTAAAACGGATTGGTTTATTTTTATAATTATCTATCATTATGACAAATATCACAGGAGCAATTATTTCTCACAAAATACCTGAGGAAAAATATCGCACAGGCAAAAATATCTTAGTTTTAGGCCAAAATATCTCTCATAATATATATAATGACACAATATCTCCACAACTTCAAATATCCATGTAATCCACACGTTCAAATAACCATATAATCCACAAGTTGAACCATCAATCTTATCCACAGTTTCTTGTCCTGCACGTGGTCAAGTGAATGAGTACCTTGACTGAGTGCGACCTTGGGTGAGGATTAAGTTACCAGCTTGTTACTGTCCTCACACAACTCCCAGTTTCTGTGTGACTCCGATCTCCTTGATTAATGTCGTGTTACTGCTCTCAAACACTTCCCAGTTTCCGTGTGGCGCCGATCTCCTTGATTAATGTCGTGTTACTGCTCTCAAACACTTCCCAGTTTCCGTGTGGCGCCGATCTCCTTGATTAATGTCGTGTTACTGCTCTCAAACACTTCCCAGTTTCCGTGTGGCGCCGATCTCCTTGATTAATGTCGTGTTACTGCTCTCAAACACTTCCCAGTTTCCGTGTGGCGCCGATCTCCTTGATTAATGTCGTGTTACTGCTCTCAAACACTTCCCAGTTTCCGTGTGGCGCCGATCTCCTTGATTAATGTCGTGTTACTGCTCTCAAACACTTCCCAGTTTCCGTGTGGCGCCGATCTCCTTGATTAATGTCGTGTTACTGCTCTCAAACACTTCCCAGTTTCTGTGTGACTCCGATCTCCTTGATTAATGTCGTGTTACTGCTCTCAAACACTTCCCAGTTTCCGTGTGGCGCCGATCTCCTTGATTAATGTCGTGTTACTGCTCTCGGTAATGTGTGGGTGGGTCTTCTATTGATTCTGTGGATTGCCGTCGTGTATCCTCTAGCGACTAATGCCTGTATAATTGTAAACCCCATTAATTGTTCTTATAACAATACTGCTCACAATGTTCAGTTTGTTATGTAAGTCAGCTACCACTCTGTCAAGCATCTTTTCGGGAAGCCCCCCCCCCCCCCCTTCCCCCACCCCCAACACACACATGAAATAGAATTTATATAGAAAACAGTTACATTTACCATTGTCCGTCGCCGGAAAATGTAGCTTACTCCTCACCCCCACCTCGGAGAAAAAAGTCTGAAAGAAACACTAATTGACATATTGCCTAACTGTCACACATCGCCCAGCACCACCAGTGCCAACATCGAATAGTAACTCTCTTGACCACCGCTGTAGCCGGTGTTGGTGTCCTTGAACTTGACCCAGCTAATAGATATCGACCTTAGTTCTGTTGTAGGTTCAATCGGTTGACATCGTGTGGATCAGAGGCGTAGCGACGGGGGGTGGGTACATATGTCCCCGGGTACCGACCCTAGGGGCGCCAAAATGGGTTGAAAAAAAATTAAAAGTTCATTTTAGCTGCAGTTTTGAATTATAAATATAAAAATATATGGAAGGGGGGGGGGGGGCAAATTGAAAGTTTGTCCCCGGGAGGGGTCGCTCCGCCTCTGGTGTGGATTGTTTTAAAGTGAGATTGCTTCGTTCTCTGGGTATTCTATTATTCATTGGCTCGTGACATTAGTGACAGTATCTGGTGCAGTCGGTTTCTACCTTTGTTTCTACCAGAGTCGGTGACCCCTCACGCTATGAATACAGGTGTAATTTCTGTTTCGTCGGGTTTATCGCAATCGTCGGATGAGATACCACTATGCAGTGTCTCTTCCAGACTTTTTTCTCCGGGGGGGCACTTGAAATTTTCGGGGGGGGGGGGGCAGTAGACTTTCTTCGAGGGGGTAGGCACTGTTAAAAGTATATATTTTCTATAAAAATTATATAAATTTCATTTCATTTCGTTCGGGGGGGGGGGGGCGGTAAAAATCCCCCCCCCCGAAGAGATGCCTGGACTGGAAGAAACTCTGCTACTATGTAATGTACTTTATCTCCATTGGCTTTATTGTAAATATCGTTATCTTACATTGTTATTATGAAAAGACAGATAAGGATAAAAAGGTGCCATGTTGACCAACCTTACTTTTCAAGCGAATTATCCAGTTCACCCCCCCCCCCCCAGTTTACCACGTACGGTAGCTCTATCATTAACCAGAACAATTTTATTAACATCGACTATTCAACCCCCCCCCCCCCTCCACCAAAATTCGAAAAAAAAAAGTGAACATTTAACACGATTTTGTCCGGATTTTAACCGGTCGTCTTTCCGTGCTAACCAACCCACGTAGATTTTTATTTTAGGAATATAACAATTACCTTGGCTTCCAACCATAGATCATTGACAATGCCACCAGCACTATACAATGGCAAGTTAACAATTAAACCGTATGCTCTAAGGAATAATTAAGGAGTTGTTCTTTTTTAAAATCGATATACTCGTCAGTTTTATGGGGAGAGTCGGCGCGGACGCTCTGCGATATATAAATACATATATTATGTTTGTATGTATGTATGTATGTATATATGTACGTTTTTGTATGTATGTATGTATGTATGTATGTATGTATGTATGTATGTATGTGTATATATATTTACATATATGATGTGCAGCAAATAGTGGACAAAATGGCCACTGTGCCAGGTAAACTATTTCTTGAGATGGAGGTCATTGTGCCAGATAAGCTATCTCTGGACAAATAGAACACTGTGTAGGGTAGAGCTACCACAAGGTAAAGCAGATAAATAGCTTGTACATTACCAACATCCTCAGTTCACATTGTTAATTCAAAAACAACTAATCCAAGTTTGAATATGTCTTTAATACATTCTTCTGGTTCCTACATGGCATGAAAAATAAAACATACGTGATGGTGATATCATGCACAACATCACACACAAATAAAAACAATTTACGGGTGACAGAGGCTAACATCAGCAGTATCACATAATAAATAGAAACATAATAGTATGGTTGTGTAGACATAATAACAATCATAATAACTGGTTAATCACAGATACAGCCTTTGATGAAAAATGCCATAACATTTTAACAATAAATGTAGTAGAATATCTTATTCCACCACTGGTTAAATTGATAAAAAAAAATCATACATTGCTTTAAGATATGAATTTGATTTGTGAAATTAATATGCTAAACAAAGTAATTATTTTGTTCATAATATATTTAATTTTACATATAACCTTATTAAGGCTAGATATATAAAATATTTGAAATCAGGCTATAATTTAATTACTATCTTATCAAATAAGTTTCTTTGTACCAGAATGTATATATATACATATCTATCTATCTATCTATCTATCTATCTATCTATCTATCTATCTATCTATCTATCTATCTATCTATCTATCTATCTATCTATCTATCTATCTATCTATCTATCTATCTATCTATCTATCTATCTATCTATCTATCTATCTTATCAAATAAGTTTCTTTGTACCAGAATGTATATATATACATATCTATCTATCTATCTATCTATCTATCTATCTATCTATCTATCTATCTATCTATCTATCTATCTATCTATCTATCTATCTATCTATCTATCTATCTATCTATCTATCTATCTATCTATCTATCTATCTATCTATCTATCTATCTATCTATCTATCTATCTATCTATCTATCTATCTATCTATATATATATATATATCTATATATCTATATATCTATATACATACAGACATATAATAAACAAATCAATTGGTGATTGAACAAATGCTGTGTGCTCAGGTAATATCAGATTGGAAGACAAATGAAATCAAAACAACCAACTAAGATAAATCCTGCCCTTTTCATTCACCGAATGCATTTAAAATCATTTAGTCTCTGGCATTATACATTTGATTTAAGCTCAGTTTCAATTTGTAAACAGTTTGAAGACAATTATGTTTTTAATCAAAACGTTCATTCTTAAGTGTAGACAATAATTAATATTCAGATGAAAATGAAATTATTGTTAAAACAAATTATATTTTTGTCAATTTAGGTTATCAGTTTGAAAAGTTAAATTATAAAAGACAAAACCAAAGACATTTAAAACAAACATTATGAGCTTAAGTAGAGTTCTAACAGAGAATCAAACCGAACAGACTGATACAGGGTCTAGTAGCTGACAGGATACCTGTAAGGTTATTGTTGCACTGTTCCAAAACACTTCAAATCTCAGTGATCTGTCTGCTTAAGATGATCTGTAATGTATAAGAGAAAAGATTTGTGCAACCACTTGTGGAAATCTGGCAATGCACTCTTTCTCACCTTAAGTGTTTTACATTATTTAAGATGATATTTTAGATTATAAAATGGTTAGTATACAATTGATACATATATATATATATATATATATATAATATATATGTGTGTGTGTGTGCATATATGAATTTATATAAAAATTATATATATATATATATATATATATATATATGTATATATATATATAAATATATATAGATATATATATAGTTGACTATTATTGATTTAAAAAAAATTCTTAGCTGAAAATTATTGCAGTTTTTAATATCAGATAGAGAAAGGGGAGGTAATGGTGTAAAATGTTTAGAAACAAGCAGGCATATAGGTTGTTGCTCCTTATAAAATCAATAATCTTACATTTATTGAGTTCTGTTGCTGGTGCTCTCATTTGATACAAGCTAGCATTAAGTCACTAGCTAGCATTAAGTCACTAGCTAGCATTAAGTCACTGGCTAGCATTAAGTCACCAGCTAGCATTAAGTCATCAGAACCAATTCTCCAACAGACAGGTAAAACAAATACTTCCACCATAGAAATAATGTCATAGCCCACTGGGAAGAGTGGTTCCAAGCTGCCTATCCACCCCACTGCTTGTAGTCAATACAACAAGAGAGAAACAACAAGACACATCAATTCTATCTTTGTTTTATTCTAGAGATTTCAGACACAATTGTGCCACATTTGTGATTAAAATTACACTTTCATATAGCAACATAAGCCTCAAATAGACAGTTTCATATACAGAAACTCACAAACATCAACCACACCAAACCAGATACACAGTCTAAACTCAATTTACATCAAACAATTCTTTTGACCAACTGGAGATGCTTTAAATATTAGTCTGAGTATTTTTTTTTATTTGTAATTTTTTGATCTTGGTTGATACTCCCGGAAGTCAAGAAATTTTTTCTAACACAAATTACGTAAACATGAAAACTCTCCAGTAATATTTAGTAAAATAAGCCATATTATTAGGTCTTAGGCAGTCATATTTTTAATATAATACATATGGCAATTCTTGAATTATTTAATTTATCTTACTCAGTGCATATTTTCGCAAAGCAAAAAGATAAGCAGAAAATTATAATTGATGGAATAAGACTGTAAAAACAACAAACTGATATATGCTGATATATGACAAAAAGTTTGAAGACAAAAATAGAAATAAACTTTGCCATCTCAGCATGTTTATTGGTTTAAAAATCACAGTTAAAAGATTACACTTGACCTCTGCCCATAGTGATGAGATTTGAATAATAGCGTACACACATATCTACATGAAATTTACAGCCTGTTCCCTGAATTCCCTTAACTTTTAAAACATTTGAACTCTAGTTAAAGTTAAACTGCTAGGACTATTACTTTCATCAAGTGTACATTAAACAACAAACTAAATCACACAGCACACCCACACACAACAAAATCTCATAGTACACACACACACACAGTACAAACTAAATCTCATTACATCCACAGAACAAACTAAATCTCATTACACCTTCCATAGCAAACTGAATCACAAAAAAAAAATTTAAGTAACCCTACAAGCCTGAGAACCACAGCCAGTACTGACAATCTTTACGACATGTTCTTATAGATATTAAAATAAACACCTACTCCACTTAGTTCAGCCATTACCAACAATTTAAGGGGAGACAAAAATGATTATCTCCCATGTAAATGTTAAAAAACATTTTCATGAAAGCTATACTAATAGTTATGCTTTGTCATTATTCACACAGTTCTGTAATTAGAGAGGGAAGGGACTTACAATTTAAAAATAAACACACAATTAAAACTTGTCATTTTGCATATAAGGACTGTCAAAAAAATAGTGAAAAGACTCTTGATTAAGTCAACATAAAAACAAACATCAGTTGGTTTTTGGTGACAAAAAGATCATATGATGACATCATGATTTGTTTTACTTTCTTTATATTATTCATTTTAATGAATGCTTAAAAACATTGTATTTAAAATAGTAGCTTTATAGTTCTATAGTTAATTTGATTTTCTATAGTATTAAATTACAATATATTTTTTTAATAAGATGGTAAAATGTTTTACAATAAAAGTCTAGCTTAAGATAGAGATGATTTAAATGTATCTTTTTGTGTCAACACAATTTTGATTCAACTCAGCATTAAGTCTGACCAAATTCTTCAAGAATTCACAATCGAATCTACGCCAAATTTCCAACAGTTGAAATGTTATGATTTAACTGTTGTATGGACTTAATATTTATTTAACTTGTTTACAAAGGTCTTATTTGATTACTTAATACTCTTTGTGATTTCTCAAAAAGAGATTAGAACAGTTACGTTAGATGTGTAAATGACAGGAAAAACAGGTTGAAATATGTGTATTATTTAACAACAAAAAATACAAGACTCTTACAAGAAAAAGAAATAACAAAAATAACATTAAACTTAGGTAAAGTTTTTGTTCTCCTTATTACAGAGCATTGAGATTAAAGGGAAATCTCTCAGTGTTAAAGTGTCATACACAAATTTGATGTTATTATAAATTTTATATAAAAATTTTAAATAATTTAGAAAATATAAAACATTTCCCGCTTATTTTAATTTTAAAGAATTTGAACATTACATTGCTTAAATGGATATTCTGCTTATATAAAGAATATTTAAAACCAATTTTGGTTTATTTTTAAGCATGATTTAAATCAGATTACCTTGAAAAGAAGTGATAGACATTATGCAGGGGTTTTTAAAAACAAAGCAGGAAAGAAAGTAAAACAGGTAAAGGTGATACTTCAAACCATGGTCAGTTGAAAACAGATTAAAAACAGCCAATTTATATAACTGCTATCAGAATTAACACCCCGCCCCCGTTAACAATAAAGTAGGGAATAGCTAACTGACTAGAAAGTACTAGTGTTATTCCACCAGAATGTTGAATGTTAAAAAAAATAATTTCCCTTTATTCTCTGTGCTAACTATCAAAGATATTAGTATCAATGAACAATCTTGATGTGTGCCAAGGTCCAAAAAGGTTTTTTAATAGGATTTTCTATTTACAAAATGTGTATGTTAGTTGATTAAAAACATGTCTAAATATGCTGCTACATACACAAATACTGTGATATTTCAAAAGTTGGCACTAATGAACTAGCAGGAGAAACAAAATAAAAATCTAACAAAAACAACAACAAACAGGTCTTTACAATGGGAGCTCAAACTTGACATCAATGGAAGCTTCCCTGGCCAGTGTTACAATGTTGGACAGCTTCACAACCTGTCAATGACATAGGAGACAAGTTCATTCAGTAACTTACACAGGGGGCTAGTTTAATGAGATTTCATTCAATGAGATCTAATGCAGTTTACACAGTGGGCTATTTAGTTCAACGAGATTTCATTTAATAACTTACAGTGGACAATTTAGTTCAAATGAGATTTAATTCAGTAAGTTTCATAGTGGGCTAGTTTAATGAGATTTAATTCAGTTAATTACATATTTACAGTGGGCTATTTAATTCAATGAGATTTCATTCAATAACTTACAGTGGGCTATTTAGTTCAATGAGATTTCATTCAATCTTTCAGTGAGGTTGCATGCAAATATTCATGATAACTTAAACAGGTTGCTTATTTATTATAACAAATGTTAAAACCTTCTTTCAACATTGTGAAATAACTAAATAATTTTTAAATTTATTGATCGCAATTCTTATACCTGTGATTATCATAATAATAAATGTAACAAAAATGATAAAACCCAGAAGATATTAATGTTTAAATTTCAGCCTATCAGAACATAACTTTGATAGGTAAGCCTACATAAAATCATGTATAAACTTGTGATGCTAGCAGTGAGATTTATCTGGAAACTTATGAAACACAACAAAATTAGCATACCATCTTAGCAGCTTCATCCAAATTATCACAAGCAATAATTTTCATCCCACTGTGTGCAATAATTGCTTTAGCATCATCCACCCTTGTTCCTTGAGAATAGAAATTTAGGAAAATTATATATAGAGGGAGAGAAAAACGCAAACTACCTCTATTCTCTAGACTGCTGTGAGCCAATTTATTTTATGTCCAGATGTTTGTTTTGGTAAGCAAGGTGTGATGTTAACAAGATATCAAAGGAAAGAATGCTTGAGTAATACAAAAAAATTCATAAAAAACGTTTTAATAACAAGCTTTTATGTAATGATGCACTAAAAAGTAGAAAATAAATTATAGACTACTTTTTAAATAACTATAAAGAAAAGCGTGGGTCACTTTAGTATCTATTGGATACCTTTACTAATGTTAAGGAAGACACCCACGCTTTTCTTTATAGTTATTTAAAAAGTAGTCTATAATTTATTTTCTACTTTTTAGTGCATCATTACATAAAAGCTTGTTATTAAAACGTTTTTTATGAATTTTTTTTTCAGTACTTTACATGTTTTATTTACAATAGAGTTACATGACTAAAAACCATTGCGCGCCTACTGAACATCACGTTCAGTAGGCGCGCAATGGTTTTTGAACGCAGCCATTACGTGATGGCGCAGCTATTGAAGGTGATGACGCGTGTGGTGTGGTTAGCTAGACATGCCTACTAATTCGGTCCAAATTTTTATTAATTCATAAAAAATTAATTAGGCATCCAATTAAGTCAAATTTAGTTTCAGATTGCATTGTCTTCATGTCTTGACCCACGTGTCAAATGTGAATCGTATCGGTCAAGTAGAACTGTCCGAATTTTCATTCCAGCGTTTCTATCTAGACTGACGACTTACGACAGACAGAGGAAGTGAGTTAAATAAAAGCTTGTAAAAATAGAAGAGTTGAACAATAGAATCATTTCTATTTTACAAATGTCAGTATTACAAGTCAAATGGTGACGTAATTAATTGACTTTTTTTAATCATGATTGTGTCATATTACTTTAAAATAACTGACCTTGCAGCCTGACCACTATAAGCTAGCACCCTGACGACTATAGGCTAACAACTGACCTTGAAGCCTGACGACTATAGGCACTTTCATATTGAGTTGTTCAGCAGCAGCAACAATGCCCTGAGCTATCACATCACATCTCATTATGCCACCAAAAATATTCACCAAAATTGCATTCACCTGTAAGCAAAATATCACAAAGATGACAATTATATACAAATCAACATTAACATAATTTAGCAAAGTTTAGGAAATAAACAAGAATGTTTACATATCCTAATTAACTAAAATGTACAAATAAAAATACTACTATAGCACATAAAGTCAACACTGTGATGTCTTGCAAGACCTGCCCTAGTGTCTGAAGTGATTAGTTTGAAAGCTTCCATCACTTGCTGGGCTGTGAGACCCCCCTCCCCCCATAATGGGATGTCTTACAAGACTTACCCTAATGTCTGATGTGATAGTTTCAAGTCTAACAAGACTTACCCTAGTGTCTGAAGTGATTAGTTTGAAAGCTTCTGTCACTTGCTGGGCTGTGGCACCTCCCCCCTCCCATACACACTGTGATGTCTAACAAGACTTACCCTAGTGTCTGATATGATTAGTTTGAAAGCTTCCATCACATGCTGGGCTGTGAGACCCTCCCCCCCCCATAATGTGATGTCTAACAAGACTTACCCTAGTGTCTGATGTGATAGTTTCAAGTCTAACAAGACTTACCCTAGTGTCTGATGTGATAGTTTCAAGTCTAACAAGACTTACCCTAGTGTCTGATGTGATAGTTTCAAGTCTAACAAGACTTACCCTAGTGTCTGAAGTGATTAGTTTGAAAGCTTCTGTCACTTGCTGGGCTGTGGCACCTCCCCCTACATCAAGAAAATTGGCTGGAGTCCCTCCATGTAATTTGATAATATCCATTGTGGCCATGGCCAACCCCGCTCCATTAACTGTCAGGGTTTAAGAAAATTAAAAGTAAATGACAAACAATATTTATGGAAGGTTATAAAACATGAGTTTTGAACTAACAAGAAAACTACTCAAGAGCTATGCAGTACAGCATTCAGAAGTGTTAGCAGTCTAAGAGACTTACAACAAGTTTAGTTGCAAGGACTCAAGATCAACAACGTTAGACTAATTAAACCATTTGTGTATGGGTTAGGTTGATAAACAAAAGTTTGCTCTTTCACCAAAGAGAAAGTAGATTTTACTTCAATCTTTCCAATAATGTGAAGATACACATGCTAAAAAATAGTTTTGAAACCATCAGTCTAAATCCAGACTTAAAAACTGAAACTGTTTCATGTTTTTCTAGCACTAATCAAGCACTGTTAGGGATATCAATGGCAGCTGACTACCACACTATCCCTTTATATGCTGAGGTCTCTGAAACAGATGAACTCTACTTCATCTGCCCCATGTGTCTTGGGCACGAACAAGAAATGATGATGATGATGAATAAATCAGTGAGCTAACCTAAACAACCAATGCTGCCATCAAGGGCAATGTAGTTGAGATCTGCCTTGGATGCTTTGTAATCCCTCTCATCTTCTTGTGACCAGTCTCTTAAGGCAAAGATTTTTTTCTGTCTGTAGGCCGCATTGTCATCAAAGTTTATTTTAGCATCCATGATATACACTGGGGAAAAGAAATCATACATACCAGTTAGTTCATCATGATTTGTTAACAATAAAGTATTGTACATACACCCCTTTGTTTATAATTGTGATCATACAATTATCAAAATTGTATAACAATTCATTTGCAGAGGTTTTAAGGCTTTTAAATAATTTCTTTATTTAATTTTATTCATATCAAGTGAATTGTTTCGTTTGAAAATTAAAAAAAACAACAACAACAACCCATTAAAACTTAAAGACATTCAAAAACAACCAACCTGTGCCACTATTGTCCTCTGCCATTGGGTTGATTTCTAACATTGAAGCGTCATATTTGAGAAAAACATCTGTATACATCTTCATGATGTAGTCACTAGCCTGAAACACAGGGGGAAATTACCCAACATTATTTCCTACAAATTCTTAAACTGTCTTCTTACAATTGTTGGCTAGTTCAGATTTAATCACTTGGCCATAAGACAATGGTACTTGCCTTGCTTTAAACGATAACAGTAATGAATAAATAACACAAAATACTTCAACATACCTTTTCTAACGAGCCCTGACTAAATCCCATCTCTTTAGCAACATACATGGCTTGTGCCTTGGTAATGCCAACTTCAATATCAATGGGTTCTTTGATAATGGCTTTAGGGTTTTCTGCTGCCACTTCCTCTATGTTGACACCACCTTGGGCACTGCCCACCAACACTGGGCCCTAAGACCATAAGACAGAGGTGGATTGGTTAAAAAATATCTCAAAACTGCAAGTTTTAAAGACATATTATACAAGAAGAAATGCTGCTAAGGTAACACTAACCTACAAATAATTCTCTCTTTCTCTATCTCTACCTCCCTGCCACATGTTTAAACTACAAAAAGTACACAACACTATTGGCATCTTCCAATTTTAGAATATAAAGAAAAGAAATATTTCATTCAAATTTGATTGAGACGTACGCTATGAAATGTATAAAATTTTCTCGGCCTGAACTAATACAAATTACTTAAAAAAAAACAACATAAATACCATTGAACAGCTTTTAACTAAATTATTTAAGTCTCTTAATCAGTGTGTGCATTTAATATGACGTTGTGTTCACTAATAATGTATATAATTTGGTTTTAATTTTTCTAATTGGTATTGGTAGACATGTTATTTTAAATGTGACGAATGTTTAGCTATTTTGTCATTTCTTTGCTTTCTCACTAATATTGTTCAACGTGTAGTAAAGCACATTGCTTTTTGACTAATAACTATTTTATAAATAATTTTTTCCTAACAAGTATAACATTAAAAATATATAGGCCTGTAATTCAAGTAACTTTATACAGGACTAATTTGGGGACGGGGAGCAAAATTGATAGTTCGCCATGGGTGCCAAAATAGATCCCTATGTCTTTGCATGACAACTGTAAGTGCAAAACACTTGCACTATCAAGGGATAAGTAGAAAATAAAACTACTCTTTAAGAAAATACTTTTGGAAAATGCAGTTAAGTTAATTATGAAATAGACAACAAGAAATACTTAAAGGCAATCAAACATTTTACGTCTTTATGAGATAAAAAGATTATTCAAGAAGAAATTTTATTTACCCCAAAACTCCTCTCCAATGTGATAGCAAAATAGAACTCTCGTCTGATGTAGAGGCGCTCCACAACTAAAACCTTGTTGCAGATTCTACCCTCACTGCCTGTCTGTTTGGTGTAGAGTTTCTGTCCTAACATTTTGCTGGCTATGTCCTTGGCCTCATCAGCTCTACAAACGGGAAAATAAAAGCTTGGATAAACAAAATTGCCATGACAACAAAAAAATAAATTCTAAATGGAAAAATGCCAGAGCTCTGTCATAAACATAAATTTAAAAATATATTTCTTCAAACACCAAGTTACTGCTATACATTTTTAAAGTTTAATTAAAACGGAAAGAGGAAATGAATATAACTTTGGTAAGTGCCAGGGGATCCATACTTACGAGTAGACCAACTTGACACCCCCCTTCAGGCCACTGCTCCATGTTCCCTTCCCCCTTCCTCCAGCTAAAACCTGGGCTTTTACAACAACATCAGGGGTGCCAGTCTGTGCAGCTAGAAGTTTAATAAACAAACTGGATCAATGGTGAATATAAAATTGTTGTATCAAAAGTAAATAAATAGTCTCATCTAATATGATAAAACATGAGGCAGATGTAGGAGTTACACAAGAGTTCAATAGATATAAGAAATAACAGAAATCCAGTACATCAACTCAAGTATAACTTGATATTCACCTGTGTCTTTACACCTAGCTACTGACCACCTGATATTCACCTGTCTTTAGCCTACACCTAGCTACTGACCACCTGATATGCACCTGTCTTTAGCCTACACCTAGCTACTGACCACCTGATAGTCACCTGTCTTTAGCCTACACCTAGCTACTGACCACCTGATATTCACCTGTCTTTAGCCTACACCTAGCTACTACTGACCACCTGATATTCACCTGTCTTTAGCCTACACCTAGCTACTGACCACCTGATATGCACCTGTCTTTAGCCTACACCTAGCTACTGACCACCTGATATGCACCTGTCTTTAGCCTACACCTAGCTACTGACCACCTGATAGTCACCTGTCTTTAGCCTACACCTAGCTACTGAACACCTGATATTCACCTGTCATTAGCCTACACCTAGCTACTGACCACCTGATATTCACCTGTCTTTAGCCTACACCTAGCTACTGACCACCTGATATTCACCTGTCTTCAGCCTACACCTAGCTACTGACCACCTGATAGTCACCTGTCTTTAGCCTACACCTAGCTGATGACCACCTGATATTCACCTGTCTTTAGCCTACACCTAGCTACTGACCACCTGATATTCACCTGTCTTTAGCCTACACCTACCTACTACTGACCACCTGATATTCACCTGTCTTTAGCCTACACCTAGCTACTGACCACCTGATATTCACCTGTCTTTAGCCTACACCTACCTACTACTGACCACCTGATATTCACCTGTCTTTAGCCTACACCTAGCTACTGACCACCTGATATTCACCTATGTCTTTAGCCTCCTTGTACACCTCATCAGCTGTGGTTGCTACACGAAATCTGGGAACAGCTACTCCAGCATCCCGCAACAGTTCCATGGACATGTACTCGTGTATGGAGAGGTTACGTTTCTGTTGGGATCCAAGGACATTCTGTGGCAGGACATTGTTAAAAACTGATAGGACCTAAGAATAAATAGAGTAGAATATTATTAAAGACTATTAAAGAACAAACAGCATTTTTATAGAATAGAGCAGGGGTCTCCAAACTACGGCCCGCGGGCCAGATGCGGCCCACGAGGTCCTCTCATCCGGCCCGCGGAGATCTTTTTGTCCTCGGAATAAACGTTCTTTGGTGATTGCTGAGGAACTTTGCCCAGAAAAATCAAAGACATGCCTGGAAGAAACTGGCCCCCGGTCTGAAATTTGATAGTTAATGCGGCCCTCGGACTGAAAAGTTTGGAGACCCCTGGAATAGAGAAATACAAAGCGATTATAACTAAAGTGTTAATCTATTGTTTTTTTTCTAAATTAATGTGAAGTGTTATTTCTATACCAAAGAGTATTTTGACAGGTCCTCAGAAAAAGATACAGAATATAAAAATGTATGCATTTTCTGGCATATAAATAGTGTGTATAAGATTAACCCCCTCAATTTTTCTGGTTAAAATAATTTGGGATATACCTGCATTACACTGGTAACATTGTGTGGTTATAATGACCCTCTCCCCCCCCCCCCCCCCCATGATTTTCCAGGGTTAAAATGTCATCTTATTTGCTGAAAAATACTTCACACTCAGTAGATAAGGAAATTATAACACAAGAGTTGCTTGAATCCTAATTAGTATATGAATGTATATTGGAGGTTTTTTAAAATTTATTAAGAGATAGTGTTTAAACGTTAGAATAAAACACGATAAAGTTTAGGTGAACAATAAAAAAAGGGCTTTATAAAGTTGAAAGAACTATGAGTTTAATAATGGGTAAAGAGTCTGCTTGATAAAATGTGCTTATGCAATATGTTTGATACAAAATAATATCATGTATTCTATGTAAATAAAACACCTGTTACGTATTTTATGTTTGATACTACACCAATCATGCTTAAATGTATTAATACACCAGCAATGTCATTTTAATATATATCTGGCAAGATAGTATTTGTGTACTTATAAGTCCACATGTTTGATAACAGAAATGTTAGATAAAACATGAATCATGAATGTAAAGCACATGCTTTAACTTTATCAGCAAAACTATATTTTTGATGTGATGTAGTAGAATGTCATTTAGATTAGAGCTTGATTTCATAAACATGGTGTGTGTGTGTGGGGGGGGGGGGGGGGGGGGTTGCTGCTGATTAGAGAACATTTGTATTAAAAGATCAACAATAAACTTAAACATACTTTGTTTACAATGTTATAGGGAATTCCCATCAGCCAAGTTAGGATAGGGTAAAAGCAAGTCTTAATCTTTAAAATATATATCAGTCTAAGAAAAGTCCAAAGTGCAGTTTTGATAAACAGAACAAAGGTCAAAGTTCACTTTTTAAACTACAAAGTTCAAAAGTAAGCAGTTTAACTGTAAAGCTTTAACATCAAAGTGTTTTTCAACATCTGATTTTCGCTATTAATTTAAATGCAGTCTATCTAAAGTAACAGAAAATCACAATTACACCAGTGCTTAATGATAAGAATAAAACTTGTGTAATGACTGATAACACACAGCCAAAAGAATCCACATTTAATATTTATTTAAACAAGTTAATACATTTTAAAACAATTTTATAGTGAGAAATTCCTTCAAACTATGAGAAATTTATGAATTAGTTAAATTTTACAACATAATTATATAAATAATATTGAAGAGTATGATAACAGATTCAACACTCATAAGGATAACATTTAAAGATAATTAGTATAGATGGAATCATTGGATTAAGTGTCTGTTACTAAACTAAACTGACATACAAGCGGATAAATTGCTACACACTGAAGTAGTTTGTGGATGTCTAACAGTGATCATTTGGACAACAGATAGTTTTTTTCATTACACACTAAGTGTACAACTTCAAGCTATCATTTTATTTCAGTATAAATATGTTAGGTATCCTCATATTTAACAGCAGCTGTAAAAGGTTGTCATGCTCTACTTGTGATCAATATAACCAGGCCTCATCTGGCCCAAAGATGACATAACAGTTTAGCCTCCCTTGTAGTAACACAAGCTTATCTCCCTTTACTGTCTGGTTTGGGCAACATTAAATGTGAAACTAAGTGTAGAATAGAGAGGGCACTTTTATGTAGTTCAAACACTTGATACTACAAGGTGCCACATGATGGGCTGATTTTCAGACTAGAAACTAGTCAAATCAGCAAATTTTTTTTAGTAAGAACAGGAACAGCTCATTGTAATATTTTCCTTTCAGTTTAATAAAAATAAGGTATCCTAAAGTACTTTACCAATGTAAACAAAGTGTAACAATTAATTTTAACTGTATATTTTAAATACCCAAAGCTGATGTATTAGATATAACTGTCAAATTATCCAGGAAACCAAATTTAAAAGCTGATAATTCCATATTCCCAAAGAATGAATTAGAGACATTTACTAGAACTACATCATCATTGGGGTAATCTAGGTACGATTTTTAAAAAAAAAAAGGTAGAGAAAGAGAAATGTAGGCTTATATTATGAGGGATGGTGGTATATATAAAACTTTATTAAGTAAGATTCTTCATATGCCATATTTGTGTCCGATATAAATTATTATTAACAAGCTGAGTTTATAATATTCAATTTGCCATACTCATTTATATTGTACGAGCCGACCCGCGGCATATCATATGCCGCTATTTAGTTGTTATATTTTCTACTTTTCAGTAATTCATAATTTGTGAATTCGACAGTACCAATGCTGCCACTGAAAATATTTGCTTTAAAGCACTATCAGTAGGTCGTTAAGAACGATACTACCCCCCCACCCTCCTTTCCCCCAACCCCTACCCTACACCCCCCCCCCCCCTGTGAAAGCAGCCTCCTCTTAGTTACCTCCCCTAAGTTTAAAATCGTTTCAAACTAAATTATCTGCCCCTAATAGCCGTCACTAAACCCGGCTCTACGAATGTAAACATTTAGGGTGAACCACAGCTCACCAGACCATGTAGGGGTGGGGTGGTAGGGAGCACGCTTACAGCCTGTTTTCTAGCATCTCACAGAAGAGAATTATATATATAGATATTACAAACAAAAACCAGCTCCTGTCTTACTTATATATTAATATACTGCCCATTATTTATTACTCACGCCTATTGGCAGAGTGTCACTATGTCCACGTTTGGTAAACTTCAACGAACTAAATTAAAATAATTAATTTAGATTCTGATCTACATTTTATTAAGTAAATAATGTTAGGTTTTGGTTGTAAATTATTAAAACTGATTTCTTGACCATAAACTACCAATGTACTATTGTTGTAGTACAACTTGTACACTTATACTTATGACCATTGCAAGCAGTATCAAAGTTATATTTTAGTTCTAGATATCTACATTGTTGTTTGGTAGATGTTGCCATGGTTAAAAATGTAAATAAAGCCTTCAGACTTTTTAAAAACTAATTGATAGAAAGAAAAACATTTATGAAATTTTAAAAACAATATTGAGAAGACTAGTTTAGTTTCTAGACTAGGTCTAGATATCTGGATCTCAGTATCTATTCTATAGTTTAACAAGATCTACCTAGCTAGACAGGAAGATAATTATGAAGTGACTACTTGGAGTAATCAAACTGCTCAACAGCAAGCCTCCTCATATAGGTTCCTATATAGATTCTATATGTAAACATAAGCATGAGCAGTAAATTGAAAATCGCCATAAGGTAAGGTAATATTGTTTCCATTGCGCATATAGGTCTATATATCTATATTATATATGGCATATAGTGGCATAATGCCGCCATAACGGCAATAAGGCAGTATAATTGAGTATAAGGCCTACTTTAACCGGGCATATATTAAATAACCCCCCCCCCCCCTCTATTCAGTAGACTGCAGTTAAGTTCTACATTAACCCCCATTAACAGAGTCCATTTTATTTTAATGGTATTAAAACAGATCTAGAATCTACACAAGCCTAATTTGAAATTTCAGCATTATTTCTAGATCTAGATACATCTAGACCCTGTAGATCTAGATATCTAGATCTAGAACAGATAGATCTAGATCTAGATCTAGATTCCTAGGTCTAAACTAAATAATTTTGTTTGTTGTATTGTACTTTTCAGTGCGTTTTCAGAACAGACACGACCTTCACCTTCTGCGCTTATAATTTTATTTAAAATGGCAATAATGGAAAAATACAATTGATAATTACTAAATTTTATTTATGATAGAATCAATTTAAAAAATAAATGTCAGGAACTTTCAATATTACCTTAAAAGCTTGCTTAAAAGCAGATTTTTCTACCAATCGTCCAGACCGAAAGATGAGGGTCGCCATGTTTGGGGGACAACCAAGTTCACGTCAAAATAGAGAATCGCACTTTTACATTTAGAAAAATAATTCGAATGTTAAAAAACATCATAACTAAGGGAGATCACTAGCAGAAAGAGTATTTATGAGAACTTCGTTTCACCAACACTACAACTAGAATCTAGATTTAGATTTCTACATCTCTACAACTAGATTCTAGATCTAGATATTGAATAATTGTCCAATTGACAATGAACCCGTTAACGTAATTAATAATTATTACTAATCGAGTAGCCGTAGTAAATCTATACTATATATTTATTATTTAAGGCTTAAGGTAAAACTACATTTTAGCGTATTAAATACGCTAAAATGTAGTTTATTCCCCGCTTCACATTCACCTCCAGTTATGCGTTCTGTCAAATCATTTAAATGCCTAACTAAAATATTAAAAATAACTTAATAATAAGTAGTAGTAGACCTACTATTTAAGTAGCCTATTTAATTTATTTAGCCTAATATTTAAAAGTTTAAAAGTATGAAACACACAAACACAGTAGGAAAACATTGGGTATGAAGTTTTGTTTTAGTTTTGATAATTTACTTTTGTCAAAACTTGAGAAAAATCCAGATTCGGAATATTGAATGTGCTATAATTTTATAATAGTATGTACTATGCAACTATGTAACGCTATGTTGAAGTATGTTCGTGTGTCAGTTAAGATTCATTCATGGCAATGATGGCCTGAGTGAAGTACAAAACTCACAATAGGTGACAATTGCAAGGCGGTTAAGTTTGTATTGCTACAGGTATCTCCTATGCATGATACTATAAATAAACTTTAATGAACTCACAATGACCCCAAAACTGAGGCCAACACCATTTCAAATAGCTATTGCCCAAGCTATGACGTATGCTGATAAAGTCAATATGACAATATGAACTCACGGCAGTCACGTTGAACCTTCGACCATGGAGGGTGTAGGGATTTTTCTCAGGCTGATGATCAAACACTTATGGGTTTTTTTACCTCTTCTAATTAAAACTCACATTCATAAAAAAAAAAAAGTAGATCTAGCGCTAATCCTAGTGTTTTCCTAACGTTTTAGTGTGTTTTGGTTGTGTTTATAATAAAATGCGCTTGTCTGGAGGTGAACATTAAGCAGCGAATAAAATACACTAAAATTGAGATTTACCTATATTTAATTGATGATAGATTAGGCTATATATATATATATATATATGCGTGTGTGTTTGTGTGTGCGACAGTCTGAAAAAAAAAAACAATTACGTCGCTGGTCGTTCCCTAAAACTTCACTTGACGCCAATTGATTTCCCCTTAAGATGCCGAAACGAATAAAAAGTAGAAAATCATAAGAGCTTAGAACAGTAGGCTCCATCGAACCCGAGAGGTTCGGTAATTCAGTCTCAAAGCTTCCACGGTGGTCAAGACACACACCCGACTCATAGGATTCACGATCGGATTTTCTCATTGTGGACGATGCAGCTATTAAGGAGGGTTCGGTGTTTGCGCAAATGAAACTGGTTGGGTTCGCTACTCCAAAAAGAACCACTGCTTTACAGTGTATTTTGTACAAGGTGCAAGCCTTATTTGGTCTACTTTTGGTCGTGTCTTTAGAACAATTTCGGTAACACTAGGCCATTATTGCAATTTTGAATTATAAGTTAGGTTGAACACAGTAATAATCAGTACAATATGCTAATTTTCTTCTCTTCTAAAATTTTGGCAAAGAGTGTCGCTTCCCATCCACCTGCTCCGACAGTCTGCTAACTCTTTTTTATGTTACACAATCGTAAAATACGCTTTAGTTCAATGGGTTTCTTTTCTGGGTGATATCGGTTTATTCCTTAATCCGGTGTGAATTTTTCCGATTTAAGTCTTCGAAAAAGCGCCCCCCCCCCCCTCCCCATCTAGGAAAGCTGGAAAGCGGTTTTACCGGTCATTGTTTCTTAAAGATATACGTTTTACAGTTACACAACCAAGGTAGAAAACAGTTAAATCAGTATGCAAATGCTCTTAGCCGTTACATTTCTTTATTTTGACTGTTATTAATTCAAAACTGCAGCTTAAAATGAGCTTTTAATTTTTTTTTCTACCCCTTTTGGCGCCCCCCTAGGGTCGGCGCCCGGGGCGGCCGCCCTCCCCTAGCTACGCCTCTGTCACCAGTCAGTGTAAATTGACAGTACTCTGCTGGCTAATGAATGAAATGTTCTTGTTAGCTAAGTTTGGTCTATAGTTATATACAATAACTTAACCTCCATTAATTAAAATATTAAGGCTACATTTTATGTTCATTTTATTTTTTTTTCTTGTAGGTTTGTTAGTATTAGTACTATTTATAATAGGACCTTTGATTTCTAGATATCTATGTAAAAAATGATTCAATATTGCCAATTTAGAGCAATCAACCAAATATTGCAGTTACTGGTTCAGAACCAAACTGGCTCCGATTCTAAATGTTGGTGCTTTTATAATTATCTGCCCACGTTTTCATGTCAGCTGGAGCAAAGTCCCAACACAGTTTAAGTGTCACTGTTGGTTAAGGCATAGCATATGTCATAGCTGCAATTTTCCTCAGCAAAGTCACATTGAATCCAAAATAAATTTGTGAAGTGAAGTAGTTTTCTTTTATTCTGTCTTACCCTCCTGGTACTCAGTTTTTCCTACTCATAGAATGTAAATATTTAAAAACTAAGAAATTAAAACTATTTATTGTTGATATTCACTTTCTACTACTTGTATCCAGTAATAGTGCTGTTTTTTTCTGAATTCTGTTTTAGCAATGTAAAAAATCTACAAAAACTAAATGAAAGAGAATTGGAACTTGGTATTATTGGAAAGAAGTCCTGGCATGATGAATATAAAGATAGCGCTTGGGTTTTTATTGGTGGATTGCCATTTGATTTATCAGAGGGAGATGTCATCTGTGTGTTTTCTCAGTAAGTTTACAATTTTTGGTGCTCTCTTGCTGGCCTAAACATTGGTAAAATGTTTTCCAATTACTAATACTTTTAAAAAGTGCCCACCATAGCTAAACCAAATTTAGATAATTATCACATCAAAATCAGACTTAAAATTTTAATTTTGTATTGAATAAACCTATTGTTACACAACTTAAAAATTTAATTTAGATTACATCACTTTACTGATAATGATGTTGTATTTTTTGCTATTAGAGTGTTAACTGCAGTTGCTTACAAAACTTTGCTTGCTTATTTAAAACTATAGGTATGGTGAAATAGTTAATTTGAATCTGGTACGTGAACACAAAACTGGCAAGTCAAAAGGATTTGCTTTTCTCTGCTACGAAGATCAGCGCAGTACAGTATTGGCAGTAGACAATTTAAATGGCATCAAGGTCTGTCTTTAGCTTTATCATAACCCCTAAAAATGCTAAAATTGTTTCACAATAAATGAGTCTAAGACATTACCCCACAGTTATTTTTCCCCATTACAAAAACCCCCAAATCAATTACCTCACTGACAATTATCCCCTCAGGTAATATGCATATGATACCTATCCCTACCCATATTCAGCTCCCCAACCCTACTCCTAAAATTAAACCTATCCCTACCTATACTTAAACTATATTTCTGTCCATCCCTGAACAACTACTAGGTACCGTTGCATAATCAATAATTAGAGCCAGGACCTCAGTGACCACACAATTTACTGCTTCACTGAGCTGTTCCCCAATATCATCTTGTAGATCCTGCTTTATTTGAGTAGCACAAGCAATTATTTTATTTAAAGACAAGAAAATTTTTTTTTTTTTCAGATCTTGAGCAGGACTATAAGGGTGGACCATGTGAAAGAATACAAAGTTCCAAAAGAATATGGGGATGAAGATGAACTGACAAAGAAAATTCGTGATGAAGGATGTGCGCCCAAGCTTGCAGAGTCCAATGAAGAAGATGACAGTCAGAAGGAAACTACTCAGCGTGAAAAGAAACCAGAAAAAAAAATTAAAGGTACATAGTTAGGTCACAGATCATCCAAAGGAGAATTATAATACCCATTGTTTTCAGCGGCTTTTTAAAAATATAACATTTTTCATACCCTAGTTCTATTAGCATCTTTAAATGTGTATTTTATTTTAGATGAAAAGAAAAAGAAAGAAAAAAAGAAAAGGAAGAAGAAGAAACGTCAAGAAAGCTCGTCCTCCAGTTCAAGTGACTCAGATGAGAAGAAGCCAAAGATGGAATTGTTGGAGATTAAACAGGAGAAGGAAGATCAGGGCTACGAGAAATCAGCTAGGCCTAAAGAATTGGCTAGGCCAAAAGAATCAGTTAGGCCTAAAGAATCGACTAGGCCTAAAGAATCGGCTAGGCCTAAAGAATCAGATAGGGCTAAAGATTCGCTGAGGCCTAAAGAATCTTCAAAAAAGCCCAAATCAGGTGACAGTAATCCAGGAAAGTTTCAGAGAAATGGGCGAGGGAGACAGGACAGTAGTAGTGATAGTGGTAGCAGTGAAAGAGCCAGACCAACCAATGGGTCTTCCAAGGGAAGAGCTGTAAGCAGCTCTGAGAGTAGCAGTGATGGAGAGAGGGGGAAGTTTGTAGATCAAGGGAGGGGTGGAAACAGCGATAGTAACAAAAGTAAAGGTAAAAATAAGGACAGAAGCATGGTAGAAAAAAATGATCAAGTGAGAAAGGCTAGCAAAGTTGGGTATAGAGGTAGAGAGAGAGATAGAAGTGTTGAGAGAGATAGAATGGGGAAGAGAGACAGGGATAGAGGAGACAGAAGCAGAGAGAATGAGAAAAGAGACAGAAGTAAAGATAGAAACAGAGAGAGAGACAGGAGTAGAGACAGAAACAGAGAGAGAGACAGGAGTAGAGACAGAAGCAGAGAGAGAGACAGGAGTAGAGACAGAAGCAGAGAGAAAGACAGGAGTAGAGAGAAAGACAGAAGTAGAGACAGAAGCAGAGAGAGAGACAGAAGTAGAGAGAAAGACAGGAGTAGAGACAGAAGCAGAGAGAAAGACAGGAGTAGAGACAGAAGCAGAGAGAAAGACAGGAGTAGAGACAGAAGCAGAGAGAAAGACAGGAGTAGAGAGAAAGACAGGAGTAGAGACAGAAGCAGAGAGAAAGACAGGAGTAGAGACAGAAGCAGAGAGAAAGACAGGAGTAGAGACAGAAGCAGAGAGAAAGACAGGAGTAGAGACAGAAGCAGAGAGAAAGACAGGAGTAGAAGCACAGAGAGAGACCGAAATAGGGTTGAGAAAAGAAACAGGAGCCAAGAAAGAGATAGATCAAGCAATGCTCGGGACAGGGGAGGTAACAGAGACAGCCATAGAAACAGTAGGTACAAGAATAAGAATGATGATTACAGAGAAGATGGGAAAAGATACAGATAAAGTTTACAGATATTAGAGGCAGCCACTTTCATAAATTTCATGCTGAAACACATTTGTAAATATCATCTTACATTAAAACCACCACATCATAAATTAATGTTTTGTTTTGTTGTACTTATAACATAAACTTTATTTTTTATTCACCCACTGTTTTTCTGGCTTCAAACTAGAAAATATCATAGAGAGTTTACACACAACAATTCTGACAAAGCTGGAATTTTACAAATACAACTTACCAAATTCAGGTTACATCATTGTACACAAATTGATTAGATTTTCTTAGCTGTCATTACTCTCAAATAGACTTGTTTATTTTTAGTGAATTTATTACAAAACTTTTCAAGCTGGTTGTGGCGTTTTTAGTTTTGACTTAAGTTATTATCACTTGATATAGTAATTTAATTTGAATAGTGCATGTATTAGGTCAGTACTGTCAATCTTCAAAAATAGTGTCACATTGATTCATTGATTATTATGAAGGACACAGCTGTTAGTCATGTTTGGTCCAACTTTAATGTGCCTACACATAGAACAGGGATACAGTTTGAGATGGGGCAGGGTAGGACAATTCTACATCTAACATCTACTAGTATTCAGGAAGGCATTAAATTAGAGAAATCAATTTAGCTAAATATGTTCTAATTAGAATGGTTGGATACATTATCTCTCTCAATTAGCTGACATATTTTTCTTTAAACATTTAGGCCTAAGTTTTTGCATTGCCTCAGTTCAACATGATCTACCCACAAGTAGACCTCCAATTGGTACTACTCTGTTAAATGTATTTGGGGAAGGTTCAGAGGCGTAGCGAGGGGCGGGGGTGCGGAACGCACCAGGTGACACCATTTAGGGGGGTGACACCAAGGCAAAAAATAGCAAAATATATAGAGAAAAACTTGAGGGGGGTGCAAATCAAAAGTTTGAGGGGGGGACGACACACCATTAAGTGCCGCACCGGGTGACACCCGACCTCGCTACGCCACTGGGAAGGTTATAAGTGATTCTTAGCAGTGGAGCAGTTGTAAATGAAAATTTAGCCTATATGCTGTGTTGGGTAGGTCAAAATTCCCCACTTTTACCAGCTTTTTAAAAACTAAATTTTTCTTTTTTTTTGGATTGAAACTTGTGAATAAAAATGTATCCAGTTCTACCTTGGGTTGCTGTATCAAATGTATTGAAACAAAGAGATCAGGGAGAAGGACGGTAGAGGAAGAGGCAAAGTCCACTGGGCTTACGTGGGCACAGATAAAGGGAGCAGCCCAAAGCCAAGTCCGGTGGAGAGGTGAACCGGCAGCCCTTTGCTCCCCAGGGGCCACAAAGAAAAAATGAAAATGATGATGACAAAACTTTAATAGCGACCCATGTTTTTTTTTATAGTTACATAAACAATAGTGCATTATTATGTTTAAAGAAAATCGTTTTACAATTATTTCTTTTGCATATAGATATTAAAAAAAAGCTTTTTTTTTCATGTTTATGATCACCTAACTAATGCAGGTTTCCTACAATCTATACTAAGGATTTAGAGCTGAATTCATTTTTAAATTACAACAATTTTAATTACAACAATTTATCCTGGTACCCTTCCCACCATGAAGACCTATATAAAGTAAATGTCTTCTTTAGACCTAATGGTCCATTTTGCAAATGAAGTAGAATTCAGATGTTTCTTGACCTCGTCATAGGCAGGGACGGTGTGGTCAACCCTATGCCCAGTCACCTTCACTTTTCCCAATGTAAGTCAGTTAGGCAGTGTTCAGTGTTTCTTCCAGACTTTTTTTTGGGGGGGGGGGGGGGGACACTGTCAAAAGTATATATTTTCTATATAAATTCCATTTCGTTCTGGGGGGGGGGGGGGAGGGGAGAAATAATTCCCCCCCCCCCCCCCCCCCCCCAATAGATGTCTGGAAGAAACTGCAGTTAGGGCCTACCCATCAAAGCTGGGTGGACTCAGGGACATCCTACAATCACAAGTCTGAACTCAAAACTTTAAGGATAGCAGCCAAATGCTCTACAATTTGACCACAACAACCCTCTTTCAATATATCAAGAGCTAACAAAAAAAAAATTGTGAATGCCTCTCCCTACCCTACCCTATGGAATATTTTTATTAAAACTTAATTTTTAATTATCAAACAAAAATCGCATTTTACAAGTAGGTGTAAAGGGGGAGGGACACAAGTGAGGAATATAATCAACATTTTAGATGTTTGTTAAATTAAAATACATTATTTATACGATCACGGATCATTAAAGCAATTTTATTTTTAAAATAAGAGTTAATAAGGCGAAGGTTTTCCGTTTCAAGTGGCAGCTTTCAACTAAACTGCTGAAACTACGGCCTACTAAACTGCTTTATTACATTTCATAAACACAACAAATGAAAATGGTTTCGAGTGCAAGTTGAAATTAGCCTGGATTGCAGAAATAGATTAGAATTAATATTACTATTTGATGATTTTGACGAAAATCTCTGGCCTATAGATCTAGTATCCCAATTCGTCTCTTGAAAAATATCTAATTCTAAAATAATGTGAGTATTGATGTTCTAGGTTGAATTATGGATTTTTTTTAAATAAAATATTCTATGTTATTTCAAATACACCATTAACTTCCTTACCCCTTAAGAGAACATTTGACACCTCATTTAAATATCTAGCTTACTCGGTTGACGAGAAAATAGAGAATTTGAAAATTAATCAAAAATGGAAAATGAATGACAAATCAGCGTTCTTGGCCCTCGACCGGCATAACATGACGTCGTGGACCTGTGTACACGAGCTTTTAATTCCCGCCATGGTAATTGCGTCAGCTTAGGTAATTTACTCACCGGAAAATAACAAAAAGCAACTCGTTGATAATAAAACTAGATCTAGTTATTTTATTATTTATTAAATTCTACTCCACATGATATTCATACCATTTTATGAAGTAATGAACACCTGCATAAATCAAATGACCATAATAAATATTTTTATTTCAAATTCTAATTTTAAATAATAAATATGCTTAAAATAATATGATAGTAATAGTTATGATAGTTTATAAATACAAATACATTTTACACTCAATTCACATTGTATTGAGTCAACAGCGTGGCAGCTGAGGTTCATACATGGTATTAGTGTATTTTTTTTTACATTACATTTTTTTTTCATCTTGAAAACATGACGTATGTGATTATTTTTTTAAAATAAAATCTCCAAACATCGTCACTCGCGTGATTGCTTGCTTAAGTTTACTATCCTGTGGATGAAAAATCCCACCACGGTCGCGGGGTCACCGTGACCTATAGTACACGTCATAGAATGAACACGCATACACGAGATGGTCGGTGTCTTCACTTCTCTCTCTCTCTCTTCCCCCCCCCCCCCCCCTTCTTCAAGCAAATTGAATAACAGACCTACTTCCCTACTTCTGGTCATTTTTTTTTTAAAGTTCGGTCATTTTTTTTTTAAAGTTCACATATCAGGCATGCTAGACAGCCAGCTGTATAAAAAATATTTAACTAGATCTACGTCTAGCTTTAAAAAATAAATAAATAAACGCTTAAAATGCCCGTAAACAGATTATTTAGCGCCAAAAAAAAGGCAGCTGAACGAGCATTTTTTAAAAATACGCAGCAATGAAAAGGGCTAACGGCCGATCAATTAAGTCTAAAAATCGCCCGTAATTAGGCCTAGCTCTGAAAAAGGCCACTGAACGAGCATCACTGATTATATAAACGAATAGGCCACGCAGCGTTGACGAGGTTAACCACCGGTCACGAATGCAGCAACTGTCGGCCCACAGTGAAGAAAAAATCAATATACTAATAAAATTACTAATACAACAATAATGTCCATAATTTTACTTTTTCCACACATGCTACAATTGAGTTATAATTAAAATACTAGACTTAACTGTTCATTCCGTAAAAAACAAAAACTAGTTGTTTCAGTCTGGCAACTAGCGTAGCAATGACGTCATGATACTAAAAATAGCGGATAGAAATGTCAGCGTGGGTACCTCATTTTGGGATAAGATTTTGGAAACCAGAATCAATAATAATGTAAATATACAAGGTAAATATCTCAATTATATATTAATTTAGAGGAGGTCGGGCCGTTTTCCCCGGAGGTCGGTCGTTTTTAGCGGCGGTTCAGTTTTTACGGAGAGCGCTCCACTAGAAATCCTCTCATTATTTACAACAACAAATCTCTCGATTTTTTCTGGCATTCTAAGGCATATTATCCATTTTATTAGCATTCTGCATTAAAATAATGATGAGAATTTGCGAGATTAACAGTTTTTTCATTTGTCGTGGATAGAACCCCTAAAATAAACGTAAAAACCGTCTAAAAACGACGCGTGACGTTTCAGGGTCAGAGGTCAATCCAGCCATCTAAGCAACGCGCCAGACTATGATATTCAGTATTTATTTCTTTGAAGTGACTACTCGGAAAAAGATTTTTATGCCCCAACGTCTCCACCTAGTCGGCAAAAGATAGTTCTGCGCATGCACAGTGACCTATGGCCAGGGTTAGGGATAGGGTTAGGGCTAGAATTAGGGTTAGGGCTAGGATTAGTAGTTATGGTTAGGGATGGGTTGGGGTTAGGGCTAGGGTTCTGCTGTTGTAAACACATGCATGCGCAGTACCATCGAAAACATCGCCGCTAAGGCAAGTCGTAGTTTATCTCCATTGCGCATGTGCATCTTTTTCCGGCTAGCATCAGCCTTATTTCTTTAAGATCTCATTTTGCTTTTGATGAAAATCTCAAAAAAATTTTGTTTAGAAAAAAAAAACTTAAAAAGTAATCAATAATAGCTAGCACGGAGTAGCACACTAGTAAACTAAGTCAATTTAGCATATATTAACTTTCTGTGCAAAGTCATCTATAATATAAACAAAGAAACCCGGAAGATATGAACCAAACGGCCTATCACCGGCAAATTTTAGGTCTAGGTCCTAGCCTAGGGCAGGAGGAGGCAAACATATTAAATCATTTAAATTAAATTAAATTCAGTTTTATTGAACGCTCTTGATAATAACATTACGATTTTTATTCACGCAAAATTATATAAAAATAAAATACCACTGGGAATAGGCCAATGGGATTTAATATCTTTCAATAACCAAACTAATCATTTATCGTAAAAACTGGGCAATAGGGTAGCCTCTAGGCCTATTTATTAATTATTTATTATTTAAGACTTAGACTAATTTAAGAGAAGGCCGCTATTTGTTATTGTATTAATTACTAAATTAGCCTATGCGTCACCTATAGGTAAGTAGTTCACATTGCTATTCTTTAAATTCGACCTCATCCCGAGATCATATATGTTTATTTATTGTCATTTATCTTAACATAAACTTTATTTATCAACACAACTTAACTTGAAAATAAATTATTACGTTTTTACCGAAACATAGTTATACAAGATCGATTAAGACATAAGAAGTGCTTTTCAGACGTGCTTGTACCTCCCATATTGTTTTGAGGGTTTGATAATTATTATATGGCGCCTTACCCGCTCAAATGTTTGTGACAATTTTGTAAAAAGTGTTTGATAAAAACAAACTGGAAATACATTTCTTAAGCATAAAAATCAGAATTTAGTTTAATTTTTGTAACTTGCTTTATTACCTTCTTGAACCAAAAAATGTTTTTTCTGCACACGTAAATAGTACTACTTATATAACTTAACATCTGCTAGGAAAGAAAAGTCGGTATTGTTCTCTCTATTTTGTGCAAAAGATTTCCCTTTGAACATGTAAAGTATAAAGACTTCCTTGATTACTGTGGATCGTCGAGGGCTATAAAATTGCTCTTATTTAGAGTTAAGTACATTATGGATAAAGAATTCATGAAAATTTCGGAAGTCTGATAAAAGCACACTGGATTTTGCAAGATGCCAGGAAAGTTCATTGGTGGTGGATAATCGAACTGCCTACTATTCAGCTGTGAATAACCATAAAAATTCACATAGTTCACTATGGTTCATCTGTTTATATAAAGTAACTTTATGTTAATGATTAAGAGAATTGAAAAATTATTTGTATTATAGACTATGATACTAACCTTAACACTAACTTTTTTCGTTAAGGTTTCTTCATTTTTGCTATAATAATAATAATATAGATCTGTAGATCTCTACATTAACAGAATCAAATTAAGGTGGGTACTGTGTCAAGCGAGCCGACCTCTGCACATCAGGCATTTATTTTTTATTTTCCAACAGTTTACCAACTGCTTTTATCAGAAGGGCCATTTTGGATAAATTTGCCTTTCAAATAAGCTTTAAATTGAAAATGTTTTATTGTCTACAATAGTTCAGACTAAGGTGTGCCTTGCTGGTTGTCCCTTATAGTTTTGAAAGGGTGGGACTATTTAGTGGGAGGTGAGGGGGGGGGGGGTTCATTATTGATATGGCATGAGGTGAGAGAAAAATGTGTTGCCAGAAAAAAAAAGGCTACCTGATTACATTAGATACTGTAAACTTCTGATAAGTAGATCTGTTGTGTACTAAGGGAAGTAACTGGTGTGATGATTGTAAAGCAATATGTTGCCATAAAACTAATAGTAAAATAGGTACTGTAAACTTCCTGTTTTAAGTATCGTATTGATATGTTCCTTTTATTTATCTTAAAAATGTGGTACTTGTGCACTAGTGGGTCATGTCAATGCCCTGTTGTCTTAAATAGTGTAATGACTAGGCATTTATTGCTGCTAACTTGTAGTAAAATAATTTGGTGAGATAAAGGTAAGGGCTGTGCACAGGGTGTAGGACATTGCATGAGTGTAAAGATATGTGTGTGTAAAAACTGTGTCCCAGGATCAGCACATGTCCACTAGAATACACTGTTCCCACTTCAGTGCTGATATAGCAGCAGCCAGTGCTAGAGCCCTTATCTGTTGATGTGTAAGTGATGTTTGCAAGTTCTTGGCATAGCAATACTTAATAGTCATGTTATCTATTTAAACTAACAGATGTTTTCAAAACCTGATATTATACTAATATGTGTTTTGAAGGTTCTATTTAAGTCAGGTTGCTTTATAACTGGATTCTGTGCATACACATTTTAAAATGTTCCTATATTTCTTTTCATGTTTATTTTAGCATGGTTTGGTATGACGGAACAACTGAGCTTTGTTTTGTCTAGTTTATTATTGACTTACACAGAGACTGTATTTACTGAGGCATTTTTTGCAAGACTTAAACCAATGTACCCCTGTTGACATAACAGTTCAAGGGGCCCGCTAATAAGGATTATCCACTAACATGTTCAAGCTTAGTCTTTTTTGCTCAATTTTGGCTCTGTATATTGGTTTTAAATTTTTTTTAAATTTCTGACAGAATAAATATCTAAATCCCACAGCACACAACCGCTCTACATACAACCCCTCTACATATTTTACATACATATTTTTCCTTTTATTGTCTCCAGTACCTTGATATTGGATCTTGATCATACTGATACAAGGGACATAACCTTAGAAGACACATGGCACACAAGAGTTATGCAAAAAGCATTGACTTGCCCACAGAGCAGGTCTTTCATAACATAAGAAATGCCAAAAGGTTTGCTATTGACATAGGTAAGTTCAAGGTTGGGTTTTATTTCTCATTCAATCTCAGATCTGGCAAACATTTTATTACATTAGTGTAGGCTCTATACAGGCTCTATACTGACCAAACTTTGAAACATTTTTTTACATTAGTGTATACAGACTGAACTTTGGTCCAGTTCTGTTAAAAGACCAGAAAAAAAAATACTCAAATTAAAAAAAAAACAGGTTTTTTTCCAAGGTGTAAAACAGATTTAAAATTTTAAAAATAGAAAAAAGAAAAACATTAATATCATTGTATAGCACCTAAATAACTACCAAAAACTAAATCTTATATGCTTTATATTCATTTTTTTTTTATTGGATACTTAAGGAGGATCTTTAGCCAAAGTTGCATACAGTTCCTTGGTAAAGAAAAAATCAACCATGGTCTTTGATGAGCCTGATTCAGTGAGTAATTCAATACAAATGTGTATGCCCTTGATGTAAGAGTACGTTCCCTTTATTCATTGATCCTGCAAGCTTGTATTTGCTTCTATTGATCATTGAATTGATAGCTGGCCTGCTTGATGAGTTTTTAGTTTTTTTACTGGTCTATTTTTAGTTACGAAAGCTGCTTTTTCCTGAACACAATATAAGCATCAGATGTACTAGAACTTATCACAGTGTTTTAAAACACATTGTGTCTGTATCTAATTTTTATTTATTTTACAGAATTTAGTTTTTGTGACTGATAATGATCGTAACTTTGGTAATTTTTCTGATGATTTGTCTGATGATGTGTGATGATTTGTTTGATGATTTGTCTGATGCTGTGTGATGATTCTATTTTAGTTTGGCTCCAACAAAGGCTCAATCTACAACGTCTCTGAAACAGACCAGGAAAACATTCGGCTCCACTTTGTGAAGTTTGAAACTAAGTACATCGAGACCTGCCTGGATTTCATCCAAGCTAATCTCATCCAATCAAAAGAGTTCATGATGGACAAAGTGATCAAAGTGACAGGGGGAGGAGCCTACAAGTACACAGAGCTTATTAACAGTAAACTTGGAGTGCAGTAAGTCAAGTGTGTAGTTGTTCCATACTTTTCTAAAGTCAAATGTGTAGCTATTCAATACTTTTCTAAAGTCAAATCTGTAGTTATTCCATACTTTTCTAAAGTGAAATGTGTAGTTATTCCATACTTTTCTAAAGTGAAATGTGTAGTTATTCCATACTTTTCTAAAGTGAAATGTGTAGTTATTCCATACTTTTCTAAAGTGAAATGTGTAGTTATTCCATACTTTTCTAAAATCAAATATTTAGTTATTCCATACTTTTCTAAAGTCAAATGTGTAACTATTTCACACAATTTAAACCGTAAATTTACTTCATCAGGTTCACTTTTTTAAGTTATGAAAGTTTTCTTTGATTAAGCTAACAAACCTAACACAATACCTGAATTTCTCCACAAACCAAACACAATCTCCAATGCCTGAATGTCAAACCAAACACAATCCCCAATGACAGAATGTCAAACCAAACACAATCCCCAATGCCTGAATGTCTCCACAAACCAAACACAATCCCCAATGACAGAATGTCAAACCAAACACAATCCCCAATGACAGAATGTCAAACCAAACACAATCCCCAATGACAGAATGTCAAACCAAACACAATCCCCAATGACAGAATGTCAAACCAAACACAATCCCCAATGCCTGAATGTCTCCACAAGCCAAACACAATCCCCAATACCAGAATGTCAAACCAAACACAATCCCCAATGACAGAATGTCAAACCAAACACAATCCCCAATGCCTGAATGTCTCCATAAACCAAACACAATCCCCAATGACAGAATGTCAAACCAAACACAATCCCCAATACCTGAATGTCAAACCAAACACAATCCCCAATGACAGAATGTCAAACCAAACACAATCCCCAATACCTGAATGTCAAACCAAACACAATCCCCAATGACAGAATGTCAAACCAAACACAATCCCCAATGACAGAATGTCAAACCAAACACAATCCCCAATGCCTGAATGTCTCCACAAACCAAACACAATCCCCAATGCCTGAATGTCTGAATGTCAAACCAAACACAATCCCCAATGCCTGAATGTCTGAATGTCAAACCAAACACAATCCCCAATGACAGAATGTCAAACCAAACACAATCCCCAACGCCTGAATGTCTCCACAAACCAAACACAATCCCCAATGCCTGAATGTCAAACCAAACACAATCCCCAATGCCTGAATGTCTGAATGTCAAACCAAACACAATCCCCAATGACAGAATGTCAAACCAAACACAATCTCCAATACCTGAATGTCAAACCAAACACAATCCCCAATACCTGAATGTCTCCACAAACCAAACACAATCCCCAATGCCTGAATGTCAAACCAAACACAATCCCCAATGACAGAATGTCAAACCAAACACAATCCCCAATACCTGAATGTCAAACCAAACACAATCCCCAATACCTGAATGTCTCCACAAACCAAACACAATCCCCAATGCCTGAATGTCAAACCAAACACAATCCCCAATACCTGAATGTCTCCACAAACCAAACACAATCCCCAATGCCTGAATGTCAAACCAAACACAATCCCCAATGCCTGAATGTCAAACCAAACACAATCCCCAATACCTGAATGTCTCCACAAACCAAACACAATCCCCAATACCTGAATGTTCTCAGAGTTGACAAAGAGGATGAGATGGAGTGTCTAATCAAAGGCTGCAACTTCCTGCTGAAGAACATCGCAGATGAATCTTTTTGCTACATGCGCCACGGTAACCCTGAGTACAAGTTTCAAGGTGTTGATTCTGACATTTTTCCTTACCTGTTGGTCAACATTGGCTCAGGTGTCAGTCTTTGTAAGGTCAGTGAAACTTTTTTTGTCTGTAAAAAATGTCAGTTCTTTTTTTTTGTGTTAAAATTGATAGTTCTTGTTTCGTGTTAAAATTGATAGTTCTTGCTTTGTTTTAAAATTGATAGTTCTTGGTTTGTGTACAAATTGATAGTTCTTGGTTTGTGTACAAATTGATAGTTCTTGGTTTGTGTTAAAATTGATAGTTCTTGGTTTGTGTTAAAATTGATAGTTTTTGGTTTGTGTTAAAATTGATAGTTCTTGGTTTGTGTTAAAATTGATAGTTCTTGGTTTGTGTTAAAATTGATAGTTCTTGGTTTGTGTTAAAATTGATAGTTCTTGGTTTGTGTTAAAATTGATAGTTCTTGGTTTGTGTTAAAATTGATAGTTCTTGGTTTGTGTTAAAATTGATAGTTCTTGGTTTGTGTTAAAATTGATAGTTCTTGGTTTGTTTACAAATGTAAAATCATACAGCCAAGTGATAAGAAAAAGTATTCTAATTTTAGGAGTAAAAAAGATTAATATTCAAACTATATGTTTTGTTAAAACTGCTGATTAATATTCTAACTATAATTTTTGTAGACACTGTTGATTAATATTCTAAGTATACATTTTGTTAAAACTGTTGATTAACATTCTAACAATAATTTTTGCAAAACTGTTGATTAATATTCTAACAATAATTTTTGCAAAACTGTTGATTAATATTCTAATGAAACGGTTGTTTATGTGTCTGTCTTGTTCTCAGGTGGAGTCTGAGAGTAAGTTTGAAAGAATTGGTGGAACTTCAACGGGTGGCGGAACTTTCTGGGGCCTAGGGTCACTTCTCACAGCTGCTAAGGTAAAAATTCAATTTTACAAAATTATAACAAATTTAAAAAAAAATTAGACTCTAATTTCCAATGCATAGCTTCATTTTGTGAAAAAGATTTTAAATAGGGCAAGTTAACCAAGTTGTATTCAATACTTTTAAAAAATACTTTTTTTCTGTTTTAAATAATTTTTTAAAGTTTGGTTTGTTTCATTTTGCAAGATTATTTATTGGTTGAAACCATTTGTCATGTAGGAGTTTGATGAACTGCTGGAGCTGGCTGAGAAAGGTGACCACAAGTCGCTGGACATGCTAGTGAAGGACATTTATGGAGGGGACTATTCTGCCATTGGACTGAGCGGTGAGGTCATTGCAAGTAGCTTTGGTAAAGCTGCCAGATGTGCACGGGACACTCAACAAAGTGGTGAGGTTTTCCTTGTTACGTTTAATGTTTGTTACAAATCAGTTTTGTGTGTAGTTTTCCCGCTTTGTTGCTTTGCTACCAAAGAATTATTTTGCTTAAAATAAAAATGCCATTCTCAGTAGAAGACACCAAAATTGCTGGAATGTTGGAATAGTTTAAAAAACAAAATATTTTCCACATAAAAGATAATAATTGTTTTTATTTTACCCAGTGCCAACGTTCAGGAAAGAGGATGTGGCCAGGAGCCTGTTGCTGTGTATCAGCAATGACATTGGCCAGATTGCTTATCTACAGGCCAAATTGCATGGCGTGAAAAAAATTTACTTTGGTGGATTTTTTATACGAGGGCATCCTTTTACCATGCACACAATCACATTTGCCATAAATTTCTGGTCAAAGGTAAATATTAAATTGTCAAAGTTAAAATAATTTTTTTCATTATAATTTTTTATTAAAAGTTTTTTTAAAATAGATGTTTTTAAAAGTTCCCAACTTTTGAATGATACGTTAACATATGTGTGTACTTCTAAGGGTGAGATTCAAGCCTTGTTTCTCAGACATGAGGGATATCTGGGTGCTATTGGTGCATTCTTGAAGGGCATGGAAGAGGAAGGTAGATATGTATAGGCAATCACACAACAGACTAATTAAAATTTAGTTCCATTTTGTTTAGTGTTATGCATGTAATACATAATGACTGTTCTACATTATTATTTGTTTGATAAGTCTCCCTTAGCTTATTGCCTAAACTTATTAGAATGTGAACTAACATTTGACCATAAGATGAACAGACACATTATTTTTATAAATTATTGAAAATGTTCTACATTTTAGATGCAGAGCGCTATTCCTGGGGGGAGAATCTAGCAGGGAGCTCTGGTCTTGCAAGCCCAAAACAAATCAACCCTCGTGTTATTGAAGAAATGGCAAACAGTGTAAGAAATCCTTTACAAACCATTTCTTTATAAACTTTTAACAATTATAAACCCAGGAATTTTGGAATTTTTAAATTATGGTTTGGATAATAGTTCTCATAGTAATCAGCACTAGATGGTCAGGTTTAGCTAACTAATTGTACAAGTTCCATGGTATTGATGTAAAGTTTACAAGATATATGGTCCTAATCCCCATTTTGTATCATAATTACCATTTTACAACTATATACTAAATCAGACGATAACTATTATGATTATGGGTTGTATGTCACATTTGTTGAGAACCTCTAATCGAAAAAATTTATTCCCCCCTCCCACCATCATGTTTGAGACCAACTTTAACATGTGGGCTTATGTCACAGCTTTTGAGAACCTCTAACCTAAAACTTTATTCTCCTACCCCCCCCCCAGTTTACCATGCTAGAGATCAACAGACTGGACAGAGCCCTGCTCCCCTGTCCCCTGCTGCTGGACGTCATCGGCTACTTCCCCGACACAGTGGACCTCACCCAGGACAAGGACGCACGGGACTACTGGCTCAAATGTTTTGCTGACAGTGCAACAAAAGTAAACAGTAATAACATTCACATTTTGTTGGGTTGTTGTAACATTCACATTTTGTTGGGTTGTTATAACATTTGCATTTTGTAGGATTGTTTCTAGAATTGTTTTTAAAAACAACACCAGCTTGAGTGTAGATCTATACTTTAACCAAAAAATCAGCAAGATACTGTTGGGAATTTTTTTGACTAAAAAATATTTATAAATTTGTACTTAAAGTTATATTTTATTTCTTGCTCCACTTGAAACTGCTTCAAAATAAATGTCATTTTTCACACTATTTCCACAGTAGTAATTTTTTATACTGAGAAACAAAAAAACACAATTTATTTACTGAATTGGTCAAAGTTGACACCTACTAAATGAAAATGGATTTTTAATTAAACACACTTTGAATGACCTCCTTAAAACTTGAGATCTCATTTAGCCATAGTTGTCCACCCACTGAATTAAATAAATTATTTATTAAGCAAATTTTTGTATTGCCTCCATAGACTCGAGACCTTGCCATCAAAAGCCAGGCTCATGAGCCAGATGCCACAGAAAGAGCTGACAAGTTTCTCATGAAGTATTTGGAGAGGTTGAAGTCCTTTGAGCAAAATCCTTGGTGAGCCATGATTCTTGTCTTGGGTGAAATGTCTTGGGTAAAATGTGTTGAATTAAATCCATGATGAGCCTTGATTCTTGTCTTAGGTGATATGTATTGAGTAATCTGTGAACAAAATCCTTGATGAGCCTTGATTCTTGTCTTAGGTGATATGTATTGAGTAATCTGTGAACAAAATCCATGATGAGCCTTGATTCTTGTGTTGGGTGAAATGTATTGAGTAATATCTGTTATGTGATACATATTGTGTCATCTGTATTGTACGATAGCCATTGTGTATTTTGTTCAGCTTGATACCCATTATGTAATTTGTCATTTGTGTAATTTATATTGTCTAATTCATTGTTTAACAACAAATTACTATTAAGGCTATTCAATTATGAGAATTCAGTAAATCAAAAACTGATACTACAGGTTATGTTATGTTGTTTATTTGTTGTATCCGTCATAATTTTACTTCTTGCATGAAATATTTTCTCACTCTCTGCCATCTTTGATATACTTTGTCTGCTAGTTTGTGTGGTTTAAATTTAAAATGTTTTGTCTTTGACCTTTGGCTTCCCATGTAATGGAATGTTCTGTGTCTCCCATGTAATAGAAAGTTCTGTGTCTCCACAGTGCTTATGGCTCTCTCACAGTGCGCAGCCTCCTGGATACCAGCACACACTTCTTGGAGGAGTTTTCTTTCACTGATATCTTCTCACAGGTAACAGCTACAACTTTGAGAGTAGTTTAAGCCTGGTCAAGACCCTATAACTACAATACGTTTTAAACATTTATTGTCAACCTTAATTAAACAAATGGGACTGGGTGGCTGAGTGGTAGAGCGCTGGACTTGCAATAGTGAAGTCTCAAACTCAGTTCCTAGAATTGAGTCATTATGAGTTCTCAGTGCACTCAGCTCTAATCAGTACCTAACTCAAAGTTAGGGAAAGTAAAGATGACTTTCAAAGTAAAAACTGACCACTGTATCCCTATGTACACCAAGACCACAAAAAGTTATTGACTTCATCTGCTGTATTGACCATTAGGTCTGAAACAAAAACTTCTTACTTTGTTTAACCAAAGAAGTTAATGAAAACTGTAAATGTCTAACCTGAGGCATGTTGATTCAAACTAAAACTATCTCAAGCCAACACTATCAGGAAAAGACTTAACCCTAATCGTCTCATTTAGTGTCATAAAATTCTCATGAGCTACAGTAAAGATGTTACTAAATTTTCTAACTTAATCTTCAGTTGCTATTTTTTACTGTAAAATTAATTCACGTTCATTTGTTGTTCCTTTATTGTAAAATTTGTTCGTCATATTCGTTTTTTTTTTACAGTTTACAGTAAACTTCATTTGTCAAATTCAGTTGTTTCTTTAACATAAAATAAATTCTTCATCTTTGTTGTTTCTTTACTGTAAAATGTATTCTTTCTATATAAACTGTTGCCAGCAAAAGCAAGTTGAGAATGAACAAGCCCTACGTCTGCTGGCATCCAGGCTGAAGACACTGGATGACCTACCACCTCAAGAGAGACAACTCCAGCTAGTCTTAGGGATGCTAGCTGGTAATGTCTTTGACTGGGGTGCCAAAGAAATCAGGACAATTCTGGAAACCAGGCAGTTCAGCCTAGAGGATGCCCAAGAAAAACTCCAAAGTAAATTTTTACAATTTTACATTTTGTTTTTTAAATATTTTTTTAAATTAGTGTTTAAAAGATAAAAATAGACAATATAATTCAACATTATGATTGTGTCAAAATATTTAGTTTAAAAGTCTTTGATGATGCAGTACTTAAAAAAAAAAAACAACAAACTTTTCATTTATTCTTGAAATACATTGGTCAGATTTATGGTTTGTTTTAATGCATTTATTATTTTTTGCTTAGCTAGATTTGTGTTATTTTTCTGAAAGGTTAGTAAAACAATGATGAGAACCACCAGTCTACTTTTTACCCCTTTACAACTGTTACAACTAGTATAAGATGTTTAATCCAGCCATTGTTCTAGTAAATAATAATCAGTTAGTTTGTATGACCCCACCTGATCAGTTTGTTTACATTGTATGACCCCACCTGACCTGTTTGTTTACATTGTATGACCCCACCTGACCCATTTGTTTACATTGTATGACCCCACCTGACCCGTTTGTTTACATTGCATGACCCCGACCTGACCAGTTTGTTTACATTGTATGACCCCACCTGACCCATTTGTTTACATTGTATGACCCCACCTGACCCGTTTGTTTACATTGCATGACCCCAACCTGACCAGTTTGTTTACATTGTATGACCCCACCTGACCCATTTGTTTACATTGTATGACCCCACCTGACCAGTTTGTTTACATTGTATGACCCCACCTGACCCATTTGTTTACATTGTTTGACCCCACCTGACCCATTTGTTTACATTGTTTGACCCCACCTGACCCATTTGTTTACATTGTATGACCCCACCTGACCCATTTGTTTATATTGTATGACCCCACCTGACCTGTTTGTTTACATTGTATGACCCCACCTGACCCGTTTGTTTACATTGTATGACCCCACCTGACCCATTTGTTTACATTGTATGACCCCCACCTGACCCATTTGTTTACATTGCATGACCCCCACCTGACCTGTTTGTTTACATTGTATGACCCCACCTGACCCATTTGTTTACATTGTATGACCCCACCTGACCCGTTTGTTTACATTGTATGACCCCACCTGACCCATTTGTTTACATTGTATGACCCCCACCTGACCAGTTTGTTTACATTGTATGACCCCACCTGATCAGTTTGTTTACATTGCATGACCCCCACCTGACCAGTTTGTTTACATTGTATGACCCCACCTGACCCATTTGTTTACATTGTATGACCCCCACCTGACCCATTTGTTTACATTGTATGACCCCACCTGACCCGTTTGTTTACATTGCATGACCCCGACCTGACCAGTTTGTTTACATTGTATGACCCCACCTGACCCATTTGTTTACATTGTATGACCCCACCTGACCCGTTTGTTTACATTGCATGACCCCGACCTGACCAGTTTGTTTACATTGTATGACCCCACCTGACCCATTTGTTTACATTGTATGACCCCACCTGACCAGTTTGTTTACATTGTATGACCCCACCTGACCCATTTGTTTACATTGTTTGACCCCACCTGACCCATTTGTTTACATTGTTTGACCCCACCTGACCCATTTGTTTACATTGTTTGACCCCATCTGACCCATTTGTTTACATTGTATGACCCCACCTGACCCATTTGTTTACATTGTATGACCCCACCTGACCCATTTGTTTACATTGTATGACCCCACCTGACCCATTTGTTTACATTGTTTGACCCCACCTGACCCATTTGTTTACATTGTTTGACCCCATCTGACCCATTTGTTTACATTGTATGACCCCACCTGACCCATTTGTTTACATTGTATGACCCCACCTGACCCATTTGTTTACATTGTATGACCCCACCTGACCCATTTGTTTATATTGTATGACCCCACCTGACCTGTTTGTTTACTTTGTATGACCCCACCTGACCCGTTTGTTTACATTGTATGACCCCACCTGACCCATTTGTTTACATTGTATGACCCCCACCTGACCCATTTGTTTACATTGCATGACCCCCACCTGACCTGTTTGTTTACATTGTATGACCCCACCTGACCCATTTGTTTACATTGTATGACCCCACCTGACCCGTTTGTTTACATTGTATGACCCCACCTGACCCATTTGTTTACATTGTATGACCCCCACCTGACTAGTTTGTTTACATTGTATGACCCCACCTGACCCATTTGTTTACATTGTATGACCCCCACCTGACCCATTTGTTTACATTGCATGACCCCCACCTGACCAGTTTGTTTACATTGTATGACCCCACCTGATCAGTTTGTTTACATTGTATGACCCCCACGTGATGAGTTTGTTTACACTGTATGACCCCACCTGATCAGTTTGTTTACATTGTATGACCCTACCTGACCAGTTTGTTTACATTGTATGACCCCATCTGATCAGAGAGGCCGTGGCTGTTTGATGACTTTGATGCCTGGTTAAGCCGCATGAGCCAGCCCAAACCCTACAAGTGTGCTGTGATATTCTGTGACAACTCTGGCGTCGATATCATCCTGGGTATCTTCCCCTTTGCCAGGCACCTTCTCTCTATAGGCACCAATGTGAGTCACATTTACTTGTTTTTTTATTATCAGTAGTAATGTGTGTTAGAAAGGGGGGGGGGGAAAGACCTTCAATGTAAGAAGTGGCACTTAGGTTAAATATTGTCTGACATCAGTTGATGGAAGACACATGTGAGTTGGGAGGGAATTTTTTTTTTTTTTGTTTTTCTGTATATTACGAGGTATATAATTTTTTACGGTATACAAAACAGCATAATTTGTTAAAAAGATTGTAAAAATGGATAAAAAAGCATATATCAAGTTTCACAAGATGATCAGCATCAGTTACAAATACAATAATAGAATTGTAAAGTTTTGGCTTTTCATTGAATAAATTATTCATATGCAATTGTTATGCTGAGATTTTTTTATGATTTTGACAACTGCTCTGATTTAGTGTTGTGATTGATTTGTGAATGTTTATACGTGTATGGAGGTGTGATTTTGTGATAAGCTATTGAACAGTTTGTATGTACACGCAGGTGATTCTATGTGCCAACTCACACCCCAGCCTGAATGATGTAGTGTACGGAGAGCTGCTGTGGATTGTGAAGAAAGCCAGTGAAGTGTGTCCAATCCTCAGTGATGCCATGAGGGAGGACAGGTTCAAAATCATGGAGTCAGGACAAGCTTCCCCTTGTCTGGATCTCAGGTACTTCAGTCTGACAACAGGTGTTGGGTTGTCAACTACCCCACCACAAACAGGTGTTGGGTTGTCAACTACCCCACCCCAAACAGGTGTTGGGTTGTCAACTACCCCACCCCAAACAGGTGTTGGGTTGTCAACCACCCCACCCCAAACAGGTGTTGGATTGTCAACTACCCCACCCCAAACAGGTGTTGGGTTGTCAACTACCCCACCCCAAACAGGTGTTGGGTTGTCAACTACCCCACCCCAAACAGGTGTTGGGTTGTCAACTACCCTAAACAGGTGTGTTGTCAACTACACCACCCCAAACAGGTGTTGGGTTGTCAACTACCCTAAACAGGTGTGTTGTCAACTACACCACCCCAAACAGGTGTTGGGTTGTCAACTACCCCACCCCAAACAGGTGTTGTGTTGTCAACTACCCTAAACAGGTGTTGTCAACTACCCCACTCCAAACAGGTGTTGGGTTGTCAACTACCCCTCCTCAAACAGATGTGTTGTCAACTACCATAAACAGGTGTTGTCAACTACCCCACCCCAAACAGGTGTTGATAACTACCCCACCCCCAAACAGGTGTTGATAACCACCCCAGCCCTAACATGTGTTGCCAACCATCCTACCTGCAACAGGTTTTGGCCTCAGCCACCCTAACCAAAAAGGTGTTGCTCTCATGTATAATGTTTTATGTGTTGTAGAATACATTTGGACAGCTTGCTCTATAAACTTTAATGAAACAACTTTCTTTCTCCAGACTTATAGATGAAAACTTTAATGAAACAACTTTCTTTCTTCAGACTTATAGATGAAAACTTTAATGAAACAACTTTCTTTCTCCAGACTTATAGATGAAAACTTTAATGAAACAACTTTCTTTCTCCAGACTTATAGATGAAAACTTTAATGAAACAACTTTCTTTCTCCAGACTTATAGATGAAAACTTTAATGAAACAACTTTCTTTCTCCAGACTTATAGATGAAAACTTTAATGAAACAACTTTCTTTCTCCAGACTTATAGATGAAAACTTGGTAGCAACAATCAAAGAACAAGAGGCCGATCTCATTGTTATAGAGGGCATGGGCCGGGCAGTTCACACTAACTTTGATGCCACATTTGCCTGCGATGCCCTCAAGGTGGCCGTCATAAAAAACAAGTGGTTGGCCAACCGTTTTGGTGGGGACATGTTTAGCGTCATGTTCAAGTTTGAGAAGGGGAGGAAAGTCTCGTCTGGTACAGGTTTAAACACATGCACTGCACGGAGGTAGCGATGGAAGAATTCTAGAACATTCTAGCCTCAGGAAGTAATAAATCAGTTACTTAAAAAAAAAATGAATTCATATTAAACTTAAACAGAACGTACAGGCTATTCCAACAGTCCTGATTTTGACCATGTCATTGCTGTTGCGCCACTCTGCATGTTGTTACTGCATCAAACCCAGTCATTAAGCTGTCCTGGCATTCCATGTTCTAGTTGTGGTGAAATATTTCTTGTGTTGGTTGAATTTTTCTGTAATCTCTATGTTACAGTACTGTTAAGGGAAGAAAGATTGAACTATAACCCCCACTGATTGTGTAGTGTATGTTTCCAGTGCAGCTTGTGGTGTGTGTTGATGGTCTGATGGCAGTCTGGTGGTTTAATGGTCAAATATATTTTTTTTTTATTAAAATGTAATTGGACTTTTGTATTTTTAATCTCTAGAGGAAAAAATAAAACAAAAATTTGATTCTTTTTTATGTTAAGTTAAGAGAAATTCATTCCCATCAGTCAACATTTGATTTGATGTTAATTTTTACCCAACAAGACATAATGAGTCATCAATGTTTGTTTTAATCAGTGTAGAAAACATCCAGCTAGAGACACCCAGCACGGTAGGCGCCCCCCCCCCCCCCCCCCTGCCCCATCCTCTTCTACACTGAATCTTATCCTTACTTTCCATGCAGTAATATAGTTTGATGCCGAGCTTTTGTAAACTTTGTTTCAAATACATTATTATCAAACAGTAAATTTTGTATGCAGTTTTTTGTTTAAAAAAAAAGTAAAATGTACATTTATGCACTTAAGCATGTGATTATGTTGTTGATAAATATACCAATATTTTATTTTCAAAAAGTTCAACTCAACCAAAATTATCCAAACTAGTCAAGATAACATCAAAATAACACTGCTTATCAAGTGTGCTGAGACAGGAAAGGAAATCCTAAATTCCTGCAGTTGATGTAGCATATTACCAAAGTATTGGCCCAAATCCTATATTCCTGCAGTTGATGTAGCATATTACCAAAGTATTGGCCCAAATCCTATATTCCTGCAGTTGATGTAGCATATTACCAAAGTATTGGCCCAAATCCTATATTCCTGCAGTTTGTGTAGCATATTACCAAAGTATTGGCCCAAATCCTATATTCCTGCAGTTAATGTAGCGTATTACTAAAATGTTGGCCTAGTCTATGATGAGTTGATAGTTACTGAAGTAAGCTGTTAAAAATCTATTGATTTTTTCTTGCACTACATGACACTTTCAACTATTGTCTATGTTAGTCTTATCAAATTTTAAAGATTACATTTTTATTTTAAAATGTTATTGAGTGTATTTTGGACATTGTGGTAACAATCAAATTTGCCCCCAAGAAAAATGTTTAAAAAAATATAATATAGACAATGTTTACTCATTTTTTAGAACATGACATTATTTTCTTGTGGTAAAACTCTCATTATAAAGTAGAAAATACATAATTATTTTGTGAACATTTTTTAATGTGATTGTTTTTCTTTATTGTCATGTATTTTAAACAGGTGTGAATAAAAAGATTTGTATGAAAATAGTTTTTTCATTAAAAATTACTTATTGATAATATGATGTGTTGTTTTCTTTTAATTTTAACTATACCGTGTAAACCATGCACCTCTTAGGAGGAAGTATAACACCCATTCAGCCTGGGCAAATAAAGAATAATTTCTTTAGTGTAACGGGAGTAAAAAAACATGAAATAAAACAGTAAACCCAACAAAACAGTCAAGAATGGTGGATAATGGTTCTATCCTAGATCAAAGAAACAAGTGGTAATGCACTGGCCTCAGTATTTTATTTACAGCAACCAATCATAACATAAAGGTTGATTTACTAAGTCATATTTAGTTAATCTGAAATGTTTAAAGAGGAACACACAATGTATTAAATAAAAAAATTATTTTAAAGAAAAGTAATTATAAATTATTTTTTTTTTTTACTAATGGCATAATTTAGAAGCTAATAATTTAATACTTGCTTTTAAGTACTGATAGCCTATTTAAATGTAAATACTTTAAGAGACTAACCAAATAGTTATTAATTCATTCATTAAAGTATAGAAAATTAGTAGAGGCAAAAGTATAGAAAATTAGTAGAGGCATATGCCAATCAATTATAGAATATAAGGCGAAAAGTATAATGTTTAGGTTTATGCACATTTTAAATTTAAAGTAATAATTATTTATAAAAAAAAAACATTAAACATGTAACTTGAGGTAAGAAAAACCAAACATTTAAAAAAAAAATTTGATTCCACTGGTCAAGTGTTTCATTTAGTCTTCACAAAGACAACATCTTCACTCAGGTACACATTGGGGCTCTACAGTACACCCTTCAAAATTCAGTACACAGTCCAGGACCAGCAAACTTTTGGGGAGGATGCAAGGAATGAAATTAGAGCTTTGACCTGCTTGTCCCAGTACATGTATTTTTGTAAACAATGCACATGAAGTTGGCCAGATTTTGTCAATTGGTTTAACCAAAAGAACTTCTCCATAAATAAAGAGCTCATCGTAGTAAGTGACTGCCCCATGAAGCTTGTATTCAAAATCCCAGAGTTTAGTGATGAATGTAAAGTCAATCATGTCATGGTTCGGTGAATCTGTTTTCCACAGGTCTCCATTACTCTTTAGAATGAAGAAATTATTTTCATCAGAGAAACAGATCATGTTTTTTGCTGAACCTTCCAAATTATTCAGCCTGATCCAGGTTTTGTTTACAATATCATAGCAGTGTACAGCTGTTTCATCTACATCAGATTTTGTTAGTGTGTAAAAAACAAGGATTTTGTTGTCGTATGAAGAGGCATAATCAATCAATTCTGAAGTTGGGTATTTGGTTTCATAAGTTAAACAAGCTCCTGGTAATTGCGGATTCATTTTATATATTTTTCTATCCGTGCAACAAAACAGATAGATGTATTGCTCTAAAGTAACAATCAATGGTCGTTTTAATGAACTATATGAAGTTGATAATTGTGGAACGGAAGTTGATGATGCTGAAACAGGTCTTGCTAATCTAAAATATGAAGCTCTCTGAGTATTTGCTGCAGGTGATTTACAAGCAGCAAAAGCATTTTCATCTAATTTTAGCCATGTTTTGTTCTTGAGAACATACAAGTTAAAAACATTTTGTCCCACCATGTAAAGTTTATTTTTATAAGAAGTAATTTGAACTGGATGTTGAAGTTCTGCATTTTGTGGGAGTTTAAAGCGCTGTTTGTCCTGAAATGATATTCCTATGACCTCATTATTTTGATTGACACGAACACCAAGATTTATCCAAGGGCTACACCTTCTGTGAATGGCGCCATTAGGCCACTGACCATGATCTCCACCAAGAGAATGATAAAGGGATGCGTTGGCAATTATTTCGCGTGCTATTTCATTACCTTTAATTGCCTTGTTTTTACTAATCCATTTTAAAGAACTTGAACTGACTAGATTTATTCTAGCTGCCTTAAGTAATGGTATTAACATTTTTAATCTGTTGTTATTTCCTTCCTGTCCTTCGCTAAATTTGGTTGTAGGCTCTGTGTCTTCTTGACTGAAATAATTGCCTGTTATTTCAAATAGAGGATTGTTGCTGTGTTTTCCCATAAAACTTTTATTTATAAAGTTGCTTTGAGTTGGATTGTTTTCAGACATGTTGGTTTTTAAAATAGTTTCTTTTACCGCTGAAGGTTTTGTAAATTTTGTTATAATCTCATTTTCAACTCCGGCCATCACTACATCACCTAAATTTTCAACACATGCATCAGGGTCAAAGTTGATCCAGTTTAAAATGTAAGTCAGGACTGAGTCTTCATTCTCTGCTACAAGATCTGGACTTTCTACAAGTTTCATAATCTCTTCATTGGTCAGTCTTAAAAGTGTTTCGCTATTTGTGCATTTGTTAAAGTTTTTAAATATAAGATTCATACAGTTTTCTAAAACATCTAGGGAATCTAAGGTTTTTGCTGCAGAAAATGTTTCCTCATATGTATTTAAAGATAAGTGCATTAAAACAAAAGATTCACATGCATCGATTAAAAACTTAATCTGAAGCTGGTTAGCAGGCTGCCATATTTTATAGACATTGTGTTTATTAATAACATTTTCAGATTTATAAATAGCTCTAAGAATTAGTTCAAAAATGTCACTTTCAATCCCTTTTATTTCCACACAATTGTTTTCAGTTTCTTGCATTCCTGACCTGAACAAACCATGAAAAAACTGTGAGCATGCACCGAGAATAAAACAGTGGCATTTGAATTTTTTTAAACCAACTTGCACAACAAAATCAGAGTATGTTTCATTATTATCATTCCATAAAGATGAGATACATTTCATCATGTCATATGCAAAGACCATATTTTTCTCCATCATAAAATCAAATTCTATGGAGAGAAAAAAGCCAAGTGAGTTTACGAAATAAGACAATCTGTCTCTAATTGTCAAACATAGCTAAAATGTAGCCTAATAAGTAGTATTATAGTAAAAACATTTTTATTAACTCTCAAACTTGATAGCAGCCTTTAAAAAGCTATTAATAGGTCATTCATAAATGTTGAGAATAGTGTAGGATCGGCTGCATAAATTATTCCAATATTTAGAGCAGATATTTTTTACCCTTCACCCTTATACTAAAATGACATTTAAAAAGCAAGACCCCCCCCCCCTCACTCAACTCTAAAAGGATGTTACAGTTGTGTTCACCCCATTCTCTAGATACTAGATAGAATCTAGTAAATAACAGTTAGTTAACAAAAGTTATCTTCTACTTTTCTCCTACCCCCGGAACTAGTCTACAAAGCTATAACCATTTAATCTAGATTTTCTAGATCTAGTTTCTAGGTCTGAACAAAAGTCTAGATTGCTGTAACTGACTTGACTTAAATAATTAACCGACTAATAAATTGTGGCAAAGTGAAATTACATTTAGATCCAGATAGTTTAGAGAATTTAGGCCTAGTGACTCCAGAGGCGTAGCGACCCTTCCCGGTGCCCAGGGACAAACTTCGATTTGCACCCTCCCCCCTCAAACTTTCGATTTGCACCTTCTCAAACTTTTGATTTGCACCTCCCCCCCCCCCCCCTCAAACTTTCAATTTGTTTTTCCAACCCATTTTAGCGCCCCCTAAAGTCGGCGCCTGGGGACATATGTCCCACCCCCCCCCCCCCCCTCGCTACGCCTCTGAGTGACTCTTCACAGTCCCTAGAGTCTATCGAGTATTTAGTATTACTATACAGTATACTATAGTATATATACATAGTAATTGATAGTAATAGTACGTGACCTCCACTAAGGCAAGGCTAAGTAGGGCCTAGTCGGCCTAGTGGCAGTAGTTATAGATTATAGTTTATAGACTAGTATAGGCCCTATAATAGAGTATAGATACTAGAATCTATAGACATGACTTAAAGGCTACCAAATCATCCCATTATTTAATCATTAATATTAAAAAAAATATTCAGATCAATAGAATAGAGTAGGTGTCTATACTAAATGTCTAGATCTATAGTGATTCTTGATCTAAATCTACATCCAGTCACTAGAATCTAGATCTAGATCTAGTCTAGATCTAAATCTAGTAGTAGAAGATCTTAGTAAAATTTAGTAATTAGACCATGAGCTGCTTACCAGTGCTGTGCTTTTAAAAACCTCTCTACTTTTTTGTTGGACAGGAAACAAAAAAGATCAGAACGAAAAAACACCACAACTGCTTTTTAAAGCTTGTGATATAAAATCGACTAAATAAATTATTAAGGGGGCAGTATCACCCAGACTAAGGGAGGGAAACAAAAACTATCACAAAAAAAAACTATTTGACATACACATGTCAAATTTTTACAGCAATAGTAACGTTTCTTCTGCTATAATACAGTATATAAATTGTAGAGTATATGTATGGCAATAAATTGTCAAAAAATTATTTTGTTAATATTTTATCACATTTTTAATTTTTTGTAAACATTTTTTTGAAACCATAAGTAAAGTACTTAAAATTTGGTATAAACTTTCCTTGCGTTATTTGCTATGTCCGGGACTAAAATAATAGTGTTCTATTGAGAGATAAATTTTTTAGGAAATTTCAAAGTTCAATTAATTTGGTCTGACTTTGAAAAATTCTAAAATTTTCAAAATTTGTCACAATGGATATCTCCTAGCCCCGGACATAGGCAACCCTGTTATGCATCTCCAAGAGTATTTTCAGAAGGAAGGGCCTAAATGTTGGAAAACCGCAGCCAAAAATTACTTAGTAAACATTTTTTGGTAAAATTATTTATAAAAAATGTTTGCATCATACGTTAACTTTCTTTTATGTGCTGTTTTATAGCTCCTTGCTATTTACTATTATGGTAAAAGATTTATGTGTGTATGTATAATAGTTTTTTTTTGGCAAATTTTTTCGTCAATTTTCAAATTTCTGGGTGATACTGCCCCCTTAAAAGGAATTAAAGGGGTGAGTATAAAAACACACCGCACAATACGTCATACACACTGCACCAAACCCTAAAATACTTCCCGAACCACACCGAGATCCTCTCCATCTGACAACATCCGAACCACACCATATCGCATCCAGAGTTGCTTTCATGCATTTCCGAATAATCGCTGAAAGAAGCGCTAAGAGTTTCTTCCAGGCATCTCTTCGGGGGAGAGGGGGGGGGGGGCGGAGTACCGCCCCCCCCCCTAAACGAAATGAAAATTATACGGAACATATATATTTTAACAGTGACCGCCCTCCCCCCGAAAATTTGAAGTACCCCCCCCCCCCCCCCGCCGGAGAAAAAAGCCTGGTAGAAATACTGGAAGCGCTGGACAGTATCCCACGCTACACCAAAACTTACTCACACACTATAATCCCCCACCAAAGTAGTCATTACGAACACATTTGTTCACATCGTTTAATTGTTGTATCCTTCAAATACTATTTCACAACACTATGTCCATAAGGTGTTACAAGTAATCGGCACCCCATTCTGCTACACCCCTTCATAAATGAAGTCAGTATTTCGCCGACCTCCCTTTCTGATTTCATATAGGCCTACACACTAACTATCTTTGCTATGCTACTCTGAAGAAAAACAAAAAAACAAAACACAAAATCTAGGCCAACAACACAAAAATGTATCACACCAAATAAATATACAAAAAAGCAACTAAATATACACACAACACTAACAAAAACAATAAGCGCACCACTGTTTTCTGAGCATTGTAAAAAGAAAACTATTTCACATAATGGCATTTTATTTAGTCAGTAGGAGAATATAAACACTCATTCAATGTAGACAAGGATTGGTCTATATACCCAATATAAAGTTCAATTCTGTATGTGTGTATGTTTGTAAAATGTTTGTCGTGGATTACTAAGGAATATAAGAAAACACGAAAAAAAAACGATACTTCCATGAATTCAAGTGTTAGATTATTAAAGTACTCATGGTCTAAATTTATGAGTTTAAAAATTTTTTTATACTGCTTTTTATTTATTCCATACACTGAACTAACTTCTTCTGATTATTTTTAATCAATAACAGTTAACAAACCAGGTCCTTCGTGTCCTAAATGTTTTTTTCCGTTTACGGATAAGCTTGGAGTATTATAATTGTTCACTAAATTGAAACAGGCGCGTCCGCCGGCGCCCCAACAGGGTTCGATTTGGCGCCCTGGGCTAACCTGTGAGCACTATGGTGCATAATTTCGCTTTAAACAGTGCGATAGACCAGTGGCGTAGGCAGGTCGGGTGTCACCCGGTGTAGCACTTTATGGTGTCATTCCCCAGAGGCGCAGCGACCCTTCCCGGGGACAAATTTTTTATTTGCACCCCCCCCCCACCTTCAAACCAAACTTTCGATTTGCACCCCCCTCTCACCGTTTTCTCTATATATTTTGCTATTTTTTGCTTTGGTGTCACACCCTAAATGGTGTCACCCAGTGCGGTCCTCACCCCCCGCCCCCCCCCCTAATAGCTGACCACAGACCAAGAAGTGGAAGAACATTGTCTATGAATCAAGTCTTTCTCCTTTCTGATGTTTGCATCCCTGGCGGGGGACAACATAGAAACAGTTGCTTTCTTGTATTGGTCCGGTAGGTGGGTAGAAACAGCTGCTTTCTTGTATTGGTCCAGTCGGCACGTACAAACAGCTGCTTTCTTGTATTGGTTCAGTCGGCACGTACAAACAGCTGCTTTCTTATATTGGTCCAGTCGGCAGGTAGAAACAGTGCTTTCTTGTATTGGTCCAGTCGGCAGGTAGAAACAGCTGCTTTCTTATATTGGTCCAGTCGGCAGGTAGAAACAGCTGCTTTCTTGTATTGGTCCAGTAGGCAGGTAGAAACAGTGCTTTCTTGTATTGGTCCAGTAGGCAGGTAGAAACAGTTGCTTTCTTGTATTGGTCCAGTCGGCAGGTAGAAACAGCTGCTTTCTTGTATTAGTCCAGTAGACAAGTAGAAACAGCTGCTTTCTTGTATTAGTCCAGTAGACAAGTAGAAACAGCTGCTTTCTTGTATTAGTCCAGTAGACAAGTTGAAACAGCTGCTTTCTTGTATTGGTCCAGTAGACAAGTTGAAACAGCTGCTTTCTTGTATTAGTCCAGTAGACAAGTAGAAACAGCTGCTTTCTTGTATTGGTCCAGTAGGCTAATTACTAATTCTTTGAATGTGTGTTTTTATCAATTACGCCTGTTGGTCTGTGCACAGATTCAGAACTTAATTCCTTGAACCTAATTTTAAAAAATCACTTTAAATAGCACAATTTTACATCATCATCATCTTTAGTTAGCATATGTTAGATCAACTCAATAGAAATATATCGATAATAGTTAAAGAGGCCTAGAGCTATATAATTTTTGTTACATCATTGAGTTGTTGCAGTTATGTCATTGTGGACTACAATCTGTTAATGCTTTGGTTTTGATATAACTTTGGTTTCAATATATAAGGCCAGTAAAATACTTAGTGGATAAATGAGCAGTTCAGTTCCAACATATGTATTTCTACATAACCCACATCCTTGTATGGTTAATAACTCTCAGTTAGACAACATACATAGCCCACATACAAAGACTTTTTATAGCCCACACAATTGTATCCGTTAACATATTACACACACGCACTGGGACCTCAAATAACACACACACTTAGAGCACGGCGACACGCTTGAAAATGTTTAGCTTTACAAGTTATATCAGGAAGATCTGACACTTAACAACTATATATTGGAGTGCAATTATTACGCTATTAATTTCAAAGTAGCTATAATTTACAGGAATGTTAAGTTCATGAAAAAAAAAAGAAAAGCTAAAGTAAACACAAAATATTTAAGTTTTTTTTTTTCAAAACATGCTTTTATAAATCCATATTTTTCCGGCCCCCGTATACTTTGCCCCACATTTGCAACTCCATTCCAAGTTTTAGTTACATCCGTCTCGTTCTTTGAGCATTGAATGTCAAATCCTGGTTTGTGACTGCTGAAAAGCGTGAAGGTAAGTTGCTTTAAATTTTCAAACATGTCAAATTTACAAAACTTGTATTTTAGAAAGCTCTAAATAGGCCTACCTACCTATCTCTTGAAACGAATTTTGCGATATAATGTATTGCTGTCTTATCTCTAAAAAACAATCCCATCTCTAACCCTAGTGTAAAGTAAATTAAACCTGAAAACGTAATACTAGCTTTGTCCTAAATTGACAAGTCATAATCGTTATGTGATGTAGTTTGGCGAGGTAAACAAATTACAAGCTTTTCCGTTTTTACAGGTATATGAAGCCACTTTGCAGGAGTGTTAGTTTTAGTATCAAATAAAACATAAAAATTTAATTAAGTTTACTTTACGGATCAGATTATGTATAGGGCAGAAGAAATAAATTTAATCTATTTTACTACGGCGTGATCAGAACTAGATCTATGCCTTGCCGCCTTTGCTTTTACTAACCTGATTTAGCAAACCATAACCGCATGGTGGACATAAGACAGACTTGTGTCCGAGATAGGAAATCGAGAGTTGGTATTAAATGTTGCCTAACTAATTACATAGTATTTAGTTGCGATTCAAGTTTACTGCAGAGTTTTGATCCTTCAAAAATCAAATGTACTTACAAACGCCAAACACCACATTGCTTTAGTAGGCCTGGACGAAGCTAAAAGTCTAAACTTAGATAAAACAAACTGACTAAACTGTCGTGTAAGCAGATTGAAGGGAAACAACCGACCCAATAGACCAGGGCTCTATTTGTGTCTAACATTTTGTTGCATGGCTTGCGCATTCATTGACATGGAATACAACGAACTGAGTCACACATGCAACAAAACTCTATCTAGATCTAGAATCTATGCCAATAATGATTTTCTATACTAAACTATTTTAGGCCTTTATTATTTTATATACATTTTTGTTTGTTAAGTTATGGAATTGGCTAATTCGGCATGTAATTTAATTTAAAATAATGGGGCCTATTTACGTAACTCAAGTTTTTTAACACTGACTCTTAGATCTAAGTCTAAGTAAAGTACCCCACTAATTCTGCACCGAATCGCAAGTGTTTTGATAGCTGAGATGACAGTGTAATAGTTGCCGTGAAGGTGGTACGGGTACCAGACACATCATGTCAAAGTTAATTTTATTTTTCCTTTTTTTTAAAGATGTGAATGATAAAGTTGGCTATCGGGACTTGGTGGAACAAAGGGCATGTGAAGTAGAGTTCACCTGTTTCTGTGTCCTCAGCATATGAAGGGATAGTGTGGTCAGACCCATGCTCAGCCGAAATCTGTGTTTTTAAAAGACAAAAACTTCCGTCTATTTTATTGTGGGGTCTGGTCTTTTTATGACGATAAGTGACAGTAGGGATGGGAGGGAAAAGATACAATTTGTCAAACAAACGTAATGTTATTTATGGATGAGCCCCGAAACCCACAGTTATCCGAGGATAACGGGTAGTCTAGTACAAACTAAATTGTGTTGACAGCTGTTTGTAAATGAAATTTCGGTGGAATTTTTCTGTTACTGTGTATTTAAACGGTATTTAGGAGTGGGAGAGTGGGGGTGGGGGGAAGGTGCGTTTGTCATATTTGCAAAGCGTACTCAACATACAACGCTATATTATTTTAGGTAATCTATCGTTTTAGGTGAGTGAAATTGGCCGAGGCTAGTAATGTGAGAAAAAGGTGATTCATTAAATTTTGCAGTTGTGTATATTTAATTGATTACAATCAGACAAGTAAACGTTAAATTCATAGTCTAACACTTGCTTCAAGAACGATGTTCCAATTACAACTCTTTTAAGCGATAAAGAGGAGGCAGCTAAGGTAGAATGGGAATGTCCTATGTATAAAAACGTAAATATGACACTGGAAAAAAAAGTTCCCTTTTCGAACGTGACGGTCCATAGGGCTAGTGAAGTAGAGTTCATCTGTTTCTGTGATCTCGGCATATGAAGGGATAGCGTGTTTAACACTGAAGCGAACGCGCTTTGTAGTAAAGACACATCATCATGCAAACATCAGCGTTTAGGTTCCCGCTGCAGCTCAAGAGAGGAACTCAAGATTTTTACATCTCGTGAACAAAGTTTGTCATAAAAACTCCAAGAGTTACGTGTGTAAACGTATTTTAAAAGTATTGTTTTCTATTTAAATTTTTTAAATATCTTTTCAGAAATTTCCTCCATGGCCCTCAAGTCAGAATTTTCTGCTGGTCTCTCTGTTTGCATTGGGAAGTTTTGGGAAAACGTGGACGACAATTTCTCTGACTTCACCGTCTGTGTAGAGGATTCTCAGTACCGGTGTCATCGCTTCATTCTGGGAGCAGTTTCGGAGTTTTTTCGTGCCTTGTTTCGCTCAGGTATGCAGGAATCTGAGCAGAACTCGGTAAAGCTAAGAAATATTTCAAGCCAGACATTTGAGCTTGTTCTCAAGGCTATTTATAAGAGCCAGGATGTTTTAAATAACGAAAACATTTATGAAATTTGGCACACAGTAAACCTACTACAGATAGATTACCTAATAGCGGAGTGCGAGAAATTCGTTCTGAACATTCTGTCTTTGAACACCTATGAGAAAATTTACGATAATGCAACAATGCTTGATTCGAAAAAGGTATTAAATGCAGTCTTTGACTTTATAAAACTGAACTTTCGCGCATGCCAAAAGAGTGAAACTCTTCTCAATATGTCTATAAATAACGCCTTAAGTATCGTGGAAAGCCAAGAGCTTGTAGTTCAGTCAGAAGATTTTGTTGTTGAGTACATCCTCAACTGGGTGCAGTATCAGCCTTCTAGTACAATGTCTAGTGCACTGGTTGATGAAACAACCAAAATCATCACAAAGAAGAAAACAGAACAAGAACTAGATGATTCTAGCTTTTCAAAAACAAATACACATTTAGAAAGCAAAGGTATATCATGTGCTACCGCGGATGACGACAAATGTATGATACAAGTTTTAGAAAGTGAAAGCAATGATCAAAGTTTTCCCAAAGAAAGACTTAAACATCTCGTGCCGCTGTTAAAAGCTGCCAGACTGTGTTTAGTGAGTGCTCACTGTCTTCAAATGATGTTTAATCACGTGATTTTAAGATCTAATGACGAGGCCAGAAAGATGATCTTTATGTCGTCCATTTACCAGACGATGGAAGATTCCCAAGGACAGTGGCCAGATAGAGCTGTCCACAGACGCTGCAGTGATCTCGTCAACGTTGGGATTTGTATAGAAGGAACACAGACTATCCGAATATTTTCCTTTATTGATCAACTTTGGTATCGATTTTCTTGCAGTTCGTGTGTGATTAGATATGAAATTTCATGTTTTAACACAGCGATACACGGGTTTGAGCAAAGTAATAAACGTATTTACCGTTTTAAGGGCGATAACTGGGAAACTGTATTAAGCGGGATTAACATTTATGAACCAAACGCATTGTTTCTCCTCCCGGCTATGAAATCACTCTACATATTTAACCCCAGTGAAAACAAACTCTACAAAACTGAACAAGATTATTGCCTCCAATTAGTCACTGATTATCCTTTTCAAAATAAAATCGATCACGTTGCTAGTTACAGGAACACATTTCTGGTCTTCCTCACAGAGTCCATCACAGAAAATATTCTTGAAACAGCTGTGTACAGTTTTGACCTCATTTCAAAAACCTGGACACGGTTAAACAACCTGGAAGGTTCAGCAGAAAACATGACAGTTTTCAGTGCAGAAGAGAACACGTACATCCTTCAAAACAATGGAGACTTGTGGCGAATTATTACCACACCAAATAACAAACCAGATTTTGTTTTCTTATCGAAACTATGGGACTTTAAATACCAGATTTATGGCGCCATCACCTACAAAGGTGAGCTGTTTATTGTGGGCGAGGACCTGCAGGTAAAACCTGCCGATAAAAACTGGCCAGAAAAAACTGAGCAGTTTACAAAAATACACGTGCACGGAAAAGTCGGCGTGTTCTCCAGGTTTGTACCATGTATTGTACGTAAGAGTTTACTTCTTAAAGGCAGCGCAAGCACAAGTCTTTAGAGTAAATCAAGGATACTTTGTTTATCTTAAATTATTTTCACATTTTTCTTATTTTGACTTTTAATATATCTGATAGCACTGTAACTTGATAAAAACTCCCTTAGGTTCAGTTGTCTTTTATGCCTCTTGTATTGACAAACCGGTCAGAAATATTTTCGATTTCGAGTGTGGTCTGGGATCCACTGTCTTCTTGCAGGCATTATTGAACATTGCCAGGACAATTCTTAACGATTAGACGTGTTGGCATCTTACATTTGTATTACTCGCTTTTCTATAGGTCGTTTGGTGTGTTAACTTTTGGAGAAATATCGTTGCAACAAATTTAACAAGCATTTCTAGATGTGTTTTACGATTACTATTATTTATAGCAAAGCAAAATATTTTCTGCTTACTTTTATTGTATTTTAAACATTGCAATTATTAATTTTTATACGACTGTTCTCTCGCTTGTCTGTCTACTCTACAAGTCGCCCAGGCTGTCTGTAGGATTCAACTTTTCTAAACTTTTAATCTTTGACCATTCTATAAGAAATACCAACCCGGCATTGTTTGTATTTCCTTCAATTGAGCCTTCCGTCTATAATCAAATACAGTAGTAGCAGGGGTATTGCAATTAGCTTGTATGCTGCTTTACTCATTAATCCTCGATATTAATCGTCATGTTTCTGTCGTGTCAAAGGAAGGCATACATTTCTGACACGATTGAAAGTAACTTTTCAGATTGGTTGTTTTACTATGTTTAAAAGTATCTCCTTTTAAAACATTGGCTTCTAGGATAGAACTTTTTTTACGTGGTTTGTTTGTGAAGTAGAGATTACGCATTTTCTGTCACAAGCATGCTTTTTTATGCTGTTTTTCTTATATCCCATTCGACGCCCAATTTTTGGGCCCATTTGCTGAGCTTGTCAAGTGATTCTTGAAGCCAAAATGTTCATGTGTCAAAATGTTTAGATGATTCGATACTAAGATTATTTAAAAATCGAAATGTAACTGTTTTAGGATTTCTATTAGTAAATTACATGAGCTTTACTAATTTATTTTTCAATATGTTTGTTAAACTTTATTTTTAATTTGCTTGATCAAACTATTTAAGGTTCACTTCACTTAATCAGATAAAAACGTATGACAATTTTCAATTGTTTTTCTCTCTCTAATTTTAGCCTCAGTATGATGAACCTACTCATGACACTCATTCATCTCACATATACCTATCAGGTATTCATTCACTTCTTCACTTCTTATTTTCACCCGTACTCTCCCCCACCAATTAAAATATCCAAATCCTGTTAAACTGTCTCGTTAGCTTGGACTTTGAATTGAAAGTATGTGTACGTCAATCAACAATCACGACATAAAGCAACAGCCTCCAGTGTTTCATTTAGTGTAACGAAAGACTTTTTGATTAGACTAGACCCATAAGGTTGCAACACACGTCTATTTCTACCCTGGATCTCATCCTTACTTTGCATCCTATAAATCCAGTATTATAGTAACCAGTCAATTTATTTTCTGCTATCAGATTATTGTCTTTCAAACATAAAAAAACACATTAAATTAAAAATGTTTTTATTTTTATCAAAATTAGTGATTGGTTACGTTTTCAAAAGTCCACAAAGAAAGACGAATAATTAAAGTAAAATATTTAAAAATATTAACACATTGACATATCTAATTAACTAAGTTATTGTCTGTGCCGAAAAACCATGAAGTAGAAAATACACCAATAATTTTGCATATGTCATTTTTAATGTGAATGATTTTCTTTATAACTTTATTGCCATTTTTTTTGTAAACTATGCATTTTTTTACAATTAAACTTTTGTATTATTCGATTTGTTTTCTTCAAACTGGAATTGCAGCATAATAGTCGTTAGGTAAACACTATGCATGCTTCCCAGCTTCGCTTAGGCTTTCGAAAACATTGAAAATATGAATGCTTAAAAAATTCGCCCATATAAGGCGCCAGTCAGTCGAGGTCAGTTTTGACCCCCTCATCGTAGACTTTTCGGCCATCCGGCCCCCTTGTTCTGTCGCCCCAAGGCAAAATCCTGCCAAATTTGAAGTGCCTGCGGCGCCGAGAAGTGCCCTATCGGGCACCCGACAACTAAGCTTTATATATTATAGAGATTAGCAAATTGCATAGATAAACAAAGATTTCAATAAAGTAATTAAGGCCTTAAATACTTTAGTATAGAAATGTATTATTAGAATAGATTCTAGATCTAGGTATGGTCTACATCTGTGTAAGTCTAGTTTTTCCGTAGATCTAGATGATCTAGATTATCTAGATGATCTAGATGATCTAGAATCTCTAGATCTAGATGATCTAGAATATCTAGATCTAGATGATCTAGAATATCTAGATAAATATTATCTAGATCTAGAATGCAAATAGATAAAATAATTTTTTTAAGTTTAGGCCGAGAAAATCGTATTGTATACATTTCATAACGTACATAGCTCTAAATCATAATTGAATAAAATAGTTCATTTCTTTTTATTCTAAACTCGGAAAATGACGTCATCAGTTTCGTGCTCTTTTTTTTAGTGTAAACAATAAGCGACGTCATTATTAAATGCGTTCTTGTCCCAAGTTTAAACACTTTTCCGGTTGCATAATTAAAATTGTTTTTCTATACTCGAATACGCCTTAATTTTTTATTTTTCTGCTTTAAATAAAATTGTGGTTATATATTTAAAACATCTAACATATTATTTTCAACAAAAGTCCGTATAAAGTTCTTCATATATCGCTGCAGTTTCTGATGTGATGTCCGGCGAAAATATTTTGCGGACAGACAGAGAGAGAGAGAGAGAGAGAGAAGTGCGCAGAGGGGCTTTTATATATTAGGCTTATAAGAAAAAAGAAATTGAATATTCTGTGCATATTTTATTGTAACTGTATAAATTATACTTGTATTTTTTAAAATGAAAAAACTAAGGCAAGAGCCTAATCACAGTGGTCTAGTAGTGAAATGATTCTTGAAAGTATGGAAAATTAAGACAAGAAAAAGACATTACTTATAATTATAGATTAAAATATTCATTAAGCTTGCCAATACACTGATGGAAATTGTTTATTAAATAACTTGAATTATGTATTTTTACTAAACATGTAAAACTTATAAAAGTAAGAATGAGTTCTAGCATTTCAATAACAATTATACATTTTTAAAAATTATAGTATAACAAAAATCAAGTATCAGATTACTGTTATGAAAATAAAGATTTTTAAGAACTTTTATTTAATTAGAAAAATATGGAGCCGACACTTTAAATTCAGTAAAAAATAATAAGTACACTTTACAAGAAAACTAAATCAATCTATATCTACAAAGCATTATATTATTACTATTATTAGTATCAAAACAACCAAGAAGCAGTGTTTCTTCCAGACTTTTTTTCTCCGGGGGGGGGGGGGGGGGCGGTAAACTTTCTTCGGGGGGGGGGGGGGGGCGGACACTGTTAAAAGTATATATTTTCTATATAAAATATATAAATTTCATTTCGTTCGGGGTGGGGGGGGGGGGGGGGATGCCTGGAAGAAACTCTGCCAAGAAGATTAAGCAATTTGAGAATTTAGAAACAGATAAGTGAAAAATCATAAAACAAATTATATGAGTAGGCATTTATACATATAAGCAAAGTGCACACGTTTTATTTCAATTGTGGCATCAAGTGATTGATATACTATTAAAATAGTACAACAAATTAGTCAAACATATTGCTCACAGAGAACACTAATCCCATAAGCACTTAACCTTATTTCTAAAGAAGTAAAAAAAGCAAACAAGGATGGAATGGACGCATTTTGCTTAAACCAACTAGCAACTTCAGCAGAGAGGCTTTAGGTTGGAAACCCCATGGAAATATGAAAGAAGTTAGGTCGAAACAAACTTTTAAAAGATCAGAAGATGACAGAATGTCAATTACCTGATACCGAGTACGACCGAGAGGTGTGTTTCCTCCACATGCTCCAGTAGAGTCGGTCCACAGAGACATGGATAATGATGATTTTTGTTGTTGTAAAAGAAGGGAATTTTTTAACATACAAATTGTTGCATACACAGTTTAAGTTAACTATATAATGATAAAATTATGAAAATGTATTTTAAATTCATGTTACAGCTACTCCAATCTTATAAGTAGATACACACAAACACGTGTTTTACTTCAATGATTAAGTAAGAGTTTGTTCCAGTCTTCACCAGTGGCATCCTCTTCTCTGGATACATTTTCGGGCTCTACAGTACACCCTTCAAAATTCAGTGCACAGTCCAGGACCAGCAAACTTTTGGGGAGGATGCAAGGAATAAAATTAGAGCTTTGACCTGCTTGTCCCAGTACATGTATTTTTGTAAACAATGCACATGAAGTTGGCCAGATTTTGTCAATTGGTTTAACCAAAAGATCTTCTCCATAAATAAAGAGCTCATCGTAGTAAGTGACTGCCCCATGAAGCTTGTATTCAAAATCCCAGAGTTTAGTGATGAATGTAAAGTCAATCATGTCATGGTTTGATGAATCTGTTTTCCACAAGTCTCCATTACTCTTTAGAATGAAGAAATTATTTTCATCAGAGAAACAGATCATGTTTTTTGCTGAACCTTCCAAATTATTCAGCCTGATCCAGGTTTTGTTTACAATGTCATAGCAGTGTACAGCTGTTTCATCTACAGTTGATTTTGTTAGTGTGTAAAAAACAAGGATTTTGTTGTCGTATGAAGAGGCATAATCAATCAATTCTGAAGTAGGGTATTTGGTTTCATAAGTTAAACAATCTCCTGGTAATTGCGAATTCATTCTATATATTTTTTTATCTGTGCAACAAAACAGATATATGTATTGCTCTACAGTAACAATCAATGTTTTTTTAAATGCATCAACGGATGTTGATAACTGTGGCATTAAATTTGATAGTTGCGGAGATGAAACTAATGGTTTGGAAAAACTTGTGGATCCAGCTCCAAAATTAAATGTAGGTGCTTGTCTTGATAGAGCAGGTTCTATACTGACTACTGAAGGTCCCTTTTGTTTTTTCTGTGCTGAGCCTATGTTTAGCCATGTTTTGTTCTTGAGAACATACAAGTTAAAAACATTTTGCCCAACCATGTAAAGTTTATTTTTATAAGAAGTAATTTGAACTGGATGTTGAAGTTCTGTATTTTGTGGGAGTTTAAAGCGCTGTTTGTCCCGAAAAGATATTCCTATGACCTCATTATTTTGATTGACACGAACACCAAGATTTATCCACGGGCTACACCTTCTGTGATTGGCGCCATTAGGCCACTGACCATGATCTCCGCCAAGAGAATGATAAAGGGATGCGTTGAAAACTATTTCAGTTGCTATATCATTACCTTTAATTGCCTTATTTTTACTAATCCATCTTAAAGAACTTGAACTGACTAGATTTATTCTAGCTACCTTAAGTAATGGTATTAGCATTTTTATTCTAGTACACTTTTCTTCTTTGCATTCACCGAAATCTAAAGATGTATCCTCCTGTTCTTCTTCCTTAACATTTGCAATATGATTTTTAGTTTCGTATTGAGGAAAGTCATTGCTATTTTCTTGAAAGCTATTGTTTTTAAAATCACTTTGAATAGCTTTATCTTCAGACATTTTGGTCTTTAAAATGGTGTCTTTTACCACTGAAGGTTTTGTAAATTTTGTTATAATCTCATTTTCAACTCCGGCCATCACTGCATCACCTAGATTTTCAACACATGCATCAGGGTCAAAGTTGATCCAGTTTAAAATGTAAGTCAGGACTGAGTCTTCATTCTCTGCTACAAGATCTGGACTTTCTACAAGTTTCATAATCTCTTCATTGGTCAGTCTTAAAAGTGTTTCGCTATTTTTGCAATTGTCAAAGTTCTTTATTATAAAATTCACACAGTTTTCTAAAACATCTAGGGAATCTAATAATTTTGCTGTAGTATATGTTTCCGCATAAGTATTTAAAGATAAGTGCCTTAAAACAAAAGATTCGCATGCATCGATTAAAAACTTGATTTGCAACTGATTAGTAGCCTGCCATATTTTGTAGATGTTAATTTCATCAATAATATTTTGAGATGTATAAATAGCTCTAAGAATTAGTTCAAAAATGTCACTTCCAATCTCTTTTATTTCCACACAATTGTTTTCAGTTTCTTGCATTCCTGACCTGAACAAACCAAGAAAAAACTGTGAGCATGCACCGAGAATAAACCTGTGGCATTTGAATTTTTTTAAACCAACTTGCACAACAAAATCAAAGTATGTTTCATCATTATCCTGCCATAATGAGGAGATACATCTCATCATGTCGTCCGCAAAGACCATATTTTTCTCCATTATTAAATAGAAGTTCTGTGGACAAATTGGATTGATTGATTATTCTAACAATCGTCGAACTTTTGAGTTCAGGAAAATATGTGTCGTTAGGTTAAAGGCTGGGTAAAATATGACCTATGAAAAGTATAAAGAAAAAATAATCTTGTGGTATTATTTAACCCTATGTCAACGTTTTACTGCTCATAAGGTATACCGTTTAATTAGTTCCCAGGATAAATCACCTTATTCATAGTCGTTACAACACTTACAGATAAGAAGGATGTAGAGTATTGAGTATAGTAATTATAACTACAAACAATACATAACTCCAAACATAACCCTAAATTTGATGATTGAAGTTTGATTATGTCATACTTAAAATAATTAGTGAATATGGCGAATCCCAAGAAGCAGTGCTTCACACAGATGGTATCAATGTAAAGTTATGTAAATATACTAGGCCTACTTAGCCAACAAAACGATCTAGATCTAACTATATTTTTAATGATTGAAGTTTTAGGATTTTACATGCATTAACTCAATGAAAAAAATACTAGTTTAATACTGAGCAAGTCGACTATTTGATAACCATAAAAAGTTAACGAAATGTACATAGACTTACCTTAGCTTGAGGGGTTTTACGAATGAAAACTAAAACTTACTTAACACTGCTGCTATAGCCTATACATACGAATTGCCAGGAATCCATTTTCCAGGAAGAACTCTATAAATAGGTTACTTGTAAAATCCTGGTAGATGTAAGAGATCCTCTTTGACATTTAGTTTATCTTGGCCATAGTACGGGGGATTATTTATGTTTGTATCCAGTAGACAGAAGACGTCGCGAGGGGGTTGTGGGGGTGCGGACTGCACCGGGTGATACCATTTAGGGGGGGGGGGGGTGACACCAAGACTAAAAATTGCAAAATATATAGAAGAAAAATGATTTTTGACTGTACAGTGAATAATTAGAGTTTAAAATTAAAAGTCTTATAACTACAAATTGACCATCTAGACCAGGGGTCTCCAAACTACGGCCCGCGGGCTGGATGCGGCCCGCGATGTCCTCTCATCCGGCCCGCGGAGATCTTTTTGTCCACGGAAAAACCGTTAGTTGGTGATGGCTGAGGAACTTTGCCCATAAAAATCAAAGACAAGCTTTGAAGAAACTGGCCACCGAACTGAAATTTGATATTTAATGCGGCCCTCGGACTGAAAAGTTTGGAGACCCCTGATCTAGGCTCTAGACAATACATACACACACACATAAGCACCCCCATATATATATATATATATATATATATATATATATATATATATATATATATATATATATATATATATATATATATATATATATATATGTATATATACATATACTTTTCTCCCCTTAGGTGTGGGTAGGGTGGGGGGGGGGGGGTGAAACCATGAAGTGCCGCACTATATATTTTCTTAATATGTGTGCATTTTAACAAAGTAAAGCCTAATATCATGAATTTTTTAATACTTGTTTTATTATCAACTAGATCTATTTAGAATTGCATTTTTATAGTCTGTAAAAATTGGAAAAAAAATGCTTGATTAGAAATTAAAGAAAATTGAAACAGGGTTAGTCCATAACCACGTCCAAAGATGAACAAGTATCACGCATGAAAAGGGCAGTAAACCTATAAAATCAATACATAAATCAATTGTTGCTTAGACTCTTGTTTGTGTTACCGATGTACGAATGAAAACAACGAGTTTCTCTGTATCGCATACATTAGGAAGGGAATCCCCGGTTGTGCTTAAGATAATTTAATTGATTAAATAAAGGTAATCCTCACAACGCATACTTACAATGTGGTAGAATGAAGTTTAGTAAGCAATAACAAAATGAAAAACCTTTGAATTATTCTATTTAAAATAAACTTTGAAAAAAAATAAAAATAACAACAACACCTCGATACGGCAAGCAGTTTCAGTTTCGATTAGAGACTATTTTCAGTTAAAAAATGATTTCACTTTCAAGCACAGTGCTATCTCGAAAAAGCCGTAATTATTTTATTCTTGAAGTCTTCAAGGTAAGTCCATGAACAAATATGTTTGTGAAGTGACTATGCCGATTCAATAATAAGAATTATTTACACAAATCTTGGAAACCACTGATGTAATATTTTAACGTAGTTTTCATTTTAGCAACATTGAAATAGAGGAATAGTTAGTGGTGCAAGATGAAATTACAGGTCTAAATCAACATAAAAGAAATATTTTAAAGGCTAACACAATGATCCAGTAAATTTAGAAACTAATAATCCACATTACTTAGGCCTATATAAAAATACAGAATTCTTGAAGATACACACTAAAACCGATATATACATATATATATACATTTATATACATATGTAATATACATATATATATAATACATATATTCATATATATATACATATATATAAATGTATATATATACATATATATACATATATATATATATATGTTTATATATTTATATTTATATATATATATAATATAAATATATACATATATACCTATATACATATATATATATACATATATATATATATATATATATATATACTTATACATACATTTACACATATATATATATACATATATATATATATATATATATATATATATATATATATATATATATATATATATATATACTTATATATATATATATATATATATATATATATATATATATATCATATATATATATATATAGGCTTACTTATTGATAGATACACACACATATATATATATATATATATATATATATATATATATATATATATATATATATATATATATATATGTATATATATATATATGTATATATATTTATATATATATATATATATATATATATATATATATATATATATATATATATATATATATATATATATAGCCGTCCCGACCAGGCCCTGCACTGGCCTCTGTGAAAACGACCTCTGTAAACGACTTTGATTTATGCGATTATTACGCATTATATACTCGCCAATGCCCGGCTTTATGAAATACATTACTTTTGAATTAACTCTAACCACAGCCAACCACACCAAAACACAAACATAGACTAAAATAAAAACTTTCTTAGAAATTCATGTATCATAAAAATGATGAAATACATTACTTTTGAATTAACCCTAACCACAGCCAACCACACCAAAACACAAACACAGACCAAACAGAAACGCAAACACAAACACCTAGTTGACTAAAGAACGTCGTAAACTTCAGGCAGAACTTCATACAAAAAGTCTTAAAGAACGTCATACAGAATTTCATACACAATTTAATAAAAACTTTCTTAGAAATTCATATAGCATTAAAATGATGTAAACGAAAAAAAAGTTACATAATCTAATATATAAAGCTCAGTTCTGTAACGTGTGGCAAAAAAGTTTGTCGTTGACACTTCTATGGATTTAAATGTTAGATTTTTTATCGTGCTCACAGTCTAAATGTACGAGTCAAAAAATTACCATTGAAAGTCTTTAAAAACAATTTTCATTCTATTTACTTAGAAGAATAATTTTCAATTATGAGCACGACATACAATTTTTAAAAAGTGTATCGACGTTTATAAAATTTCTAAAATTGTGTCGGAAATGTATTGACTGCACAGTTACTTCCCTTTAATTAAAAAAATTCTTAAGAAGAAAGAATTTACATTTTATTACTTTGTTTTTGGTGTTAAGAAAAAAAAAATAATTACATAATTAGCGGGGATTGATTAAGTGCAATGTCGTTAGGTATTTTTAACACTGCCTTTTATTTATTCTATACACTGAACATACTGTTCAATAATTTTTATTTTTTTTTAAAATCAATAACATTTAATAAGCCAGGTCCTACAAATACTATATGTTTATTTCTTTCCATTTACGGATAAGCTTGGAGTATTATCATTTTTGTTCACTAAATTGAAACAGGCGCGTCCGCCGGCGCCCTTGCACGTTTCGATTTGGCACCCTGGGCTATCACGTGCTGCATAATTTTGTTTTTAACAGTGCGATAGACTTTGGGTAAGAAAGGTTACTATAGTCTTTAAGTGAATCAATTCCTCCGGCACCCCGACAGGGTGCTATTTGGCGCCCCGGGCCTTCCGGTGTACGCTATGGTATCTACGTTCGCGTGAGTTCAAAAGACTATGAATAAGTTATGTACTATAGTCGTTTACTAAGTTGAATCAGGCGGTGACGTCATGGTGCGTCCTCTGGCGCCCAGACAGGGTGCTTTTTGGGGTCCCGGGCCTCCCGTGTTCGGTTTCGCGCCTACGTTCATTAAAGTGAGTGCAAAAGACTATGAATAAGTTGGGGTACTATAGTCGTTTATTAGGCTGAAACAGGCAATTCCGCCCCGGGCTAGACTCTGAGCACTGTGCGTTTATGTTCGCGTTAGTGTTTTCTTTGTGTTTAGGTTGGGTTTGCGTTAGTGGTTGCGTTTTGATTTGGTTCGTTTTTGTTCTTTCTTTTTTCGTTTTCGTTTGTGTTTTATCTTCTTTGCGTTTGTGTTTGTATTTGTGTTTGTGGTTGGTTTTGCGTTTGTATTTGGTTTGTTTTCGTTTGTTTTTTCGTTTGTGTTTTTTTCTTTGGGTTTGTGGTTGGTTTTGCATTTGGATTTGGTTTGTTTTCGTTTGCTTTTTCGTTTGTTTTTTTCTTTGTGTTCGTATTGGTGTTTGTGGTTGTGGTTGGGTTAGTTGTTAGGTTTTTGTTTTCGTTTGTATTTGTAATTGTGTTAGCGTTATGTTTGCGTTTTGTTGTTTTGGTTTTGGTTTGGGTGTGCAATGCCGGGTTTATGATGATTACTAAACACACAGGTAATCGTCTTTAACAGAAAGGTTTTTCACAGAAGCCAGAGCAGGGCCTGGCCGGGACGGCTAGTCTAATATATAAAGCTCAGTTCTGTAACGTGTGGCAAAAAAGTTTGTCGTTGACAGTTCTATGGATTTAAGTGTTAGATTTTTTATCGTGCTCATAGTCTAAACTTACGAGTCAAAAAATTACCATTGAAAGTCTTTAAAAACAATTTTCATTCTATTTACTTAGAAGAATAATTTTCAATTATGAACACGACATAAAATTTTTAAAAAAGTGTATCGACGTTTATAAAATTTCTAAAATTGTGTCGGAAATGTATTGACTGCACAGTTACTTCCCTTTAATAAAAAAAATTCTTAAGAAGAAAGAATTTACATTTTATTACTTTGTTTTTGGTGTTAAGAAAAAAAAATAATTACATAATTAGCGGGGATTGATTAAGTGCAATGTCGTTAGGTATTTTTAACACTGCCTTTTATTTATTCTATACACTGAACATACTGTTCAATATTTTTTTTTTGAATCAATAACATTTAATAAGCCAGGTCCTACACATCCTATATGTTTATTTCTTTCCATTTACGGATAAGCTTGGAGTATTATCATTTTTGTTCACTAAATTGAAACAGGCGCGTCCGCCGGCGCCCTTGCACGGTTCGATTTGGCACCCTGGGCTATCATGTGAGCGCTATGCTGCATAGTTTTGTTTTTAACAGTGCGATAGACTATGGGTAAGAAAGGTTACTATAGTCTTTAAGTGAATCAAATCCGGGCGTCCTCCGGCACCCCGACAGGGTGCTATTTGGCGCCCCGGGCCTTCCGGTGTACGCTATGGTATATACGTTCGCGTGAGTTCAAAAGACTATGAATAAGTTATGTACTATAGTCGTTTACTAAGTTCAATCAGGCGGTGACGTCATGGTGCGTCCTCTGGCGCCCAGATAGGGTGCTATTTGGGGTCCCGGGCCTCCCGTGTTCGGTTTCGCGCCTACGTTCATTAAAGTGAGTGCAAAAGACTATGAATAAGTTGGGGTACTATAGTCGTTTACTAAGCTGAAACAGGCGATTCCGCCCCGGGCTAGACTCTGAGCACTGTGCGTTTATGTTCGCGTTAGTGTTTTCTTTGTGTTTAGGTTGGGTTTGCGTTAGTGGTTGCGTTTTGATTTGGTTCGTTTTTGTTCTTTCTTTTTTCGTTTTCGTTTGTGTTTTATTTTCTTTGCGTTTGTGTTTGTATTTGTGGTTGGTTTTGCGTTTGTATTTGGTTTGTTTTCGTTTGTTTTTTCGTTTGTGTTTTTTTCTTTGGGTTTGTGGTTGGTTTTGCATTTGGATTTGGTTTGTTTTCGTTTGCTTTTTCGTTTGTTTTTTTCTTTGTGTTCGTATTGGTGTTTGTGGTTGTGGTTGGGTTAGTTGTTAGGTTTTTGTTTTTGTTTTCGTTTGTATTTGTAATTGTGTTAGCGTTATGTTTGCGTTTTGTTGTTTTGGTTTTGGTTTGGGTGTGCAATGCCGGGTTTATGATGATTACTAAACACACAGGTAATGGTCTTTAACAGAAAGGTTTTTCACAGAAGCCAGAGCAGGGCCTGGCCGGGACGGCTAGTTGTATATACAATACCACTTGTAAGGCTACATTAAATACACGGGTACCGAGGCTTATTAAACTAGCAGTCTCGTTATAAAATAATACAGTATAACGGGTTACGGCCAGTATAACAAAATATTTCCAACAAGTATTATAACTATAGTTAAACTACTTAACATATCTAGACCGCAACTTGCGGCTATAGTATACTATAAACACAATACCTACATTAGGTCTATACACGCTCACTCAGGCAGTAGACACAGTCACAATAACACAGTCCAAGAGGTTACATGGCACGAGAAACAGGTCGAAATACTGCTCACCAAAACGCACAAATCTTGAAAATGTACTACTAATATACAAACGCCCTGAAGGCTCGTAGGTAAAAAATCACTCCTATCAGCTCAAGTTGTCTCGAAAAAAAATTACCCCCTTACCTTTCTAAACCGATGTTACAATGTTATCTTCTGTCCAAAATTAGTCACACGTCACATTTCTCACTTAAGTTTTTCTCAATTGAGTTTTTCATAATTTTCTAAGAACCCGAAAAGAAAGTGAACGATTCTTTAAAGTGACTTCATTTGCTTACGATGGGTCGCCATGGGTTTCCACTAGTTACATCAAACACCTAGTTGGAGAAGACATGAACGAATAAAATACTTAAAAAAAAACTTTTTAAAAAACCACGTTTTTCTTGTGGACTAAAAAGTAGAAAATAACTATTTACATACATTTGATGACAAAAAACGTGGGTACGTTCACCATCAAATTTCCCGACCCATCTGCCCGACCCACGTTTTTTGTCATCAAATGTATGTAAATAGTTATTTTCTACTTTTTAGTCCACAAGAAAAACGTGGTTTTTTAAAAAGTTTTTTTTTAAGTATTTTATTTTCTCTTTTTTAGTCCGTTGCTACACATGAAAAACGTGGTTTTTAAAAAGTTTTTTATATAGTTTATTTTCTACTTTATCTAATCACTTGATTAAGTATGACTTGACTAAGTGTTTTTAAATACACGGACTAAAAAAATCTTGAGCGACCGATACGCTTTAAACAGAGAAAGGGTGTAATTTACGTTGCTGGCGTGGAGATCTACTCACGAATCACGTGATCAAATCTCCCATAAACAAACAAATAAACGCGAAGCTGAGTTAAGGAAAAACGTGTTTATGTGTATTTTAGCATGCCCAGCGTACCAACCGTGTCACCGTTAACAATGTGTTACCGTGTCCGTTCTCCTTTTTAGTCCGTTGCTACACATAAAAAACGTGGTTTTTTAAAAAGTTTTTTTTAAGTATTTTATTTTCTCCTTTTTAGTCCGTTGCTACACATGAAAAACGTGGTTTTTAAAAAAGTGTTTATAAATACACGGACTAAAAAAATCTTGAGCGACCAGGATTCGAACTTGGGTTGTCGCGGCCACAACGCGAAGTACTAACCACTATACGATCACGGCCAGCGAGCTCACATCGATTGGGGCCGAAGTAACTGTGTCAATAGGCCTCAAGTCTTGTCGGTATCTTTAGAAATCATGTCCTCAATTTTATGGTCCTTGGGGCGTAATTAAATTAAGCTAATTACGGTCACTAATTGCTAGTTTTTATGATTGCATCTGAAATTGTTAGGCGAAAGTAGCATGCATGCCAAATTTCAGGTCTCTAGAGCAATCAGAAGTGGGCTAATTTTCGATGTCAATTTTAACAACAAACATCCAAACAAACAAACAAACGCGAAGCTGAGTTAAGAAAAACGTGTTAAAATTCGGAACTGTTGTATAAAATAATTCCTTTTGAGCGATCGTAATTAATTTGGATCACAAAAAAACTTTCAGTTTAAAACTAAGCTCACCTACAGAGGTATATATATATATATATATATGAATGTATATATATATATATATATATATATATATATATATATATATATATATATATATATATATATATATATATATATATATATATATATATATATATATATATATGTAACGAGTCCCCGAGTCTATCCTGCCGACAACGCCAAATGTAACGAGTCTCTGGCTACCCTGCCGACAACGCCAAATGTGACCTTCCCGAGTCTAACCACTCATTCCACACAACATTGACCACAGCATAGATACTCGAAGATGCAGGTTCATTATTGATCCTTTTATTACATGAATCAAAGAATGCTTCACAATAATATAATGAATCAAGAGAGATGTTTCACAATAATAGTCTGAATCAACTGACCCCCAACAGTCCTCACTAGGCTTCATCTAACTGAATACACATGTCTATCGTCCTTCTTAACACAATACGGCTAACCCGTTCAATAACCAACTTGATACTGCTACACTGACTGACTGATCGAGAGCGAGCGAGCGAGAGAGAACCCAGCCGTCGCCCTCCTATATATCCCCTTCATAATCGTACTCATATTCGGTCCTATCATAATCGTAATCGTAATCGTTACATCAGAATGTTAATTACGCCGCTTCTGTTGTACAGTCCGATTTAATAAGCCATCTGCATCCTGTCACATCAAAGTTGACAGACCGTTCTTATCGTATCGCTTCCCGAGATACTACGCCTTGGCTTTCTGATCGTTATCAGCCACCACCTGTGTTATTGCATCAGTCGTGTCAAAGTTGACAGCGCTGTACCGCGTTCTTATGTCTGGTAACTTCCCCTCGTTACATCCACCCCTGCCTTTTTTTGTGTGTTATCAACCACAAACAACGCTTGGCAGGTGCAGTCCTTCAAAGTCAATCGCACCACCGTAAAAAAAATTTATTGTTCCACTCCCTGTCAATGTCGTCACACTCGTATAAGATTGACCGTTATCCCTATTTCACATATCAAATGTGTCTACATCATCTTCCTCAGACACAAAACAGTTCTAGAATTCACATCCACCTTTTTTCGTCTGGTGCCTTCACCAGTTCACTTTTATGACTTTTTGAACAGTCTGTTCTCATACCAGCGCGACCATGAAAGAATTGATGGTTGCTGACAAAAAATTTCGTATTCTTTCTGTTTCTCAAACTTCTCCGCGGACCACTTATCTGATGGTCTATTGTCTCTCTGCTTCTGGAGGGACCGGGATCCTCCTTGTTGCCGGTATCCTCCCCTTGTGTGTCGCTGATGTTCTGTTGATGGTGACATGGTTCCGGGATGGGTATGAGAATTTCCGTTATAGTTTCCGGTTCCCTAATTGTCTTGGGTTTCCTTGTGTGTAACTGCTCTTCTTGACTATGCCAATATTTCTTTAATTGAGCAATATTCGCCCACCGATCCGGTTTGGTGTGATCGATGGGTCTTATCTTAAAGGGGCCACCTGCTACTTTAGGCATCTCCACGACTTGCCATATCTCCTGTCCCCAGAGGTCGTGGATTTTGTTTCTGCCTAACGGGTGGCTACGCAGTAATACCCTGTCGTTCAGTTTGAGTGGCGGGTCCTTTGTCTGTACCGGCGGTTCCCTTCGCCGTGCTTCATGTTCTAGTCTTTCCTGTACTACCCTGTACATTTCTCTAATTCGTCTCATATGTTCATTCACATATTCCAGTGCAGTGTATGAGCCAGTCATACTCTCCTTTTTTCCTAGGAACAAGTCAAGGGGGAGTCGAGCCTCCCGTCCGAACAGCAACATGTGTGGCGAAAAGCCGGTTGTGGCATGGGGGGTGCAGTTGTATAGATATACCAACTCTGGGAGAAAATCAGGCCAACGTTTTTTCTGTTCAGGTTCTAGGGTACGCAGCAAATCATGCATGCTGCGGTTGAACCGCTCGCACTGTCCGTTTCCTTTCGGATTAAATGTGGTTGTTCTAGATTTGTTGATCCCGTAGTGGCTGCACAGTTGGTTAATTACTTCTGACTCGAAGGCCCTTCCTTGGTCAGAGTGTAATTGTCTTGGTATGCCATATTTGATGAACCAATGTTCTATTAAGACCTTTGCCACTGTTTTGGCAGTCTGATCTCGTGTGGGCACCGCCACAGTCCATTTGGTGAAAACATCAGTCATTACCAACACATGTTCCGTCCCATCCGATGATTGCTCCAACGACGTAAAGTCCATAGCCACAATCTCTAGTGGTTTTGTCGCTAATAGGTGTCCCGATGGCTGTCTCATTTTGACAACTGGCATTTTCGCATGCTGACACCTCACACAAGCCTCACAATGGCGTTTGACCTCCATTTCCATATTGGGCCAGTAACACCTCCGTCGTAATATTTTGTGCGTCCTGTCCTGACCCTGGTGTCCTGCCCTGTCATGTGCCAACCTTAGCACTTCTTCTCGTAACTGTCCAGGCACCACCACCTGGTGTATTGTCCCATCAATTTGGTCATGAATTCTCCGCATGAGAACACCATCCTTTATACTGAGACGGTCCCACTGACTCAGTATTTTCTTTGTTTCTCGACCAAATTGTTCTCTTTCCCTTCTTCCTGGGAATTTTTGTTCCTGGACGTGTTTCAACAGCGGCTGTAAGCCACTATCCGTTCTCTGGGCATCTCGTATCTCTTTGTGATTAAGGCAACTAAAATCACCAATGTCCATATGTCCGGGCTCTGTGGAAATGTGCTCCACCCCGGTCTGTCCGTTCTGCCTCACTTGCACCCCGTGAGGGATATCTGTTGACGCTCTGACCTCACATATTCCTGTCAGCGTTTCTTCCTCATCGCCCGGTCTCTCGTAAGGATTCCTTGATAAGGCGTCCGCATTGCCATTGGACCGCCCCGGGCGAAATTTTATCTCCAGGTCAAAGAATGCCAATTCTGCTGCCCATCGCTGTTCGATGGATCCCAATTTTGCTGTCTTTAGGTGACTCAAGGGGTTATTGTCAGTGTATACCACACATTTAGCACCTAATAGATAGTCCCTGAATTTTTCCGTCACAGCCCATTTTAATGTCAAAAGTTCTAGTTTCATGGCGCTGTAATTTGTCATGTTCTTCTCTGATTCCTTCAGAGCTCGACTGGCATAAGCAATAACCCTGAAGCCTTGCTTTTGTTGTTGTGATAGCACAGCTCCCAGACCTTTAGAGCTGGCGTCAATTTCTAGCCGAAATGGTTTGTCAAAGTCTGCGTATCCTAATATCGGCGCCTCTGTCAAAGCCTTTTTCAATAGCTTAAACGAGTTCAGGCATTCATCAGTCCATAATTCACCTATCAGTTGTGTTTTACCTTTCTTTTTCTCCTTACTGTGTTTCTTTGTCATTTTGTTTACCAAGTCATGCAATGGTGCGGCAATTTTTGCAAAACCAGGCACAAATTTTCTATAATAGGAAGCAAAGCCCAAGAATGATCTGACCTCTACCGTAGTTGTTGGCTGTTTCCATTCTTTAACAGCTGCAATTTTATCTGGGTCAGTGGCGATGCCATCCGACGAAATCACATAACCCAAAAAATGTACCGATTTCAGACCGAAGCAGCATTTGTCTGGGTTCAGCTTTACTCCTATCTCCCTAAGACGGAGAAACACTTGTTCTAATCTTTTTAGATGGTCCTCCCAAGTTTTTGAGTAAACTAGTATATCATCCAAGTACACCAACATTATTTGAAATAGAAAGTCACTCATAGCACTCTGCATTACTCGCTGGAATGTAGCAGGTGCATTAGTTAGACCAAACGGCATACGGGTCCACTCGTACAGTCCCAGTGGAGAAATAAATGCAGTTTTATGTTGATCGTTGGGGTGCATGGCCACTTGGTGGTAGCCACTAGCCAAATCCAAGGTAGAAAAAAATCTTGCTCCCCCCAACGCATCAAGACATTCATCAATACGAGGCAAGGGGAATGCATCCCTTCTTGTGATATTGTTCAATTTCCGGTAATCACAACACAGTCTTATCTCCCCTGACTTCTTTTTTACCACTACTATCGGTGCCGCATACGGGCTCGTGCTGGTTGTAATAATTCCCTTTTTTAGTAGATCGTTCAGGTGTGCCTTCACCGCAGAGTAGTGACTTGGTGGTAATCTTCGATAGGGTTGCGCCACCGGCTTGTCTTGTAGTAAGGGTATCTGGTGTTTTATTACTTCCGTGTAACCCAAATCACCCTCGTACGAGGCAAATATATCCCTGTACTTATTCAACAATTCATTTAGTTTTGGGTCCTCAGTTTCCGGGAATGTATATGATCGGCCATCCTCTTTCTTCACCTCGGCCGTCACATTGACCGACCTAATTGTTACTTCATTACTGCTGGTATTGCTCAGTTCGATGCACTGTGCCGACCTTTGTACCTCGACGTTCTGTGGTACTCCTACCAGAGTATTAGGCGGTATAAAAATTTCCTCATCCAAAACATTTGCCACTAATCCTTGAACTAGTCCATTTTCCGCTGATGTGTATGTCCGCAGTAACACGACGCCTGCCCTCAGTGCGGCGCCACATGGTTCTATCATCACATCACCATTCACGCTTCTATCACCAATTTGTAATGTGATTGCCTTGACCGTGTTTGCCGGGACTGATATCCTTCCTCTGGTCTTGGCAAACCTGGCCAACTTGGATCCCCGACCTGGTGTGGTCGATCCGACAATATTTGTAAGAAATTCTGGCAACTGGCCAAGAATATTCATGCCCAACAGGCAAGGTATATTTGACACATTTGTCTCTAGGTTGTGTTTCGTGACGAACACCCCAACCTGCTTCAACCTATGTCCCGCCACCACGACATCCGCCAGAAAATAACCACAGTATGGAATAGTTAGTCCATTAGCTGCCGTCAGGCGCATGCATGTGTCAGACCTCAACCTATGGTCTTTTCCTTTCATCCATTTGGTGTAAAAATTTTCCGTAATTGTCGTCACCTGGGAGCCTGTATCCACAATTGCCTTCACCGCGATGTCCCCAATCGTAATCACCATTTCGGGACAGACTCCCATCATTTTGCTTCTTGGGCCATAACCTCGCCCCTCTGTAGCCTGGCCCTGCCTTACAGAGGACGACCGTTTCCCTGGCAGTACCGTGCCATATGTCCGGGTTGTGAACAGGACAAGCAAATTGGTCGACCGTCGGCCGTCCACCGGAGCGATGGACCGGCGGGTCGCGGCCGTCCAACCTGTCTCTGTTTTGTCCCGTTCTTTTCCTGATTCTCAGCTGTTGACCTGCTTTCTAACCTCTCCAATCTTTGGTCAACCTTATCCAGGTGGGCCAACAGTTGAGCCATCATGGTTTCCACCGTGCCGGTCCCCGTGGGTGGGGATTGTTTCTGTTCCGGCACAGAGACTTTGTCCACCGAACAGTTCGATTGGTCCTCATCCTCGGACCTGCGGATCGCTGAGTTCCTGACCTGAAGGAAGGTCAACTGCGGGTCTTTGTGGACCTCCTCTTTCAACTCTCTCCTTAAGATCGGGGTTGCTAGCCCCTCGATGAACTGGTCCCTCAGTAGGCGTACATCAATGTCAGGTGTTTTGCCCTTTACCGAATCAAAGGCCCTGTTTATTCGGTGTGAATACTCCATCACACTCTCCGCCATTCTCTGCTTTAAGCCTACGAACCCCGATAGCAGTTGCGATCCCGACCGTCTCTCCCCAAAGGTCTCCATAATTAGATCCAGCACCTTATCTGGATCTGATTGGACGGTTTTATCGTGGCATTTGACCTCTGCCCTAACCATCTCTCCTATACTGCCCATCAGCAGTCTTAATCTTTCCTCTGGTGACATGTATCTCGAGGCCCAGGCCGCTTTGACCTCCTCACTGAACCTGTTGGTTAAAGTTGGATCACCGTCCCCGTAAAATTTGTTAATGTGGGACTCTCTGGGCAGGACCACAATATGGGTCTGCTTCTCGTCCAGAGTAGACATTTTATTCCTTTAGTAAAAAAAAAGAGTTCTTTCTTACCGTGTGTGTATGAAAAATTTTTCCTCGTTCCTCAATTTTCACTGTTCCTGAATGTCCGAATTCACACACACACTAAACACAGTTATGAACTAGGTTGACTATGGGTGCCTAAAGCGGCAAGTCTCGTTGAATTCATCCTGTCCGCAGCGCCAAATGTAACGAGTCCCCGAGTCTATCCTGCCGACAACGCCAAATGTAACGAGTCTCTGGCTACCCTGCCGACAACGCCAAATGTGACCTTCCCGAGTCTAACCACTCATTCCACACAACATTGACCACAGCATAGATACTCGAAGATGCAGGTTCATTATTGATCCTTTTATTACATGAATCAAAGAATGCTTCACAATAATATAATGAATCAAGAGAGATGTTTCACAATAATAGTCTGAATCAACTGACCCCCAACAGTCCTCACTAGGCTTCATCTAACTGAATACACATGTCTATCGTCCTTCTTAACACAATACGGCTAACCCGTTCAATAACCAACTTGATACTGCTACACTGACTGACTGATCGAGAGCGAGCGAGCGAGAGAGAACCCAGCCGTCGCCCTCCTATATATCCCCTTCATAATCGTACTCATATTCGGTCCTATCATAATCGTAATCGTAATCGTTACATCAGAATGTTAATTACGCCGCTTCTGTTGTACAGTCCGATTTAATAAGCCATCTGCATCCTGTCACATCAAAGTTGACAGACCGTTCTTATCGTATCGCTTCCCGAGATACTACGCCTTGGCTTTCTGATCGTTATCAGCCACCACCTGTGTTATTGCATCAGTCGTGTCAAAGTTGACAGCGCTGTACCGCGTTCTTATGTCTGGTAACTTCCCCTAGTTACACACATATATATATATATATATATATCTTAAGCCAAATAGCATATTTACTAATCTCAGAATCATAAGAAATAAATGTTTAAATAATCACACAACGGCGAGATTAAGTAGTATACTAGTGGACCAAATTTATCCATTGGATAAAGGTTACTATGTCATATTGTCGAGAGCCACAATTTAAAGCTTTTTTTTTATTCTGCATCCAATTAGTGTGACTGAAACAAGCAAATATTTAAGAAGAAAACATGGAGCTGAACAAAGAATTCTCCAAAGGTGTGATTGACGGCATCGAGACTCTGTGGCACGACAAAGACGAAGAGCTGCTGGACTTCACGGTGAAGGTCGGGGAGAGAGAGTTCCGGTGCCACAGGTTTGTTTTGGCGGCGTCATCCCAGTTTTTCCGTGGACTTTTTAGATCCGGGATGAGAGAAACGGAAACAAAAAGTGTTGAGCTGCAAGATATTTCCAGAGAAACTTTTGAGCTTGTTTTGAAAGTCGCGTACACATGTAAGGATGTGATCGATGATAGAAATGTCTTCGATCTGTGGCACGCGGCCAATCAGCTTCAGATCAAATATTTGATCGAAGAATGCGAAAAATTTGTCCTGAAGATTCTGTCATTGGATACGTTTGAGGAAATTTACAAAAACTCCAAAATGTTAGATTCTTTTGATGTTTTGAGAAAAACAATTTCTTTTATGATTGCAAATTTTAACTCTTGCAGGAAAAGTGAAACGGTTTTAAGGCTGACAAAAGATGAAATCGTTGAAGTGGTTAGAAGTCCGGATCTAGTTGTGAAAACTGAGGATTTTGTTCTTGAGTACATCTTGAATTGGGTCAAATTCGACCCAACAAAGAGCTGTTTAATAAAATCAAACGACGTGGTTCAACCGGCTAGAATAACCAGGAAGACAAAACCAGATGACGAGATAATTGTTGCCACTAGAGGTACAGAAGATAAAGCAATCCAGAGTGACGATGGCTTCACCAGAACCTCTACAGAGGATACTTCACTGGAATTTGACCTGGAACGTTTGAAGACTGACGCAGACCCAACTTTAGATTCAGCAGATAGAGAGAATTCGGAAAATTCTGACCACTATCTTGAAGAGCAGTCTCAATACCAATAGAGATCAAGGTTCATGATTACCTTGTTGAAATCAGCCAGGCTATGTTTGGTCAGTTCACATTTCCTGAAGAAAGTCTTTCTTGACCCATTGATCAGCACTAACAAGATAGCCAGAGAGATGGTCTACAACACTTCAATTTACCAGACGTTAAGTCACAGCTCAGGACAGTGGCCGAGTGGTGCTACACACAGGGCCTGCAGTAGTCTCATCAATGTAGGAGTCTACATAGAGAACAATAAAACAGTAAAAGCCGTTTCACTTAACAATCTTGAAAAATACAGTCTTCGGTACGCTGCAGCACCTTTAAAAAACGCTGAAGTAATTTTTTGTAACAACGTTCTTTATGCCGCGGGGCTTGATGGAGTTAACAGTAAAGTTGTCCAGCTAATGGCATTGATGAAAGATAAATGGATTCAAATGGTGACCTTAAACTCACCGCAATTATATGAAGAAGAACAAGAAACTAGTTTTGCGTTTGATGATCAAGAACATACCTTTTTCCTTGTTTCTGTAGATGCATCAATATATGTTTACAATACAGTAAATAAAAACATGAGAGTATATAATATCCTAACACAATCAGTTGATGATATACTTGATTTCCCATCAATAACAAATATTAATTTTGTATTTGCATATGAAAACAACCTTCTGATTTTTCACACGGAGACCAAAAGTGACGCAGATGAGACGGCGGTTCACAGTTTTGATACCGTGAACCAAACGTGGACTAGGTTAAATAATCTCGAAGGTTCTGGGTCGAAGATGACCTGCTTCAAGAAAGACGAGGACAGTTACCTACTAAAGAACAATGGAGACCTGTGGAAAATTGTCACCACTGAGTTAGGTTTCATTGACTTTGTCTTTTTGTCAAAGCTTTGGGATTTCACATACAACCTTTATGGGGCTGTTACTTACAATGACGAGCTGTTCATTTTTGGAGAAGATCCCAGTGTGAAACCAGCTGACAAAATGTGGCCAGAAAAAACGTCTTTGTTCAGTAAAATAAGTGTACAAGGCTCGCCAGGTCACTGTTCGAGATTTGTTCCAGCTGTTCTCTCAAACACGGCAATTTCGAAAGACGTTTTTGTGTTTGGAGCGCGACGCGTCAATTAGAACTAAATCACACGCACCATAGTCATCATATTACATGGCTGGCCTTTGATTTTTAAGTACAATTTTGTATTAGAATAAATGTAGTGTGTTAAATAGCTTTCGTAAAATCATGAAAATGTACACACAAAAAATTCTGATGATACTTACGCGTTTTAAAAACATAATATTCATAACTATTGAATGTAATTCTCTTTAGCGTTTAATTTAACGTTTTTACATTCTATACACGTTAATGGATTTCTAGATGTCGTATATTTTTAAATATTGTAACCATATAGTGCTAGTGTGTATTTGAATGAAAATTTCAGCGTGCTTTAAGGAAAAACAATAATTCGAAACTGGAAAATTAAATCTATTTCCGCCTGGAAAGCGAAAGAGAGGAAGACCACTGGGAACATGGAGGAGAGAGATGGAAGAAGAAGTGCAGGCTACTGGCAAGACCTGGCATGAACTAAAGTATGGAATGTCGGAGATTTGTTGTTGCCCTATACTCCGCAGGGAGTGATGAGGATTAAGTAAAGTAAAAACATCTATTTTTAAATATAAAAAACACAACAATTGCTGAACTGTAAACGACTTTTTGGACGGTTTTGGATACCTAATATTTGTATTTAATTATTTACATATTGAATACACAGGCAAAAGTTATATAATGGAATGCTTCTACGTTGCTACAGAAGAAATCCAATAACTGATGGGGCCGAAAATATTACGTTGTTGTCTGAAATCTTGTTGCCTTAGGCCGTGTACCCTAAATTAGAAAGGCTGTTGTAAAACGCCTTACTTCGCTGACTTATTCTTTAACCCGAACGCTGAAATGCAGGTTTTCAACTGAATGATCTGCTTTAGCCATACAGGTACATATAAGCTAAACTTTCGAAAGATACAATTTACTGCTACATTAGTACTAGATGCAACATTGATAAAACCTTGATACAACATTGATAAGTATTTTAAAATAAAAAAAAAATATTATAAAATGGATGTACAAATGTATCAAAATGTTCCAGAAACGTTTAAAGAGAAAATGATCTCTATGAGCTTCAATGTTTTACTACTTTTACAATAAAAATTACTTTTTTTTTGACGAAGCTGTGTTGTGTTTTTTAAAAATGTTTAATGGATTTCGAGCATCAATGTATCTCCCATTTCACATTTTTGTACTTATTATTAAAATACTTCTGAATCCGAGGTTTAATTTTATTTTGTTAGATAAATCTGAACATATACTTTTTGTATAGCATATGTTTAGCTTGAAACTTAAAACATCTTTCTAATATAATCAAATCATTAACTTTATCGTTTTGTTATGTAATCGGGCTATTGAAATGAAAGAAATGTTATTCACGTAATAAAAATCTAATATACAAAATCCTGAAATGTTTCTGTTTATAACCTATTTTCAACGAGAAGTAATTTTTAAAATAAAACTAATATAATAATTAAATTAAATTGCATTGAACATTTTTTTGAACGTTTCTGTGTTGAATTGCTGCTATCACTTACAAATTTTTTTTTAATGAGCTTGCAAAAACCTTTCAGAAGTTGATTCAGCTGATTATCGCGTGCAGAACTCAAGGATGCAGTCGTTCACATGACTATTTATGAACACATCCAGTCGAAATCGATTAATTGATTACAAAAGCTCACATCCAATTTAGTTGTCATTGTGGAAGATTGGCTTAAACTAAATTGTAAGGGACCGGTGGGTTTTTTCTAATACCCTAAGGCTGGTCTTGATGGGTTGTTTTCTGATACCCTAAGGCTAGGCTTGATGGGTTGTTTTCTGATACCCTAAGGCTAGGCTTGATGAGTTGTTTTCTGATACCCTAAGGCTTGGCTTAATGGGTTGTTTTCTGATACCCTAAGGCTAGGCTTAATGGGTTGTTTTCTGATACCCTAAGGCTAGTCTTGACTGTGTGGCTTTCTTTACATCAGTTCCCCAATCCTCTTTGTTAGTTTTTTTATTGCTTTACTTGTTGAGTGATTTCAACGTTGGATAAACCAACACAATTATTGACCAAACCTTATTTAAACCATCATAACGAGTCATAACCAATCATCTTTTGATATAAATAGATTCACAACCAAACAACTTTTGATATCAATCGATTCACAGCCAAACGTATTGTGATATAAGTCGAGTCATAACCAAACCTTATAATACAAAACGTCTTAATAGTCTAAAAACAATTCTGAACAGTTGATGTGTTTAGTTTTCTTCATTTGGTAAAATTAGACGAATGTGAATCTGATTTATTTAGAAAGATAATGCTAAAACATTTGAATATAAAACGTTTATTAATTCCAACGTGTTATAGCACATAAAATAATTACAAATTTCTTTATTTGTAAAGGTTAATACATGATTGAAATCCATATTTCTGTGCGTTTTTTTTTATATTTAACGAGACTGAAATTTAGTAACTGAATTTAAAAATTTTAAAAAAATCTTGAAGCCTTAAATTTAATTGATGTTGTTTTCGTTATGTGGTTTTCTTATCCCGCGCATTTGGCTGAGTTGGAGTACGCTTTTTGTGGGGATAAATGATATCAAAATAGTTAGGGACTCATCAAAGTTTGGCAAGGATAGGGGATTAAAAAAATGCATATGGTTTTTAGCAGGTAATAAGAAAGGGAAGAGTGCGTGAGAAAAATGTGTAAGGATAAACTGATGTTATTAATTTTGCAGTTTATAGACATGTCTTTAATGTTTATATTAATTATATACGAAGATTTAGAAAAATAAATGAAATTGATTTTCCAAAGTGTTAGGGATAAGCTAAATTGTATTCCTTGATTTATGTGTAGGCTACGAATTATTCCACGTTTTGTGTCACGTTTAGTTTAATGTTGTAAAATTAATCATAACACTGAGGTGTTATTTTGGAATAATAATTTCGACCCTCACCGAATAGATCTTTTACCAGTTTTCACCTATTCCCTTGCTAGCCCATTATAGTTTAGCATTTTCACTTTTATCCTAGTTAATGAGTTAATTAGTAATTTAGTATTTTATTTTTTTAAAGAAATAAGAATAAAAATAATTTTATATTCATGGTATAGTTATGTGCTAAAAGTGTGACGTACAACACAGACAGATTTCTCTGGAAATGGAGCAATCAGAACAGAGACACAGGTTCATTAATTTGCTTCAATGTATAGAATAAAGTTTGATGCACTCTTAAACAGTTTTTCTTCTATTTGAAGTAAATTTTAAATCCCGTAATTACGTCTTCATTTGTTTAGAGATTTACGTGCGTGGATTTACATTTGTTTAGAGATTTACGTGCGTAGATCTACATTTGTTTAGAGATTTACGTGCGTAGATCTACATTTGTTTAGAGATTTACGTGCGTACATCTACATTTGTTTAGAGAATTACGTGCGTAGATCGACATTTTTTAAAGGATAGCTTAAAGAGTAACGTTTTTTTAAGCTCGTCTTCTTCTTCATCTTCGTTCTTAATTTTTAGTGTTGGAAGGGATCGAGCCTTATCTGCCAGAAGGTTAGAACTCGAGACTTTTTCGAATTTATCAACCATGAGCTTTTGCCGACTCGACCACGCCTCCATCACAATTAAGGATACGTGTCAACTGGTTATGCGCCATTGAGGCCGTTGACTCCGATTTCAGCCTGCTTTTCTTTTTGGATTTGCTTCCATAGCCTTTGTCCAACCGAGTACAAACTACAAGGCAGCAGTTGTTTGAGTGGCTGTCCCCAGCTAACGAGCCTCATCTGCCCAAGGGTTCGAACTCGAGACTTTTCGGTTTAGAAACCTTGAGCTTTACCGACTCAACCACGCCGACCCCCCTTTAGCTCGTCTGAAATTACTTTAACTTTTTTTTTTACTGGTCAGCCCGTTTCTTGTGAGTACAAAATAACTTTAAACTCCAGAATAGGCATCGATACGTTTTATTTCACTTGTATTGGTCTTAGTCTAACTCTCAATAGGTATTGATATGTTTTATTTCACTTGTATTGGTCTTAGTCTAACTCTCAATAGGTATCGATATGTTTTATTTCACTTGTATTGGTCTTAGTCTAACTCTCAATAGGCATCGATACGTTTTATTTCACTTGTATTGATCTTAGTCTAACTCTCAATGGGCATCGATACGTTTTATTTCACTTGTATTGGTCTTAGTCTAACTCTCAATAGGTATCTATATGTTTTGATACATTTGTATTGGCTTTAGGCTAGCTCTCAATGCTTCAGATGTTCTTAACAATTCAAAAATAGGATGTGAGGTGTAATTCTGGCATTTCAAATGCACAGAGTTTGAACAGAATATGAATAGAGACTGCGCACACAGACTATAAACACAGACAATGAACACAGACTATGAACACAGACTATGAACACAGACTATAAACACAGACTATGAACACAGACTATGAACACAGACTATGAACACAGACTTTGAACACAAACTATGAACACAGACTATGAACACAGACTATGAACACAGACTATGAACACAGACTATGAACACAGACTATGAACACAGACTATGATCACAGACTATGAACACAGACAATGAACACAGACTATGAACACAGACTATGAACAAAGACCTTGAACACAGACTATGAACACATACTATGAACACAGACAATGAACACAGACTATGAACACAGCCTTTGAACACAGACTATGAACACAGACTATGAACACAGACTATGAACACAGACTATGATCACAGACTATGAACACAGACAATGAACACAGACTATGAACACAGACTATGAACAAAGACCTTGAACAGAGACTATGAACACAGACTATGAACACAGACAATGAACACAGACTATGAACACAGACTATGAACACAGACTATGAACACAGACTATGAACACAGACTATGAACACAGACTATGAACACAGACTATGAACACAGACTATGAACACAGACTATGAACAAAGGCTATGAACACAGACTATGAACACAGACTATGAACAAAGGCTATGAACACAGACTATGAACAAAGACTATGAACACAGACTATGAACGCAGACTATGAACACAGACTATGAACACAGACTACGAACACAGACTATGAACACAGACTATTCACACAGACTATGAACACAGGCTATGAACACAGACTATGAACACAGACTATGCACCCTTTCTGCGTATCCTCATCTCGACCCTCTGTAGTGGATCGTCCCCAAGACTTTCCCAGTGAATTCCATCGAAACTAGCTTCCTCTTCCCATTTTCCGTTCAAGAAAGCTCTGTAGCAATCAGCAAACCACCATCCCGCCTTGTAGCTAGCGGTGCAGCCATTGGTAGTGGGTCGGTCAGTGGTGGTGAATCTCTGGTTGTTGTGGATACTCATAGAGTCCCCGGCGTTTCCTGAGTACTGACTGACTTGAAGGGTGTAATGGGCAGCCTCGCTCCCAACATAGAACGTCCCGTACACGGCATGGTATGGTCGGCCATTATAGTTCATGTCGATTCTCAGTTCATAGTTGTGCGCCTGTATAAATCAGCGGTTAAGTGAATCGATTTGTTTATTCACATTTGTGTGTTATAAGTATATTGATTTTATTAACTTTTTTAAATTAACAAGCAAGTCAAAAAAATAGAAATCTTTAAGTTTGCTTTAGAGTTTAGTCAAACGATGAAGAAAATCGTCAAACAAGTTGTACATTCTTTTGAGCGTGAATGCGTTTAACAAACTATGTGTTGCAAATTGATTTAACATGCGCTTTTTTCAACGGTGCTGATTATCATTCTCCACAAATCTGAAGCTCTATATCGTGCTATAAAAGCAGACGTTGTAATACCTACCGACGTTAGACCGTATAAGAAATCGTTTCCGATCCAGAAGTCCCCGCTCAAAGAGCCGAATCCTGCCTTGTATCGGGCCCAGGTTTGATCGAAACTTATATCACCGACGGTTCGACGCTAAAAGAATTCAATTATAAAGATGTATTTTCACCTCTTTTTTTTACTTTAAAGAGAAATCATTATTATTTTTTTAAGAAGATGGAACATAACGTGGTCATAACGTAAAAACTAATAAAGTGTGTATCGTTCAGTGCTGTATAAATTTTATTTCTGTCACATATCAAAATAAAAACATTGGTTTTTTCTTGTAGTAAATATGCTACACTACATCTACACTGGAAAACGGCAGGGAGTTTTTTACATGTACACCACACATACGCACTTGGAGTCTCACACACACACACACACACAAGTATGCCGACGTCTGGTGTCCCCATTAACTATTGTGCCTGTTGTGTGCTGACGAAGACCTTGGGTCGAAACGTCCATAGTACTTGTAACTGTCTTTAACTTGTGAGGTAACTAACACTATCTGTTTGATTACTAATTGCATTAACCTCACTGCAGCTACCATTTGTTTTTGCCTATCTCCCCAAAAATTGTGTTTTAAAGGCTAAATTTAAAAAAAAAAGAATTTTTGACATAGCGAGTTTCTTTAATAAGTAAGAGACATGTCCTAACACACAAAACAGTACTATATGGATGATTATAACAAATTTGAGCAAATCAAGATAATTAAATACATATATTTTTAGTCTGTAACAAAAGCAGTGGTCGCTAAAATATGTATGATGTTTAATGAGGGAAAGATCGGAAGGGGGGGGGGCGTTAATTGTCAGGGGTTGATATCATGCTTCCTGGGGTCAGTTTTTTCTTATTTTTTTGTTTTATATCCTTCGTAAATTAACAATTAGTTTAAGATCTGGATTTAGTTTTAAGAAGTCGCCCAACGGAAAAAAAATATTTAAATTTGAGATTAGCCCTTTAATGATTTTTCCGAAAGTTCGTCTTAGAAAAACTTTGGTCGATTGAAATGAAGTCTTGTAGTAATGGAGTTTTCGCCATTTTGTTCGCATAATATAGTCGGATATAAAAATTGTGAGTTCTTCTACTTCACTGGGCCTGGGCAAAGTCCAGATCATCTGATCATGTAATTATGCAGGTGTTAATGAAGTTGTTAATGAAGTATATTTTGGCGAGAGAAGCAGAATGATCAGGCTTTGGGTTAACTAACATTTAATATTGCACACAGCAAATAATGGCTAGACATATGTATATATATATATATATATATATATATATATATATATATATATATATATATATATATATATATATATATATATACAGAGAGAGAGAGTGAGAGAGAGAGAGAGAGAGAGAGAGAGAGAGAGATAGAGACCCACTTTTAAAACATCGTTAATCTGAAAAAAAATACCTGGATGAAAATCCAACCCCCTTGATCGGTTTTGGTATCACAGAGGAAGGTTTTCCCTAAGGCTCTCATCGGTTCCACATCAGCATAGCAGGGAAACATTTTTGACTTCAAGCAGACTGGCTGTAAGGAAACGCAGATTTTTCTAAAAAATAAACTACAACACGCGCACGTACGCAAACGCACTATAACAACTCACAGCACGAGAACTGAACAGGGACGAAAGGAATAGGGTAACAGATACAAACATTTACCACCATTCATCCCCCTTCACTCGTTCACTGTGAAAATCTCGATTTTGTGAAAATCTCGATTTTGTGAAAATCTCGATTTCGGTTGTTTGCATGATTACAAAACTTCCTATATACTTCGCGTACGAGAAAGTAAAAAATACAACTTATATACAACGTATATACAACGTGACGTAACGGACAGTTACCTCAGGGGCAGATAAACAGCGTCGCGCAGAACATCTCGGAGCGTTGTGGATGTAACTTTGCCTCTTGTCCAAATAATCTGTGGTTAGAATGACAAAATAAATATTAGTCAAATCCAGTAATTAAAGAAACAGATGGACCGGACAAATTATCTCAGACCAAATAATTCAAGACTCAACATCTCAATGTTAATGATCTTACAACAAATTGTTCCAAAACAAATGATTCAATACTAAACATCTCAAGGTTAATGATCTCAGGACAAATTATCCTAAATACAAATGATTCAAGACTAAATATCTCAAGGTTAATGATCTCAGGACAAATTATTCCAAAAACAAATGATTCAAGACTAAATATCTCAAGGTTAATTATCTCAGAACAAATTATTCCAAAACAAATGATTCAATACTAAATATCTCAAGGTTAATGATCTCAAGACAAATTATTCCAAAACAAATGATTCAAGACTAAATATATCAAGGTTAATGATCGCAGGACAAAATATCTCAAGGTCAATGATATTCGGACAAAATATGTCAAGGTCGATGATGTAAGAATAAAATATCTTAAAGTAAATGATCTAAGGACAAAATATCTCAGGACAAATGATGTCAAGGACAAATGATGTCAAGGACAAATGATGTCAAGGACAAATGATCTCTCGTGACAAAGAACTGTGACACAATTAGTCATGACGAGATATCCACAATATTTGGAATGTTTTTGAGATATTTTGTTTTGACATCATTTGTCCTTGCGATATTTTGTCTCGGATATTTTAGAGATCATTTGTCGTTGAGATATTTTGTGTCTTAGATATTTTGTCTTAGATCCTTTGTCGTTAAGATATTTTGTCTCGGAATTTTTGCCTGAGATCAATTGTCCCCTACCTTTGAATTCCTTACACGTGTAAAATTACGAGATTTGTACACAAGTTCGAGACGGTTGGCGGATCATAAACTTAACTTCTCTTCACATCCAAACACAGTGGTTGGATGTATTAGGGGAGAAGAAATAATTATTTTGGAAGACCCCCGGGTTTGTCTGCTGGTAAAGTCGGTGCTAGACATGTTCCACGTCATATTGTTCCAGACCGTTTGGCCCATGACATTTATTCCAGAATTACAGAGAGCAGACCTAGGCAACAGAAAACAATGACTCACCATCCTGGTGCTCTGCGCATGGGCAGAGAGACAGTAGAGTGATGCTGAGTAAAGCAGACAAAACAGCCGTAAAAAACATGTTGTCTTTAGCCTGCCCGTGAGGAAATGGTGTGGGACGTCTCGATATACGGCTATGCCACTCGACCTTCCATACAGATTAATGGAGACAGATGGTCTTAATAGGGCAGAGAAGATTAGGTTTTAATTTACCAAGATCTATTCTTGGAGGTGATGTAAAATTAGTTCTAGATCGAAGTGTTCTGGTACACACAATAATGCAAGAACATATTTATTCTAAAAAAAAGTAGTTGTTTGTATGCCATAACTTGTCAAAATAAGTTGCTTAATTAAAAACTTAATAAATTAGCTTCTGTTACTGTTGGTATACTGAACTGTCGTGGAAATCAAGGCTTTAACATTTCCATATAGCTAATGTAAACAATATATTTCTGTCTCCTTCTATTTATAAATTTATATAAATAGGGGAAATGGGTAAAAAAGTACAAGTTCCTTTTTCGAACATTGCGTTATACGGGGCAGGTGAAGTAGAGTTCATCTGTTACCCCACGGTCATTATAATTGAGCTGTAAAATCCATCCAATCGATTAGATGTAGATACACTAATTTCATCTATTACACTTCACGTCTCTAGCTGAAGTATTAACAACTTATCTTAAAACCAACGACGTATGGACATATCAGTGGTTGTTACTTTCATGTTGAGTGCCTTCAACGTTTTGTAAGGTAAAAACATGGCCAATCTTTGCCAGCCCTTTTTTTTGTAATGAAATAGATGTGGCAAGTTGTTAGATCACACACATTGAAAGAACGAGCACCAAATTATAATATCAGGTCGTTTTTTTAAATCATTAAAGTACTTTTTGAGATCTTTATTGGCCAATAAAATTGTCCGTCTTATAAAAATTAAAATGCAAAAACGATTGATCATATAAAAATCTGTTTATACAGTTAATACATCTATCCATATATATATATATATATATATATATATATATATATATATATATATATATATATATATATATATATATATATATATATATATGTATATATATATATAATGATATACATATACATATGAGTATGTATTTGCCCCATATATATATATATATATATATATATATATATATATATATATGTATATATATATATATATATATATATTTCATAAACCGTTTGTTACATAGTTACGTTCAATCCTGATGCTTACAAAAGCACACTGTTAGTAATGCACTGATTCTTACAATGACATTAATGTGGCTGTCTGCTAATAATAGATGATATAATGATATAATAATAGATGATATAATGATATAATACTAAACGATATAATGATACACAGCCTACACTCATATAATAGAATTATATTCCCGATAAATAGACTACATGTATAGTTTTATTCAATGCTACGTAGGCTACACGTATAGTTTTATTCAATGCTACGTAGGCTACACGTATAGTTTTATTCAATGCTACGTAGGCTACACGTAATGTTTTATTCAATGCTACGTAGGCTACTCGTATAGTTTTATTCAATGCTACGTAGTCAACACGTATAGTTTTATTCAATGCTACGTAGGCTACACGTATAGTTTTATTCAATGCTACGTAGGCTACACGTAATGTTTTATTCAATGCTACGTAGGCTACTCGTATAGTTTTATTCAATGCTACGTAGTCAACACGTATAGTTTTATTCAATGCTACGTAGGCTACACGTAAAGTTTTATTCAATGCTACGTAGGCTACACGTATAGTTTTTTCAATGTTACGTAGGCTACACGTAAAGTTTTATTCAATGCTACGTAGGCTACACGTATAATTTTATTCCCTGGTAGCCTATATAGTTTATGCGTATAGTTTTATAGCCTGCTTCACAGGTTGAACGTAGAGGCTTATTCCCTGCTTCATAAAGTACACGTATATTTTTATAGCCTGCTACATAAACTACACGTATAGTTGCTTATCCTGCTCATAATGATCGATTAACAGTTAAAAACACAAGCAGTTTCCCCGTTGACAAAGTTCACCACAACAAACTTTTGTTTACAGCCTTCCCCCCCCCCCCACTCTATCACGTGATTTATTTGCGTGTGACGTCGGAGTGGGGTTTCTAAACACTAGCCTCAAGGGCGAACTCTTTAAACTTTTATTTAGAGCTTTTATTGTAGTGTTGTGCAAAAACCGCAGCCTTGAAGCATAAACCCCACATTTCTCTAGCCCAGGTAAAGATGTCTGAGATATATAAAACAAATAAACGGAAACTTAGCAGGAAGTGGCCATTGAAGACTGGCCCGCACAACTCAGCAAGACGTTTACAAGTCTTTTGTATAAGGTTGATCGTTTGAAATGCATTTTTGCCAAGAAATAAAGTTTCAAAATAAAAAGTTGTAAAATGCGTGGGCGGAAATAAAATACGTCCTTATAAATTGTTCAGACGGCAAAAGGGTGTTAAATGGACAAGAATGTAGATCCATGTTCTATAATGTTCTAGCATGTTCTAGCATGTTGTAGCATGTAATTTCTATCAGACGCTAATCATTAGCCAGCGCATGAAGAGCCATGTTGCACATTCACGAGGTATAGATCATTTCAATGATTCGAACCTCGAGACTCGAACAACGTTATTCTCAAACACAACAGCATCACAAGATCGTATTCATTTACTTTTATTGTTTCATGCATACGCAGCATTTTCACCTAATTTTTACAAAAATATTTGTAGTCTTCTCTAGACCTCCAATCAATTTTTATATAATCTCAGTACACTCAATATTATCTGAACACAGATACATGGCATATTAGTTACCAGAGAACGGTAAAGCTAATTATGAGAACTGAAATATTTGGTCTGGATTCGTCCTAGGTCACATAGATTAAAAGTGTAGAAAGCAATCGTAATTTTTATTCATCAATTAATTTTTTTTTGGAAATTAAATGACTGAAAACAGCTAAAACAGACTGTTAGTTATTCATTACTAAATATTTATACATACATATATAATTTTACAATTATTATAGTTAATTTTTAGTTTCTAGAATGATTGCACTTCGTCAGGGGACTCGCTACACCAGTTGAACAGTACAACGTTAAAACAATGGTTGCAGCTTATGTGATGTGTGAATATTTTACTATTACAATTTTTAAATTCTGTCACAGGTACATACATGTGGTTGTCAGCAGTACCAGCAGTCTAAAAGTGGTGTCATGTCAGGTGTCATAAAGGTGTCAGCAAGTTATAAGTGGTGTACTGTCTAGTGACAGTAACGACAGCAAACAGCAGCAGGCTCCAGGTCATGAAGGAACAACGTCTCTCACGTGATTGTGAAACAGCCATACAACAGGGGCAACAACTCGAGCATCAGAGAGCAGGTAGGTGACCATCTTCACTATAGATCTGCGGAGAAAACATAAGATCTCATTATGTAACTGGTTGGGGTTTGAGCGGTTGTGGTTTGAGTGGTTAGGGTTTGAGTGGTTGGGGTTTGAGTGGTTGGGGTTTGAGTGGTTGGGGTTTGAGTGGTTGGGGTTTGAGTGGTAAGGGTTTGAGTGTTTGGGGTTTGAGAGGTTGGGGTTTGAGTGTTTGGGGTTTGAGAGGTTGGGGTTTGATTGGATGGGTTTATATGGTTGGGGTTTGAGTGGTTGGGGTTTGAGTGGTTGGGGATTGAGTGGTTGGGGTTTGAGAGGTTCGGGTTTGAGTGGTTGGGGTTTGAGTGGTAAGGGTTTGAGTGTTTGGGGTTTGAGAGGTTCGGGTTTGAGTGGTTGGGGTTTGAGTGGTTGGGGATTGAGTGGTTGGGGTTTGAGTGGTTGGGGTTTGAGAGGTTGGGGATTGAGTGGTTGGGGTTTGAGTGGTTGGGGTTTGAGTGGTTGGGGTTTGAGTGGTTGGGGTTTGAGTGATTGGGGTTTGATTGGATGGGTTTATATGGTTGAGGTTTGAGTGGTTAGGGTTTGAGTGGTTGAGGTTTGCGTGGTTGGGGTTTGAGTGGTTGGGGTTTGAGTGGTTGAGGTTTGAGAGGTTGGGGTTTGAGAGGTTGGGGTTTGAGTGGTTGGGGTTTGAGTGGTTGAGGTTTGAGTGGTTGGGGTTTGAGTGGTTGGGGTTTGAGTGGTTGGGGTTTGAGTGGTTGGGGTTTGAGTGGTTGGGGATTGAGTGGTTGGGGTTTGAGTGGTTGGGGTTTGAGTGGTTGGGGTTTGAGTGGTTGGGGATTGAGTGGTTGAGGTTTGAGTGGTTGTGGTTTGAGTGGTTGAGGTTTGAGAGGTTGGGGTTTGCGTGGTTGGGGTTTGAGTGGTTGTGGTTTGATTGGATGGGTTTATATGGTTGAGGTTTGAGTGGTTAGGGTTTGAGTGGTTGAGGTTTGCGTGGTTGGGGTTTGAGTGGTTGAGGTTTGAGTGGTTGGGGTTTGAGTGGTTGGGGTTTGAGTGGTTGGGGTTTGAGTGGTTGGGGATTGAGTGGTTGAGGTTTGAGTGGTTGTGGTTTGAGTGGTTGAGGTTTGAGAGGTTGGGGTTTGCGTGGTTGGGGTTTGAGTGGTTGGGGTTTGAGTGGTTGGGGTTTGAGAGGTTCGGGTTTGAGTGGTTGGGGTTGGAGTGGTTGGAGTTTGAGTGGTTGGGGATTGAGTGGTTGGGGTTTGAGAGGTTGGGGTTTGAGTGGTTGGGGTTGGAGTGGTTGGAGTTTGAGTGGTTGGGGATTGAGTGGTTGGGGATTGAGCGGTTGGGGTTTGAGTGGTTGGGGTTTGAGTGGTTGGGGTTTGAGTAAAGCATGGTGTGGGAATCAGCACGTTGCAAGGAGGGGCGGGTATATATATCTGTGTGCTTTCTGCCGAGGGAGAATTTGTAATATTTACAAAATATATTTTTGCGTTGTGCCCACACGTTGGATAGATGAAGTAGAGTTTCAATGACCAGCCCCCTTTTATTTTTCCAAATTGAGTCAGGTACTCATTTCAGCTTGGTGGACTCAGAGACGTCAAGCTCGGGATCCGAACTCGAGACCTTCGCGTTATTAATCATAGCTCTATCATCGACCACAAAATGTGATAATTGGGTAATTTATTCAATGTTAAATTAAACTATTTGTACATAGAACACACCATGAAAAGCTATGAGAACAACTTAAACAATTAAAAGGCCTGTGTACAACAATAGTTGACAATACGTCTGAGCAATACGTCTCAATTACTGCCGCAACTACACACACGCATTACACACAATTGCCGAATGTTTTCCCGAAAGACACTTGCGCAAATAGTCACTTGCTCGAATGGGGGAAATATTTCTATTTGGGCATTTGTTGCATTCGGGAAAGTGTCTTTCGGGAATTTGTCAAAGACCCATTACACTGTACACACTCAAGAGTCATAACAATGATATATATATATATAATTCAAAGGAGGTAACTCACAAAAAATAACATACGATCAAGAGCTCGAGCGATTACTCACGTTTGTGTCGACAATGTGTCAGACTTCAGGTGAATGCAAATCACCCACACAAGCACGTGGGCCACGGAGACAGCAACGACAACAGCATACGGCACAGGGCTGTCCACCTCCCGCCGCAGCGAGGCGTAGAATGGATGGTGCTGTTGTAGCCCCTCCAGAAACTTCATCTCGTTCCGCCTCAGTTGAACAGCGGTACACAGCAAAGCTGCGCAGATCAGCAGAGTCACGAGTTCTAGACGGCTCAACCAATAGCTGGCGTCCATGAACATCGAGCTGGAGTATTGCTCCGTGAAACTGGAGTCCGATATGACGGAGTCCTGTTTCGTTAAGGAGGAATTACGTTCCATGACGCTGTAGCCGTTTGCCGAGACTTCAAAGTGCCGGATGATGCTGGGCACGGCGTAGAGCGAGAAGATCCAGGGCAGAGCGACGCAAAGACCGGCGACAAACCGACGGTCGAGGGAGCTGTACTCAACAACACACTGGCAGTTGGAGATGTTGCACGTGTAGGTGACCATCAGGACGAGAAGACTCACGCTCTCCACCATGCTAGGTATTCGTTCAAGGTGAAGGTGAATTGAGCTCAGCAAATCCATTTCCGGTTCCTGCACGAAGACAGGAAGTAGGTAGTTTACAATCCGTAGAGGGATGGACACAGTTGTCTGCAGTAGGTGAAGGACGCAGAGGGACATGAGGATCTTGTTTCTCATCTTTTTCCACACAGTGCCAGACTTCCAAATGACCTTTGCCAGGTAAACGTTAGTAGAAAGGCCAAGGACGATCATCGCGACATACAGGATTGTGAACATATATATATGAATCTCCATCTTGTCTTTAAACCTGTACAAAATTAAGTCGATCATCAGTAATTTATTACATCAGTCTATTATAAGAAAATTGCAAATGTAGTTTTATTTTTCCTAAGCTGAACGTTTAAAGCATACGTTTTTGGTTTGTATATAAATGAGGTTCCACAATTTGACATACATTTGATATGTCTGTCCGGTCCTCACAAAAGGTAGTTTTAAACTCACAGACGCGCGTAACGCAATTTATAAAAAACAAACTTTATTTTGATTAATTTTATTAGTTTTCTGATTAATTTATTATAAATTTTTATAAATTTTATTACTTCTTAACTTTTCTGTCAACTGTACTTTTTTTTGTTAATTCTATGACTATTTAACATTATTTCTTTTTTGTAAACTAAGCTTTATTTTCTGTCGATTATTCTAAATATCTTGTTAACTTTTCGGAATTTCACAGTAACTCTACTTAAACAGATATATACAATTATACATCTGAAACAGGTGCATCAAAAGCAAAACAGAAAATTTCTACATTTTCAATAAATGTCGCACATTTCTCATGTGATTCCTTGTTTTAGTCTTACCTCTAAACAAGAACAGTCTTTCTTATCGAAACTCCTGGTTTAAAAAGTTACACAATACAATCAACAAACACGAAACAATACGCGGATTATAAATGTCATTGGGCCTTCTCGTCTGAATCTCATGGGTACAACCGCTTTCCGGAAGTGTCTGCTTGTCTTCACCTGTTGTAAGGGGAGTGAAATCGGACCGGTACATTCAGATGTAGGTCACCTCCAAGTGGTCAACGTGACCTAATAAACAAAGACAAAGCTTCGCTGTTACCGGGTTAATTATTCAATGGATTATTCCAATAGTAGAGTAGCTTGTGGTGAAGGGGGGGGATGGCAAAGATTTATGTGCCCACCAGTGGTCACACACGGACTTGCGTACACACACACACACACACACACGCACACACACACATACACTGATGTGCTTATATATAAAACGTTCACAAAACATGCAGACACACACACTATTACAAACACTCAAACAGACAAACACACAGACATATATAGCCTATATATGTATGTATATATATATATATATATATATATATATATATATATATATATATATATATATATATATATATATATATATATATATATATATATATATATATATATATATATATACATATATATAGCCTACATGTATATATATATATACATATATATATATATATATATATATATATATATATATATATATATATATATATATGTAACTAGGGGAAGTTACCAAGAGACATAACGTGTTACAGTCTGACGTCACAGTGCAGGTGTTGGCTGATGCCAAGGCGTAGTATCTCGGGAAGCGATACGAGGGACGGTCTGTCAACTTTGATGTGACAGGATGCAGGTGGCTTATTAAAATCGGACTGTACGACAGAAGCGGCGTAATTAACAGTCTGATGTAACGATTAGAATCGATTACAATTACGATTATGATAGGACCGAATATGAGTACGATTATGAAGGGGATATAAGGGAGGCGACGGCTGAGCTCGAGGTCTCTCTCAGTCAGTCTCTCAGAAAGTCGGTCTCTCAGAAAGTCAGTCTCTCTCAGTCAGTCGGGCGGTCAGTCAGTCAGTCTCTGAGGCAGTCAGTCAGACTCGCAGTCAGTCAGTCTCTCTCTCTCGCTCGCTTTCGATCAGTGAGTCTGTGTGGCAGTATCAAGTTGGTTATATTGTGTTAAGGAAGGACGTTAGACATGTGTATTCAGTTAGATGAAGCCTAGTGAGGACTGTTGGGGGTCCGTTGATTCAGACTATTATTGTGAAACATCCCTCTTGATTCATTATATTATTGTGAAGCATTCTTTGATTCATGTAATAAAAGGATCAATAATGAACCTGCATCTTCGAGTATCTATGCTGTGGTCAATGTTGTGTGGAATGAGTGGTTAGACTCGGGAAGGTCACATTTGGCGTTGTCGCCAGGGTAGCCAGAGACTCGTTACATTTGGCGTTGTCGGCAGGATAGACTCGGGGGACTCGTTACATTTGGCTCTGCGAGCAGGATAAGTCTCGTTACATTTGGCGCAGCGAGCAGGGTATGCAACTTGCCTAGGTAACAATTGGCGCTGCGATCAGGATGAATTCAACGAGACTTGCCGCTTGAGGCACCCATAGTCAACCTAGTTCATAACTGTGTTTAGTGTGTGTGTGAATTCGGACATTCAGGAACAGTGAAAATTGAGGAACGAGGAAAATTTTTTTCATACACACACGGTAAGAAAGAACTCTTTTTTTTTTTACTAAAGGAATAAAATGTCTACTCTGGACGAGAAGCAGACCCATATTGTGGTCCTGCCCAGAGAGTCCCACATTAACAAATTTTACGGGGACGGTGATCCAACTTTAACCAACAGGTTCAGTGAGGAGGTCAAAGCGGCCTGGGCCTCGAGAAACATGTCACCAGAGGAAAGATTAAGACTGCTGATGGGCAGTATAGGAGAGACGGTTAGGGCAGAGGTCAAATGCCACGATAAAACCGTTCAATCAGATCCAGATAAGGTGCTGGATCTAATTATGGAGACCTTTGGGGAGAGACGGTCGGGATCGCAACTGCTAACGGGGTTCGTAGGCTTAAAGCAGAGAATGGCGGAGAGTGTGATGGAGTATTCACACCGAATAAACAGGGCCTTTGATTCGGTAAAGGGCAAAACACCTGACATTGATGTACGCCTACTGAGGGACCAGTTCATCGAGGGGCTAGCAACCCCGATCTTAAGGAGAGAGTTGAAAGAGGAGGTCCACAAAGACCCGCAGTTGACCTTCCTTCAGGTTAGGAACTCAGCGATCCGCAGGTCCGAGGATGAGGACCAATCGAACTGTTCGGTGGACAAAGTCTCTGTGCCGGAACAGAAACAATCCCCACCCACGGGGACCGGCACGGTGGAAACCATGACGGCTCAACTGTTGGCCCACCTGGATAAGGTTGACCAAAGATTGGAGAGGTTGGAAAGCAGGTCAACAGCTGAGAATCAGGAAAATAACGGGACAAAACAGAGACAGGTTGGACGGCCGCGACCCGCCGGTCCATCACTCCGGTGGACGGCTGACGGTCGACCAATTTGCTTGTCCTGTTCACAACCCGGACATATGGCACGGTACTGCCAGGGAAACGGTCGTCCTCTGTAAGGCAGGGCCAGGCTACAGAGGGGCGAGGTTATGGCCCAAGAAGCAAAATGATGGGAGTCTGTCCCGAAATGGTGATTACGATTGGGGACATCGCGGTGAAGGCAATTGTGGATACAGGCTCCCAGGTGACGACAATCACGGAAAATTTTTACACCAAATGGATGAAAGGAAAAGACCATAGGTTGAGGTCTGACACATGCATGCGCCTGACGGCAGCTAATGGACTAACCATTCCATACTGTGGTTATTTTCTGGCGGATGTCGTGGTGGCGGGACATAGGTTGAAGCAGGTTGGGGTGTTCGTTACGAAACACAACCTAGAGACAAATGTGTCAAATATACCTTGCCTGTTGGGCATGAATATTCTTGGCCAGTTGCCAGAATTTCTTACAAATATGGTCGGATCGACCACACCAGGTCGGGGATCCAAGTTGGCCAGGTTTGCCAAGACCAGAGGAAGGATATCAGTCCCGGCAAACACGGTCAAGGCAATCACATTACAAATTGGTGATAGAAGTGTGAATGGTGATGTGATGATAGAACCATGTGGCGCCGCACTGAGGGCAGGCGTCGTGTTACTGCGGACATACACATCAGCGGAAAATGGACTAGTTCAAGGATTAGTGGCAAATGTTTTGGATGAGGAAATTTTTATACCGCCTAATACTCTGGTAGGAGTACCACAGAACGTCGAGGTACAAAGGTCGGCACAGTGCATCGAACTGAGCAATACCAGCAGTAATGAAGTAACAATTAGGTCGGTCAATGTGACGGCCGAGGTGAAGAAAGAGGATGGCCGATCATATACATTCCCGGAAACTGAGGACCCAAAACTAAATGAATTGTTGAATAAGTACAGGGATATATTTGCCTCGTACGAGGGTGATTTGGGTTACACGGAAGTAATAAAACACCAGATACCCTTACTACAAGACAAGCCGGTGGCGCAACCTTATCGAAGATTACCACCGAGTCACTACTCTGCGGTGAAAGCTCACCTGAACGATCTACTAAAAAAGGGAATTATTACAACCAGCACGAGCCCGTATGCGGCACCGATAGTAGTGGTAAAAAAGAAGTCAGGGGAGATAAGACTGTGTTGTGATTACCGGAAATTGAACAATATCACAAGAAGGGATGCATTCCCCTTGCCTCGTATTGATGAATGTCTTGATGCGTTGGGGGGAGCAAGATTTTTTTCTACCTTGGATTTGGCTAGTGGCTACCACCAAGTGGCCATGCACCCCAACGATCAACATAAGACTGCATTTATTTCTCCACTGGGACTGTACGAGTGGACCCGTATGCCGTTTGGTCTAACTAATGCACCTGCTACATTCCAGCGAGTAATGCAGAGTGCTATGAGTGACTTTCTATTTCAAATAATGTTGGTGTACTTGGATGATATACTAGTTTATTCAAAAACTTGGGAGGACCATCTAGAAAGATTAGAACAAGTGTTTCTCCGTCTTAGGGAGATAGGAGTAAAGCTGAACCCAGACAAATGCTGCTTCGGTCTGAAATCGGTACATTTTTTGGGTTACGTGATTTCGTCGGATGGCATCGCCACTGACCCAGATAAAATTGCAGCTGTTAAAGAATGGAAACAGCCAACAACTACGGTAGAGGTCAGATCATTCTTGGGCTTTGCTTCCTATTATAGAAAATTTGTGCCTGGTTTTGCAAAAATTGCCGCACCATTGCATGACTTGGTAAACAAAATGACAAAGAAACACAGTAAGGAGAAAAAGAAAGGTAAAACACAACTGATAGGTGAATTATGGACTGAGGAATGCCTGAACTCGTTTAAGCTACTGAAAAAGGCTTTGACAGAGGCGCCGATATTGGGATACGCAGACTTTGACAAACCATTTCGGCTAGAAATTGACGCCAGCTCTAAAGGTCTGGGAGCTGTGCTATCACAACAACAAAAGCAAGGTTTCAGGGTTATTGCTTATGCCAGTCGAGCTCTGAAGGAATCAGAGAAGAACATGACAAATTACAGCGCCATGAAACTAGAACTTTTGACATTAAAATGGGCTGTGACGGAAAAATTCAGGGACTATCTATTAGGTGCTAAATGTGTGGTATACACTGACAATAACCCCTTGAGTCACCTAAAGACAGCAAAGTTGGGATCCATCGAACAGCGATGGGCAGCAGAATTGGCACTCTTTGACCTGGAGATAAAATATCGCCCGGGGCGGTCCAATGGCAATGCGGACGCCTTATCAAGGAATCCTTACGAGAGACCGGGCGATGAGGAAGAAACGCTGACAGGAATATGTGAGGTCAGAGCGTCAACAGATATCCCTCACGGGGTGCAAGTGAGGCAGAACGGACAGACCGGGGTGGAGCACATTTCCACAGAGCCCGGACATATGGACATTGGTGATTTTAGTTGCCTTAATCACAAAGAGATAAGAAATGCCCAGAGAACGGATAGTGGCTTACAGCCGCTGTTGAAACACGTCCAGGAACAAAAATTCCCAGGAAGAAGGGAAAGAGAACAATTTGG